AGAGCGGGTAGGGAGATGAGAGCGATCGGGTTCTGCGCGAGGAGTCTTGCAAGTTAAGGCCTTCGCGCAGGGCTCATAACCTGTGAGCGAGAGCGTGTGCGTCGGCGTCGGTTACCTGTAAGTAAAGCGACGCGGGTCCTCAGTACGCACGCTCGAGTGAGAGCAAGACTAATCATTGTGCTGTACCTGTAAGTAAAGCGACGCGGGTCTACATACAGTACAGTTAGTAAGGTGAACATGAACGGGGGGAAATGGGATCGGCTTACCCTCAGTACGCACGCTCGAGTGAGAGCAAGACTGAGGGCAGCGCGATCGCGAGACGTCGAGTATAAGTGGGGGGCGAGAGGGCGAGCGATAGGGCGTCTAAATGAGAAATTGCCTAATCGAGAATGCTTATGTAATACTGACCGCGCGGAACTCGTCCGCGCGGCAGGCATGAAGACGATAACGAACGAAACAATCAGAAAACATACACTAGACGATACGGGGCCGGTCGCGGACAACGACGCTCGGATTGCGTGCTCCAACAGTATATGTTACAGTGAATGTCCATGCATGCTAAAAGTCCGTTCACGATTATAATCTACTGCACACCGGGGAGGTTGCGACCTGCATAGAAAGCAGTAAGCATTGGGATCGGTGAGCGCGCTGAGGACGTGGTACTGACCGGCACGCTCCTTGACCTCCTTGTTGAGGAAGTCGCCAGCAGTGTCCGCGTTCTTGTCGCTCTGCACAAGTCCCAATCAGCTCCCGCTCATCCTCATCATCCCCCACAGCACTCACCAAGTTGAACCCAGCCTTCTTGCCGAGGCTCTCAAGGCCCTTATCGAGCCAGTCCTTCTTCTCGCCAGTCTGGCTCGACGTGTTGCTGCTCTGGTTGCCCGAGTACCCCCCAGCGACGCCCGAGCCCATCGCGCCCTGGCCGCCGCCCATGTTGTTCGACTGCGCGGAGCTCTGCATGTTGTCGTACGCGCCGCCCTGGCCCTGGCCCTGCGCGAAGCCGTCGGCCTGCGTGCCGCCGCCGGGGCCCGAGGCAAACTCGGAGTTCGAGTTTCCGCCGGTCGACGAGGAGTTGTTGTTGAAGAAGTCGGACATGGTGTGTGTGGTGCGGGTGGGAAGGGGAGAGAAGTGGTGGTTGTGGTGTGGTGAGGGCGAAGAGTGGATATTGATTTTGTCGTGCTTGCAGCCGCAGACTATATAGCAGGGCGCAGTCACGGTGACATCATGCAGCAGTGGGGTGAGTGGATTGGGAAGGACGATGACCGCGTTGGGCGAGGGACGGCCGGTGGGTCTCCATGACGTCGCCGCGATGGGCCCCCAGGTCCCACACTGCTTTCTCCACTGCGTCCTGGCCGCCGTACCACAAACGCCGTGTTCCTTGGAGGATATCAGGAACTCTGCATCGTCAGATGTCCACTGTATGTGAATTCTGTGCGAGGTTTGCTGCGTTGCGATGAGCTTGGCAGGTTCACGGTCATGAGTAGGCGGAGTAGAGAGGCGCGGACCGGAAGCGCGCGCATCGATAAGACTGAATACTACACCTGCCATAATTGGAAGCACGCCTGTCAACAGGCCTGACATATGGGCGCTTACACTCCCTCCTCCTCTCAAAGCCTCTCAACGATCGGGCCCAGACCATTGGTCCATGACCAGCTTCCCTTCAACTCCTCCTCTTAATCCAAGCCTGCAGCTCTGGGTAACTGCAGTATCGGTGCACCGTACATCGTGATGAATTCTGTCAACGCTGCTGAGATCACACAATTCGTAGATGGTTTCCGAAAGGTTTCCAGCATTGCAGGCACGATGTTATACAAATGCTATGTGTACACGACTATACATCCGAGTCTGTTCGTTCGATTCGTCTTCCACTGATGCTTTAGTTGACACCGGGAAGGTTGAAGCCTGGCAAAGAAGGACTATCAGCCACGGGCTCGGCCGACCACGCGAGCATCGTTACGCACCCTCCTTCTGCTTGACTTCCTTGTTCGCGAAGTCGCCCGCAGTGTCCGCGTTCTTCTGGCTCTACAGTAACACACACGGTAAGCATCCATCCAAGTCGTTATAGCGCGACCTGAAGAGACACTTACGATGTTCACGCCCGCCTTGTCCCCAGCAGCCTCGATACCCTTGTCGAGCCAGTCGGCCTTCTCGCCGCCCTGCTGCCCGCCCTGGACGTTGCCGCCCTGCTGGTTGTTTCCGAAGTCGGACATTCTCGTCAAGTATGTGGTGGTGTGGTAAAGGGAGTAGAGGGGATGCGTTTGCTGCAGACACCACGGCGCGAGCCCGCGAGCTTAAGTACCCCGCGGTGGCGTGACATCATCGCTGTGCGCTGTGGAACGCGAACGCGAGGTATCCATGATTTTCCAGCGGTGGGGAGGGCTGGACCCACCGTCTCCAGCGCGTCTTCGCGGCATGACGGTGGCGAGCGCAGGTCGTGCTCAGATTGTGGTGCGCACGCCTGCGGGTGCGCCAAGCGACTCCCAGACTGCAGCTGAGGAAGGGCGTTCGATGGCGACGAAGGCTTGATGGTGCTCTCAGGCCTGGATCGCGTCGTGGTTGTGAGAGTTCGTGCTCGCCCCGAAAGCCGCATGCGATGAACGTCATCGGAGCTTGGTGACGCACTGGAAAGGCGCTCGACTTGAATAGGCGAGTCGTCATCCGTTCATCACCACCAAACCTTTTAATGTCTTTGAAGTGCCCAGACTTGCCTTGCAGACACCATTTACCGTCACCCTCAGGCTCTGCTAGCAAAAATCGCACGGACCTTCAAGTTAAACGTATGATCTCCTATTTTATCGAGAACATACAACATCGTAAAGTACACCATTCCAATCACCACATACGTGCACGTGGACCGATAACCGCTGAGTACAGCGGCGCCAGCCGGTAGGAAAGGACATCATTCGCGATGCCGTAGCGGACACAGCGGTACTCGCGCAGCCTGCAACACGATTACTCGGGGATGTCGGCAGTCTTCCTCTGCTTCGGCCGCTTTCCGGATGTGTCGCACCACCGTTCGAATTTCTGCATGTCGCCGTTCTACATTCGCCGCGGCGGGATCTGGCGCGTTGACAGCGGCCTGGGGGGGAAGGGGGACGAGCGATGTCGAGGGTCGCTTGTTGCGCAAAACAGGCAGCACCCGGTCTGGGTTGTAGGGTCCTCGTGATTCATTTAAGGCTCTTCATGGTGGCCGATAACCCCAGAAGTTCTCCCGATCCAAAAAGAGGGACCCGCTGCTCGTCGTCAGCCCCAGCGGGACCCAGCGCGTTGACGAGGGCCCCGAGGGAGCACGGGTTTGCCAGTCATGTCGATTGATGCGCCGTCCGAACTCCGGCACAGAGGCCAATCTAAAGAGGACCCCGCCGGACGCCTTTGAAGATGAGCTCGGCGACCGTGGACATGTTGCCTCCCCGCTCGCACACTTCTTCCACGGGTGCTTGCTTCAGGCTTTTCATGGTGCTGAGGATCTTCAGAACGGGGACTGCCGGCGGTGGTGATTCCTAGCGCTGATCCCACGGTGGTTGTGATATTCTGAGCGGCGCTTGTCCGCGCCGCACCAAGGGCTTTGACCTTCAAGTTGATGCCGTCGTAGTGCGCCTCCGAGGGATGAGGAAGACGGACAAGGTGTCGCAAGATAGAGGCGGCGATCTGCAGTATGCCGCGCCGGCTTCTGGGGGCAGAAGCCGAATGGGGTTTGGTCGCGGTATGGGTCGCACCGGTGATTCCGTCACCGCAACACCGGGAGACGTGTAAATGGGCAGCGATTCCAGAGTGTCTGGGACTTCCAGCCGCCCTCAGATGTCGAAGGAGGCGTGGATCAATGGAGACCGCACGTGCTCAAGCTACAGCCTGAGAAGGATGATCAGACAAACACTCCAGCCGAACCCTCACGCAGCGTAGCGCACCTCATCACCCCAGTGGGTGCTATCTTCATGCCGGACACAAATCGCCCCAGACGCGATAGGCGTGCTTGCTACGGGGATTGTACGAACTCGCATCCGTCACGTTCATGTGCAAGTATCGTCTGCTGAGTGTAGCGCGTACCCTGCCGTCGGATACAGGGCGCCGAGCATTAGTGCTGAGGTGACCAACATTCCAGAGGTACACGGCGAGGATGATCAGGGGATGTGAAGCGCGTAGTGGACGGTTCGCAAGGATCCTGTTGTCTTGGAGGTAATCGAGCAACGCCTTCGGGGGAATCCTCCTCGGTGCGTGCGGACTCGGGAACGGAGAGCGTGTTCGCCCAGCCGGGCGTCGACAGGTTGACGTTCGCGTCGCTTGGTCAGGTCCCGCGGTGATGTTCCGCGCGCCGCAGTGCTCGGATGATCTTCAGTGCAGCCGGGAGAGCGTCGAAGAGTTCGTCGCACCTCCATCTTTGGCACTGGTCTCTTGGTCGCTGGCCACGTCGACAGCTGAGCCAGAGATGTCAGTCTAGCGCCGTATTTCAGGACTGCTCATGAGACCCACCTCTGGAATGATCGCCGCATCGGTATCAACGTTCGCTTCAAGAGGAAGGGCCAGCAACCCGTCGCAGCTGGATATCCACCGCTCGACGCGAGGGCGGAGTTGGGACATCGGGAGAGAGGCGTTCGCCGGGAGGGGTAGACCTGTCAGCTGCGCCTTCTTGCGGGAAGCCCGCGGTGGCAGGTTTTGGGCGTACTGGACCGGCGGAGGGCGGGAGGACTGACGTGGGGTGCATATGCGTATGGGAGGAGGCATCGAAGGGAGGGTCCGCATCTGCCGGCCTGCTAGCGCAAAGCGAGACCGTTGCTGAACGTCTTCTAGGTCCTCGAACGGATTGTCGTGATCCGGATGGTTTTGTGTGTAGGGTCGGCCCCTCTTGGGTTTCACTGAGCAGTTGCTGTAATGATCCAAAGGATATCTGGCGAGTTGCCTTTGGTGTTCCTGAGTGGACTTTGGCAAGAGACTGTCAGCAAGACGGGGTTCTCGCTACCGCCCTTGTTCATGTTGGGTATGTCGACTGGAAGGGACCTCGTCAAATCCGCACGTCCACGGTTCGGCAACGGTGGCTAGAGCGAATCCCGCGACCACATAGCCCAACCTACGATTGCCTGGCTTTGAGCAGAGAATTTGCGACGAAAATGCTAATCCACGTACCGTAAACACCGAGCAGGGTTCTGGGTTCCAACCGAGCCGACTATCGGAGTCCATGGGCGATGAACTCGAACGTGACCGCGGACGACACGGGTAAGGTTCCGCGCCTGCACGAGCGAACAGTGGCGATGTGGGTGAGTACACCGTACGGCTGGCAATCAGAGGCCTGCGAGGCGGGACTGTTGGGTCTCACATGAGGAGCCGTTACCGGGGCGACGGCCCTCCGCGGAATGGCCGCGCTCGCTCAGGGGCGGAGACTATGTCCTGTCTACCGATGGGCCCAGCACCTCATGAGCAAGCAGTACTTATAGGCCACGCCAGCCAATAGGACTTACCTGTGTTTAGGGCTTCGCGCAAAGGCCCCCATTCCTTGACAGGCTTTAGGCCGAACCGTAAGAGCGCTTCTTCCTGTCCTGAGCCACATACGAAGAATCAGCGACTGACACCCGTCCGCCAGGCTGACGATGGCGCTCGTACCTAGCTCGTAGGTGTTACCCTGCTTCCAGGGCTGAAAGGTGAGAGTGGCAGCTAGGCGCATCGTCGAGCGATGAGAGAGCCCTGCGGTTCTGTGGCGGCAGAAATGAACATCGACGCACTCGACGGCTTGTAGCTGGGGTGTATAGGTCGGTTTGTGCCGTGACGTCGCATCTGGGTGCGTCTCGTGTGCTATTTGAGGTGTCAGTAATAGACGGTACCTGATCGCATGGGGCGTACCTGATGCAGTGCGCGGTCTAGCAAGCTTGATGGGGCGGGAAGGAGGATCTGGAGTTGTTGTCTGGGGCCCGCTGCATGGTTATATATCGCCTCCCGCAGACCTAGCGCAATGTCGTGCGCGGACAACGCTGATAGTCGTGTAACATTCATGTTTCGTAGGGACACGAGCGACAACCAGGCTTGCTCGTGTTGTCAAGTACAGCGCGTTCGTACTTCCCTATGAGCAGAACGATAATCACTCTTTCCTCAGGTCATTGCACTCAGACCTTGGCGTAACGGCCCCGCTGTGATACGCATGCGGGGTGTGCTAAAGACTCGAAAGAGAGCACATCACGCCCCCTTCACGCGTTCGCGAAGGGGTGACTGCTAGACTCCTCTTTACCAGAATGCACGACGCCACCGGTCGGACAAATGCGTCTACCATTTCAATCAAAACGTCAGCATATCTCTTCTAAACAAACGACGGGAGAAACACACTTGTCATTGCGGAGTGACGATTGCGTTGAACACAGCGCCGAGAGCTGGTGGCGCGAAGGGGCCTTTGGCTCGTACTAGCAAGTCGACGCCGAGAAGCCCGTGCGCGGTACGCCTTCCGAAGGAGACGCCAAAGTTAGGACGTCGAGGTCGGCGTGTACCAAACTTGGACAGTAGTCATCGACGACGCTCTCATCTGGCGCGTTCGAGTGCCCATGAGGTGATGGGAGGGTATGCCAAACGAGTAGCGGCTGCGCAGAACTACGAGATTGTGGAAGTGAGGGGCATGGCTAACGTCCGATATTAACGCAGATAGGCTGGGCGCTCCCATCTTCTGTCTTACTGGAGGCCTTGCCGGCTCCTAGTAGACTTGCAAATAAGAAGTGCCAAAAACGCTCATAATGAGTGCTTGGCACAGAATCTGGTTCATGATCGGGTTTCCCTCCGACGTATGCACGCTAGGCGCATACGAATATCAAATTGCAATAGTTATCGACTCGAGACGATGTGGTATGTGCATAAATGCTCAAAAGGGAGTACAGGGAGAGGGTCAGAGGGACAGGAGGAGATAGGATGTGATCAAAGCCAATTTTTTGCGCACCGTATATCCTGCCATGACCACGGCACATGCTCTCGCACCGGGCGATCGTTGATGCTATATGCGCGAGCAGATCGACAGATAATTCTAGAGCAGCCTTGCAGGGAAAGATTGAGCGATCAGCCAGCCCCATCTCGTATGTCTTGAGGATGTGGATGACAGAAGTGACACAGAGGTTGAAGAGGCGCATGAAGGTCGACGATGTAGAGGTGCTCGCACGCATATGCTCGAAAGAGTAGAAACACAGTATACCGGAAGTAGAGTTGAATTCCGGGAGATTCAGAGCGAGGACGGACGCTTTGACGATCGTGCTCATGGCTAGTGGTGGTGGTACAGAGGCAAGATTTCAAGGTAGCGCCGGCAGCCCTAGCCTTTCATCTCACCACCATGTTCCTCTGTCGACCGCCAGAACACCATCTTGTACTCCTCAGTCACAATGCCGTACGCTTCGGTATCGCTCAATATCCTCAATATATCCGCATAGCTGTCGCGCAACGCATGAAGAAGATCTGAGCTGAGGACATCGTCCACATTGAAGTACAGCGTTGATGCTCACTCGCGATCGCTCTTCGAACTTCAGCTGGAGGACGAGCCTCCTCCAGCTCGAGCATCCTTCTTCCATTATCGCCCGCGCCGTACGCAAATGCTCTGCTTCCCTATTCAACCCGCTCATCTTGCCCACAATCCATCACTGCGGTGGGCGCGATGGGACCCTAACCTGACGGTACGTGCATGAGCGGTAGACGTACGGCCTTGGAACTTGTGAGGACTCATTCGAATGCCGCAGGGCCTGAATTCCTCTATCAAAGAGTAATGCAGTCTCTGAGGCCACTGCAAATAAGTCTTCGGCTTGCTACGAAAGGGCAGTCGACAAATCAGCCGATAACGTGCCAAAGTCAGTAAACACTCGAAGAGAAGGAGGCGAAGCACATCTGCACCAATGGTGTGTAAGGGTTTATCTTCGGGCTGAACGGGTCCATCGTGTTTCTACACCTCCGAGGCCCCCAGAAAGGCAGACGAACACCACCCGCTTTCTGATCGGACAATGACGAGCGACGGCGCGAATGGTGAATGCCCATGCGTCTCCCGCCCAGCGTCGGTTCTCCTACGTGTTGAACGTTCGAAGTCGTGGAGGTTCGCCATCCCGATGCAGCCCTCTAGAGACAAGGCCATGATACGACCACAAGTCAGTTTCTGCAGCTATTGAGAAGGCAGAAGGCCTAAGTCCTTTCTACCTTGGTTGCGCGGATTGGAAGTACAGCGACAACTTTGGTGCATTGTCCTTGATACCGCCTGGTCGACCAGTATAAGAAGGGGAGCGTCACGACGGTAGTTCAGGGTAATTTCTGCAGCGACATCCCGACGGTGTAATAGCAAGTGTCGCAGGTATTACCAGCCGCACATCCCCAACCCATCAACCCGCCCGCAAAGCACGCTGGAACCTATGCAGGCACGCTCCTGTTCTTCTCCCTGATGATCCCGGGAGCTGACCGGCCTCGTAAGCAGCATCTATGGCGAAAGCTACAGTTCTCGACCACTCATGCAAAGGTGCTCTACGATCCACGTCTACCGCGTTTGGACCCGGTTTTACACCATCGCTGCACTGCGACAGCTCGGTCTATACCCACGCATACCAAAAGTAAGTACACTACGTCTATTGACCACTCCGTCTGCTGACTCAGGCTACCGCCCTTCGCAGGCCCATATATTCGCCGACAACGTCGTCCAGACCGTTTCTCTTCGCCGCCGCCTCGTCAGCGTTCCGCAAAAGCACAAGCGTCACATAGGCCGGCGCCATCGCCTCTTCCTCGTGGGCGGTGTTCCGTCCGCGCCTTCCCTGTTCGTCCGACGTCCATGAACGAACATCATTCCGTCGAACTGTGATCAAATCCGATGGACGAGGAGCTCCACATCCAGATATGCGACAGTATCAGTGTCGACTCCGAAGACGACGCGGAGGTAGGGGCCGGAGCGGACCAGGACGTCGGCGATATCCGACCACACAACCGGTACGGGCCTTGGACTAAGGCTCCGGGGCGTCCACGGAGGAGCCGTTTGGACTGCGAGTACGCAATACTCGAGCTCTGCAAGGACTCCGACGGCCCCTCGGCTGAGAACATCCGAACCACAACCAAAGCATACGCCGACAACGCGAATGCACTCAAGGAGGATAGCCCACGGGATTCCATTGCCTTTCCCGAGCGCGCTCTGGAGCAACCCTCTCTACACAGCGCCGCCGGGGAGAGCCCACCGCAACCGAGATCGACGACGACGCCTCGCTCGACGCCTTCGCAACCTTGCCTGGACGTCAGCCCTAATGCAGCTGCGAAGGATCACAAGTCCCGCCGCAGGGGAGCTCTAAGCCGCCAGACATCCCGTGCAGCACCCCGGAGCTACGCAGCACACCCGCACCTCTGGAGATGCCTGCAGGTGTCTGGCGGTGGTAACCGCGGTCCACGATTGGACAATACGGGGATACACCGTGTCTACAGCGCGTCGACTGCTCCTCAGTACCCGCGTCTGTTTTAGACTCGACTGGGTCAACACGCCCTCTTCACGGCGACCTGATCGCATAAGACTCCTTCCTCTTATAACCCCCCAACGTCCGTGCTTCACAACTACCTAGCTGCACTTGCAACACCGCGACCACCAACAACACGTCTGTCTCGCACAGAGCGGAGCATTCCCTTCGTCGTCGCCAGCGCCGTTGTCGCGCATATCGCATCCCGCTTGGAACTCCGCCGCCGAGTCGGCTGTTGGGCACCCCATGTGAGTAGTTCGTCCACTTTCGACCCTTCAGCGCGACTGTCGAAGCTCAACTTTGACCTTAGCACGGGCGTCCGGATGATCGACGTTGAAGGCTACTACATGGGGCCTTCTACCCATCCCTCCCTCTCGGACCTCGCATCCTCAGACGAGGCATCCTCTGATGAGGCTTCCTCCGACGAGGCTTCGCCGACTCTGCCGCGAAGCCGCCATGACACGCCGCCGCCATCGTACATAGCGACGATTGTCATGTACAGGCCGTGGACTTGACCTTCCTCGGCCACCCCGCCGCGGGTCAATGCAGCACGAAGGTGTCGCTCTCGGGCTCTCTGTCTCTCTGCGTTAATCCTGTTGTTCTTCACGCACATCTGTAGTTGCCCGGTGTCTGCTCGCCAGTAGTAGGAAGTATTCGCTATCTGATATAACAATGACACAGTGCTCATACCTCCTACTTAAACCTCGAGGTTATGTTGGAGTGACCTGGCTCGTTGAGCGCCAGACAGTGCATACAATTGGGGGTGCCAGTGGTTGGGGTACTCTCGGAGAGCGGCGATTGGTGGAGGACAATGTAGCAGTTGTCTGGTGAAGTTTAAGTCGAGAGGCAAGCATGATGAACGTAGACCTAATAAAAACAAGAATAATTCGCATTACGAGGATATCAAGAGCTAAAGTAAAACATGGTTCGCTTTGTGTGGTTTAAAGTTTCGGGGGTTCGCTTTATAGGGTTAAATGTTTCCGAGAGCGAGAGCAAGACCAGAGAGCAGAAGGAAAACAAAAAGAAAGCAGACATAGCAAACAGAAAGCAGGGTGGATCGGCGAGAGCCCAAAGAGCAGTTAAGCACTCAGGCCCAGGCCGAGAACGAGACCGAGAGCGGGGTGGAGGCTCAGGGCTCGGCGGAGTATTGGGGACCACGTTAAGGGCAGCTTTAAGGGCGAGATGTACCTCAAATTAAGAGGTCTCTGCGCCCACCCATTCGTACAGTCTTTTTCCCAAGATGGGACAGCCATCGCCAGATCCGTACGAGCCAGGTTGGCGTCGCGTTGTGGTCCGGTGATAGGATTTGGGTCCTTGGTGGAGCAGCGTCGCTTGTCGAGGTGGCATTGCCGTCGTATGACCAGACGGAGGAGCCGACACTGCAGTCCGAGAGGGCGGATGATAGGGAATTTGAGGAAGTGAACGACGAGAGGCTTGCATCCGAGTTCTTGACTTCCAGTGGGCGCTCGCACATCCCCGACGACGTGAACACGTCAGGGATGGCGAGCGCAGCCGACAGCGCGGGGACCTCGAGATCAGAGGTGCCCGCATCCGGCGAGGCGTCGGCGGCAGAACCATCGCCCAGCGCAAGAACGACGCGGGGGGCGACGGTCGTGGCCACCGCAACCGAATCGTAACAACTGAAGGACACCGGCGACTTGCCAGAAGCGTCCGGAGAAGTGCAGACATTCCCCCACAGATCTCCCCCGTGTCCCGGCACAGGCGTGCTGGGGAACTCGGGAGAGAACGCGGAGAGGGGGGCGTCCACGGGGACAGCGTGTGCATCGTCGCACAACGCGCTCGCGACCAGATCCTGCGTCCAGGATCTGACCACATCCACATCGTACCGGTCCCCGGCCAGGGTCGTCGCAGCGAACACGACGCCCAAGCCGAGGCCCCTTCCCAGCCCGACCATCCCTGCTTGAGAGGGTCCGGTCGGCGCGGGGCCATCTCCCGAGTCGTCGTCCTGCGCCCGTGCCACGGACGCGCTGACGTCGTCAACGTCTGCGTCCGCGGCGGCGTGCTTGTCGTCAGGAGCTGGGGCCACCTCTTCTACGTGTGCACTCCACTGAGTGGGTGCAGCACGCATAGGGGGTGGGTTGCTCGTTGGCCAGAGGCCAATACTACTGACGAGTCGCGTGCTTGGCGGGGCGCGAGGGGACTCGGGGATGGAGTTGGGGCGGGGCGTTGGCTTGGTCTTGATGACCGGGGAGGGGTACAGATGGGGATGCGTGGGGGTGGAGCGTGCTGCAGATGCGGATGGGGCGTCGGCTGCCTCGTGGCTGTTGGGGAAGGTAGTGCACTTCTGGGGAGGGGGCGCTTCTTGGGGTGGTGTGGCGACTTCGGGGTTGTTACGGGACGGCGGCGGCGGGTTGCTGCCTGGGGGAGAGGCCTCGGGTGCCGTGGCTGGCTGGGGTTGAAGCTCGGGGGAGGTCCATTGGAAGAATGGATGGGGTTCGTCGCCCGTCTGGTACGGCATACCGAACGGTGACTCCTCGTTCGAATCATCCTGGTAGTAGCAGTGAGTGGGAATCCTGGACAGTGTGAAGGTCAAAGAACGTACAGGAATAGAACCCTTCGGAGGGACTACAGCTGGGACTGGCGTGCGGCGGGAAAGTTGGCTCCAGTTGCTGTCATGAAGGAGTGAGTATGCAAGCTGACGAAGAACCCGAGAAGAGGTACTCACACGCCATCAAACCAAGGATGCTCCTTGATCTGCTCCCAGGATGGTCGCCTGTCCGGATCCTGGTCCAAGATCTGAATTCCAGCCAGCCAGTGTTAGTCACAACTCCACAACATGCAATAGATGAAGAACATACCGAGACAAGCAAGTCGAAAGCATCATCGTCGATGTCGTCTTCGACTTCCAACCCAGGCTGGCGCATGCACACGGCGTCTCCGATATCCTCCACGGTCAGGTTGTCGTCGTCGCTGATCTCGTCCAGGTTGAATGGAAGCTAGCAAACGGCGGCGAGGTCAGCCCAGCAGAGAAGTAGTAGAGAACTAAAAGGCGCACCTTGCCGTTGAGCATCTCGTACATCATCACGCCGAACGAGTACACGTCGACCGCGTACGAGTACGGCTGCTCTTTCCAGATCTCGGGCGCCATGCACTGCGGTGTGCCACACTTCTCGCTCGTGATGTCGAGCTGGATCCCGAGGCCGTTGCAACTGGCGTCCTCCACGGTGTCTCCGAGTGCGAAGGGGCGGGCGAACCCGAAGTCGGCGATCACGACCTCGTCCTTGTTGTTCAGGAGGATGTTGGCGGGCTTGATGCCGCGGTGGATGATCCTGCGCTTGTGCAGGTCTTCCATGGCGAGGATCTGGCAGAGGGTGTGAGTGTGAGTGTGAGCAAGCTGGATGGTAGTAGAAGACGTACGATCTGCGCGCAGTAGCGGCGCGCCGTCCCATCTGCCAACTTCCCTCCATCACTGCGCTGGGTACGACTCTCCAGGCTACCGCCCATACACACGTCCTATAAAACATGTCAGTGCATATTCGACACACGGAAGCATAGGTCAAACTCACAGTGAGGAGGAAGAAGAATTGGTCGTCCTCGAAGCTGGCCTTCAGGGACAGGAACCACGGGCTTCCGGCGATGCTCTCCAGTACGGCTTGCTCCCGGAACATGAGCTCGTTCATCTCTGGATACTCGCTCTTCTCCGCAGCCTTGAGCGCATAGAGCCGCTCGGTCGCGCGTTCTTGAACAAGATACATAGATGCTTGACCCCCCTCCCCGAGTTCGCCGACCACCTGGAAGTCGTCCGAGGTGACGGTGCGTACCGCGGTAGACGGGCTCCCATCCACATCTTCAATCACGATCTTGATGTCGACCTCGGATGAGCATGAGGCGGCGAGATGCGAGCTAGACGGAGGAGGCGAGCTTGCAGCGATAGAAATCATGAGCTCTGGCGAGTCGGTGACCGTGTGCGCGTCGACCGACTCGGGCTTGTCCGTAAGGATGCTGGGGGTGCCGACGAGGGTCATGTCATCCGAGGGCGTGGGCGATACCTCGTTGTCGCAGAGGTGTTCGACCTCACGGATGACCTGGATAATGTGAGCAAAGTGATGGACAGAAAGTGCGAGGCTGACATACCAAATTGCCGCTCGAGTCGAACTCCATCCGAACGTGTACGTCCACACTTGTCGGTATGTCCTTGATGTCCTCGACCATGACAGCTTGCATAGCACACTTCTCCGACTAGTCCCGACGTTTAGCTCGGCTGACAGTGAGATGAGATGAATGGAGACTTACAGTAAGCCCAACCTTCTTGTCGGAAGGACTCGCCATCGTGGGGCTGGCGAAGGCGAAGATGTTCTTGAAGGGCATTGCGACGGAGAGAAACTGGAGGCGGCTGGCAAGTTGTCTTGGGGGTGCTCGAGGGCTGCGCCGAGTTTGCTGGCGTGTCGCGCTGGAGGAGCTGGGGAACCCGACGAGTTGCGCTGCGAGAGCTTGAACAGGCTTGCGTGTCGCACGTGAGGATCTTGTGCGTTACGACGCGGGGAGAGCTTGATCAGGCTGGCTAGTCGCGCCGGCTGGCGAGTTGCGCCGGAGGAGCTGGCGAACTGCGCTGGAGGAGCCGCTGGAGGTTGGCGTGTCGCACGTAGGCACCCGGTTTGTTGCACCGCGGTGGGGGCTTGAGCAAGGGAGCGGGTTGCGTCGGAGGAGCTGCAGGAGCTGACGGGTTGCGCTGGAGGGGCTTGCGTAGGCTGGCGGGTTACACGGGATGGGCTGTGTCGGGCTGGTGTGTTGCGCTTGAGTGGCTTGGATAGCTTGAGGGAGGGCTAGGAGTGGTGGTGGACGACAGGATCTTTGAAAGCGCGAGGGCTCCCTCTATACCAGACGAGGCTGGCAGGGGGAGGCTGACGGGGCTGGCATCTCCTTAATTGCCGCAATGACGATCGTATATGCTGAGAATTACGATCAAGACTGAGATGGAATTATCAGGCCTGAGTACGTGTTTGCATAATTGGATCCGTCTGCGAAGGGTATGTGGTGAGGTGATCTACGGTCTGAAGGTACGTCAGTGTGTGCAAGTCGACTTGGACCTCAAGGAATACTCACAGAAACCTGCACTGTGCATGCGGACTCTGCGGCGGTATGTACATTCGTCCAGCTGCGCACGGGCTAGTTACACCGTAGTCGCACGCTGTAGTGTCCGCAAAACAAGAGCGGACAGCGACTCGACCAGGTTGTTCAGGCGATCGTGTAACGACACGCAGACTAATCATAATCATCCTCTAGGCGCGTTCAAAACCGTGATTTCCGGGATGCTTAGGGTTTCAGTCATCTAGCTTGCGAAGGTCCTGGGATTTCAGTGGACTAAAAGCGCATAAGACGTACCCAAGGGCACTCTAAGATGCACCGAGACACGGATTGTGCGACGGAGCACACGCTGAATGTGGAAGCACCGATGTCATACTGCAAGAGCAGACCACTCTGAACAGAATGTAGATGTGCAGAATGTCCGAGTGGGGATATGGGGAGCGGACGAGACAGAATGGAAGCCACTCTTCTGCAGCATACACACGAACGCACCGTACGGAAGTACGCTCATCACAGAGCTTGTTCTGGCTATGCGACTGCCGACACCTTGTGGTGCTTCCGCATCGACAGATTGCTCTCGAGACCTTGTAGCAATATACTGTAGCACTAGCCGGCTAAAAAAACGCGTCTTGAGGATGACGGATGCGAGAAAAGCCAGCGCCAAAGAGGCTGAGAAGGCGCATAAAGCCCCAAACCCAAGAGCATCACATTAACCAAGAATTGAAAGCATTCGTGCGTGCAGGTACACATGAGCAGAAGCAGAGTGGGATATTCAAACACGGAAGCAGAGTATAAGCCAGGTAGTCGTACGGGGTCGCGCTCGTAGTGGTGGTGGAGAGGCAAGAGCTTGCCGGGGCGCCGGCAGCCGCAGCTTTTCGTCTTACCACCATATCCCTGGATCCGTCGACGCTCGGAACACCTTCTTGTGCCCCTCGCAAGCCCACATAACACTGCTTTTTACTCATAGCGTTCAGTCAATTGCCAATATGGCGTGAAGCAGCATGAAGCAGCGTGAAGACCACCTGGGCTAAGGTAGCTGTTCAACGTTCAGGATGAGCCGTAGCGGTAATGCTTTACCTTCTGATCAACTCGAAATTGAGCTGACTCTGACACGACAGTTATCGCCCATGCATTTATCATCCCTAGGCTGCTCCGTAGTGATGCTCTGAAGTCTGTTGAAGTTGCCCTTGCCGTGCATGCTCCACTTCAGTGTTGCTATGGGCGCTGTGAAACCCTAACCTGACGATGCAGGCGGAAGTCCTCATGACTCGAGATTGAATTGCACAGAGACTGGTTCTCTCTGTCAAAGAGGGACTCAGTCCCTGGAATTCGCATGCATTCATGAGCCTTTGGGTTCTACTGAATAGTTATGGAAACGTTTGGCATTTCCGCCGAAAATGGATTCAAAAACCATTCTACAGGCCCGATTCTAACGCTCACTGGCGTGTTTCAACAGTCAGTGCAAGATCAACGGGAGCCGAGACAAAGTCACGCTCTTGAAGGGCACGCGAGCATTTTCCGCTGCGCTAGACGGAGACGTTACTATGCTCTTTTAGTCCGCAGAAAAGCAGATGATAACCTCTCGTTCAACACCAACTCGCATACGCGTTGATTTTTGAACGTCGAGGCTCTGAAAGTGCAATATCTCCACACACTAGCTGCGCTCAACATACTGAACGTTTGTTACCCCGCCTTTCGGAGACAGGTCATGTTTGTATGACAACCACATGAAGCTCAGGCAGCCGAGTCTTGGAAGCTCTTTCGACCCTATTCGAATAGAAAGGACATGCAGCGCGAGTGCAAGTGGGACGGCGGCTTTGCCGCTTTCCCCTTGGTCTGGGGTGGGCTACCAGTACAAGAAGAGGGGTGCAGCGCGCCAGCGTCGTCCGAAGTGAACCCTCTGCAGCTCGCAAGTGCCGTGCTTCTCAAAGACACACATTTCCTACTCTGAACCCTGAATAGCGAACCTGGTTCCATGCAGGTGAGTCCCCAAGCCACTGCATACAACTCCACAACCTGACCAGACTCGCCAGCGGTATACCTTGCGAAAGCTGCGGTTCTCGGCCACTCATGCAAAGAAGGACGACTCGCGTCTCTCATCCAGCCCCTGGTGCAGGGAAATCTACGGCTGCGCCAAAGTGAATCCTATGGAAACCACGTACAAGAGGTAAGCTTATACCCTGCAGTCTGATTTGCTCGTGATGTTGAACAGAAGACACGCAGGTGCTTTTCCTATTACCGTATCAGACATGCAGAGGACAATGCGACGCGGCTTAGTCACAGTCGCGTCTGTGGCGCGAAGTCGCGGAGTATGTCGCGGCGCATGGACGCGTTCTTTGTATGTGTTGACTCTATCCTCATTGCCATTGTGCCCTCTGACCGCGTCCTCCGCATTTAAAGCAACGGCGCTACCTCATCCTGTACCACAACACCCTTCGTAGCCTACCACTCGAACCACGTTCATCCCGCTTTTACCCCATCTACCACCCCATCTACAATAGCAACATAAACGGTGAGCGCAATAATCCAGTGTGGCCCTCTCCCCGTCCTCTGACTGCTGCCCGTCGCAGCCACAATGTTCAACAACATCGTCGACGACGCCTTATCCCAGACCGGGGTCTCCGCTCCGAGGCCACTCAACGACTCCGTCAACGCGCCCCACGCGCCTGCCCGGTCGCCCCTTCCGCGCGGATCTGAGAACCGCGTTCCGCCCTCGCGATCGCCGTCGAAGCGCGGTTGGGACGACCACACCGAGGAGGCGCGGATCCTCGCGGACTGGGGCATCGAGGACCCAGACGAAGACGAGCAACTGGACCTCTACAACAGCATCAGCCTCGAGTCTGATGACGTAGAGGAAGAGGACGCCCGCGGTGCTTGGTTGGACCACGGGTACGGGGATTTGGAGGACTTTGGAGAGTCTGCGGAGGAGGCGACCGCCTCTCACGACGACGGCGAGTACTCTCCGTTCGATCCGTCCGAGGTGTACGCCGGGCCTACGGCTGGGGAGCTGGATACCGCGCACGCTATGACTGACGCGGACGACGATGGGGACGACATGGGATATTCCGAGGAGGATATCGCGCGGGACGACTCTTCCGAGGACGATAGCGAGAGTGTCCAGGAAGAATCCGATGCCTCTGAGCAAGACATGGATTCCTCCGAGTGCGATATCGAATCCGAGGTCGATATTGACTCTGTGGCAAACGTTGACAACTCATCCGAGGTTGGCGACGACGATGGCTCCGAAGTAAACGACTATGCGGCTGCCGACAGACACTGGACCGAGGCCGGCGTAAGCCCTGGCGACGAGTCCACGGAAGAGGTGATCCCCATACCCGCACCCGCGACATCTCCTGCATTGCGGCGCTCATCACGTCTTCGCACTGTCAAACGCGGGCGTGAATACGAGCGCGAGGATACACCGGAACTCCCACCAGCTAAGCGCCGCAAGCCTACGCATGCGCCCCGTGTACGTGGATCGCGTTCCCAGTCCAATGCAACCCCTGCGAAGGGCTCCGTGAAGACCAGTGGGAAGGGCAAACAGCGCCAGGCACGATCGGAGTCCCCCGTAGCTGGCCCTTCTACCTTACCAGCGAAGACGGGCGGCACGCGCGGTCCGCGCATTCAGAACACGTTCCTGCTCGACCACTGCATGGTAAGCAAGCTGAAGACCGTCGAGTGCGGGTTCGCCGGGTGCAAGCATGTCCTCGTCCCGACACAGGCTAGGGCCGCGCGGAAGCACCTCCGAGCGCACCACACCCGCGCTCAGCTCGGGGCAACGCAGGTGCAGTGCCTCTGGCATGGATGTCCCGTCACGGTCAGCAGCGGAGAGCTGACGCGGCACTACGACGCCAAGCACCTCGAGCTATGGTATGGGTGCCCGGGGAAGTGCAAGGACGCGGAGGGCAAGCCGCGCGAGTATCAACGGATAGACCAACTCTCTCGTCACGAGTTGGACAATCCGTGTGACTACCGTGAGTTGTTGTATTTGGTATCGGCCTTGGAGCATGCAACTGATGCTGGACACGCTATTTAGTGAAGGCGAACCCTATTCCGCGCGGGAAGATGTCTACGAAGTCGCAGAAGCGGTGAATGGCGATCGCGCGCGGTCCATCTAGCGGAACTTGGAGAACTTCTACGGGCCGCCTGGTACTTACTACCTGGAAACATCTTCCTGTGCTCTTCCAGAGCCCTGGTGGACGGTTTCTCCAGAGTAACCGGACATGGTCCCCCTCTGCCTTCCACAACGGCCTGATCACGACATATAGATCGCTCGACACACCCGCCATCACATTCGGCCCCGAACGTAACCACCATCCATCCTGGGAGGGGCCTGGCACACATCTTAGCCTCGACGTCGCCCGCTCGCCTAGACTCGGTTTACATCTTAGCCCACGGCTGATGTCCATCCTGAATACGCTCAGCCATTTGGAAGAACCGCGCGCGGGCATGTGTCGTTCTATATGGAGCGCAAGGCCATATACTCGGTTTGGTGCCGTGGCGTATCCTCGTGGCTACTCTTTTCTTAGGTAGTTGTACATAACGCTACGTCGTTATGAGCGTGTACCAGTAGATAGTGCTCGATGTCCAAACAACGACTCAGCACCTGAACTTCACGCTCAGGAGATTTCGGGCCATCATGCTGAGGAAAACTCAGAACACGGTGACCGGGGCCTCGAGGACCCCGAAGCAGCCCAGCTACCGTCGTTGGCCAACCGTCGTGCGCCGGTACTACCTTGTTAATGAAGCACGACTTGCACCCCCTGCGACAAATTAGAGCGGCGGTGAGCCTAACGCCGTCTCACAACCCTTATAGAAGCCGTGCATATCCACGAAAATCTGGGTGTCTCCTGAGACCGTCGACCCATGCGTTATCCTGCCCGAGCCTGAGTCATGAATGGGCCACTGGGTTTCGCGGCTCTGGCAACTTGTACTGGTGAGTTGAAGCGAGTATTGGTCGTCAATGCGTGCCAACGATAACGAGACTTTACAAAAGGGCTACAGTGCGTTGCGTATTGTACATACACACGAAATAAGTCTTTTCGCGATGTCAGTGTCATGTCATGATCACTGGTTTCCACGCTTCAACCACAGCAACATGGCAGCTGGCGGTTCTCGAGGATGGCTCTGCAGTCATGTCAACTTGCGCCGCCTTTGTTGAGCGTCCAGACACGTACCTCCTGCAAGGAATGTCTGCCGGGAGCGGCGCCGCAAGGACTGTGGCAACGACGATCGTGATTACGATGAGGACAGCTCTGAGCTGCATATTGAACGTGACGATGTTCTGTAAGGTCGACGTCAGTATCTCATGGTGACGGTCGCATACCAAAGATGCTCTCACGTCTTCCTATGCAGGAGAGGGGAAAGAAGACGATGTTGGGGGTTAGTCGCTGGTTCGTGCGCCTTTTATGTCCCTGCAGCTCGCTTCTGACCTGCCGACGATTGGACCCATACAGCGCGCAGCTACTTAATTGTGCCACAGCCCGCCCGCAAGGCTTCAGCGCATCTGCAGGCAGTCGCGTGTGCACGGCGAGGTCCCAAGCGGACACGCGCAGCGGCCCTCAGGTGGCTTTTACAGCTCTAGCGCTGCGCATCACCATCAGCATGATGTAAAACATACGGGTTCCTTGGACCTCGCTCTTTCGCCGACCTATGGCACCGAGCGTCGGCGCTGCACCACCGAGAACGATCTCCGCAGTTCGTATACTGGCACAGCTGTTCGGTGCAGACCTGCCGCGATAACATTTGCCGTTCATCACTCAAAGATCCCTGGAACACGGACCAGGATAGCGCTGCAGACGGCCTCCGATCTCCCCTTGACCCCATGTCATCTAGCACAGGTGCTAGCTGCAAACCAGGTATCGTTGTTCCTTGTTGCGGTGTCTTTCAACACCGCCTCATGCTTCTCTCCGTACTCTAGCGTATCTCTTGGGCGTATTGATTTCGCATGTGCCGACGCCGTACGAGTCAGCTGGGCAGCTACCGAGCCACCATACAGCAGTCGACGTCACCTCCTTGGACCCGGACCGTCTCACATGACAGCCGGTACACCGCCCGCAGGTGTTGGTCCCCATGCATCCTGGTACGCATGCTTTATATTCACTTCTGTGGGTAATACTCGACGACCTCCCCTAGATGTTCATCTTCCGGATTCCTGTCTCTAAAAACGCTGCATGCACGAGGTAGCGGCCTTCTTGCGGAGCATCGTAATGGCGTCTGCAATGTCGGAATTTTCCTGTGCGCATCGCGAGGGCGCTTCCCTTAAAGCCCTCGGATCAGCCTCGCGTAGCCTCGCGATGCCTCTTGAGGATGATGCGAGGCCTACCCGAGAGAAAATACGCCTCTTTGGGCCTCGCGAGTGCCTCGCGAGGCATCCCGATGATTTGGCCCGCCGCGCGAGGCGCTAAGGAAATGTCCGACAAATCTCAAGTTAACCTCAAGCGTCAACGTCCTGAGTTGATCTCTTCTTCACTGGACGAATCACAATCATTCTGCGTGCCAAGGCCCGAAGCCTGACCAAGCCCAAGACTCGCAACCTCCAACTCCGTCTCAGATGGCAGACCCATATCACGGGTTCCGATGCCGTGCTTGTTCAGATACTCCGGGGTACAGTAGCAGAGGAACGTTTCTCACAGCGGTCGGCCGTACCCTCGGGGTTCCTGTGCGCGATGGAAATCCTTCTGTGCCGCCGGCACACAAGGATGGCGGGGCGGATCCCCACACCTCCCGGAGTGCCTCCGGGACAGTCGGACAAGTCTTCAAGCTTCAACGTGCTTCAACGCTCATCCCAACGCTTTCCATGGCGCACACGCGGTCACCATGCCGATTTACCTCTGCAGTCCAGACTTCGGCATCGGAAGCGGCTCTCGCGCTCCCCTGTTATGCCCATATGGCAACCACATAACTTCCGCTCCTCATCAGCACGTTCCTGAACATCGCGCGGCCAGGGGTCTAGCAGGTCGTATTGACGCATGTCATTCAAGGAGTCGACGTTCATACCGTCAACTCAAGCACTACGCGAGCACGTACCGTATTCTACGGGCAAACCGACCAAAATCCTCTCGCCGTTCTGGCAGGCAACATGTTCCCGCGTAACGTCGTCCTCGTCATCCCGTCTCACTGGTCGGCTATCACGGGCGAGGAGCCTCTTTGGGTTGGGGACCCTTGATGGATCTGACACGCGGGGTCAGATCCAGGGATGCCGCATTGTACCCGATCTGCGCGGAGTGCCCATAGCCTCAAGATATCGATTGCTGACAGCGCTTGGAACCTGTCACCTCACACGTACGCCCACTCCGAGCCCATCCGTCCGCAGTTCCGCTCGAGTACTGGACTGCTGCCTATCCGTGGTCTCAGGCAGAGCTGCATCTGCTCCTAAATTCTAGCTGTCGTCGATGGTGCGTGTTCGCTGCTTCTTGGCTTGAATACTGACTGATGAGTACCAGTTTGCGGGTCGAATATAGCGGCGAGGAGGATCGCCAGTCGCGGTTTCGATCATTAAGAACGTGTATCCCGCGACATATCTATGCCAGAGGACTCGGCCCATGCGCAAGCGATAGCAAGTTATGCTAATTTGTGAGTAATCGCACTTTAGGCCCGCTCCCGCCGTAGGAGGGCTACTTTGTATCAATTCTTCCAGCTGACCTTCACTTAGCGTGCGGGGGAACTATTTCACTGTGGCCGCGAGAGGTATGGACGTTCCTCGTGCCACACCGCGCCGTCCATGCGTACTGAACGCATCCGGAATGCAGCTTTATTCCTCTGGGACTACCTTGTCACTCTCGACATGGAGGTCAACTACGTGTGGGGACAGAAGCTATCAGCGGCCTCGGGCCTCTTCATTCTCAATCGCTACACAAATCTCTTAATCACTATCTTAGAGCTCATTGAACAGGCTCCATTCGAAACGCCGCAGGTAGAGTCCTCTATTCTTACATTGTCTTCACTTCGGCGACTGACCTTGCACTCCAGAGGTATGCCTCGTGCTATTCTCCTTTCGATCCCGACGAGCTCAAACCGGAGTATACAGCTGCACTCCGGTCATACGCGTACTGCAGTCAATGCTAGTGTTTGCCTCGCTCATTGTGGCCGGCAAGTGTCTTCAGCCACGCCGTTTGCTTCTCACTTTGCTCATCCGTAATTCCGCAGTATTTGCAGCGCTCCGTGTTTACGCTACGTGGTCACGAGATTGGCGTCCAGCACTGGTGGTACTATTACTGGCCTTGGTAGCGCCGTTTGCAAACTTGGTTAGCACCTGTCGCTGTGATCATGGCAAACGACGACAGATGCACTGACTCGGACACTGTGCAGTATTTGGACATCGTCGGGACACCCATACCTGCTCCACATCCCTCGGTTGGATGCGCTATCTTGACGAGCATCAGCCCGGGTACCTACAGCCAGTAAGCAATCCGTTCACACTTAAGAAATGATGAACTGACTACCGAGGGACCCGACAGGAGTGAGAAAGTTGAGCTTTTTTACTGAATGCTATTGGCTGATATGCAGTCATAGTTGTCATTGCCTCGCGAGCGACAACGACAGTGTACGATGCTCTGGTGCTCATTTTGACGTTCCTGAAGACCGCGCACTTCCGTAAATCGATCACATCGTCTGGCGGCAGGATCGGTCTATCAGCACTTCTTCTCCGCGATGGTGAGCGTCCCACTCTGCGTGACGTTTCAAGTACAACTAACTATACTGACCCTGCAGGTACATTATACTTCTTGTGAGTCGCATTACCTCGCAGTATCCACATGCCTGACCAATATGTCAAGCATATTATTCACTATCAACATCAGCCAGATCGTGGTCGCCGCAAAACAACCGGTGAGATCACGTTGTGGTTTCAATCCGCCGTATTTCCGGCAGACTAACGCCTTACGTGCCCAAGGGAAACAACTTCATCGCTTTCTTCGTATCCCCGTACGTCCAACGCCCCATTGATACTCACTCGTCAGCTCACAGCCTACGTTAGCCTCACGTCAATCCTTATCTCCCGGTTCCTACTCAACCTGCGGCGAGTCGCACAGTCCTCCGAGAGGGCCACGTACGCCAACACGGCTGGGGCGCCGGTCATCTCGACGTATCTCCCAAGCGTTTATCCGTCCTCGGGAACCCTAGGCAACCTGGGTGCGACGCTGTACTCGATCTTCGAAGCCGAGACCGACACCGCTAGAGGCACATACGTCGAGAAGGACGCGGATAATCCCACCACGGGCGTGCGAGGGACTGATGTAGAGCTCGTAGAGCTTTTGTAGATGCATACCAAGCATTTTGCTGTTCTTGAGTCGTGGGATACGATCAGGCTGGATCTGATCTAGCGACAGTCCTGGTCACTTTGCTATCTCAGGAATTCGGTCCCGCATTCGGCTCCCACAACGCCCGTCGAGGACCGTCATCAGCACATGCGTTTTCAAACAACACGTTTCGTAAGTGGCGACCTCAAAGCACGATGGACACACTCTATCAGGCTAGCACCCCTATTGCATCCAGAGGCACATGGATTGCTTCCGTATTACGCGCGGGTCAAACGCCACCCATGCACAGTCGCCCTGACCTCTTCCTCTCCCGGGTCCTCCGGGAACATGGGCTGCGAGGAGATAAGTAGGTAAGCGTCCCAGTATCAAAGGTCGAGGTACGCTAGTACGCACGGGGTATTTCCTCGTGAGGATTTCTTCACAGTGCCATCCGCGCTCGCGCGCTTTCGTGAAGAAGTCCATGTCACGGTCGGCGAGGTGCGGCCGGTGATGGGTGTAGAAGACCAGGAGGCATGGCGGGGGCCGGGATTGGGCATTGCCGTCAGATTGTGCAGAGGCCTTTTGCTTGGACAGCGCAAGGTCGCAGGACTTGAGCATCGCTTCGTGCTGTAGGCCGGGAATAAGTCAGTCACTCATGCCATCGCCAGCTATCAAGGCTCACCTGCGAGTGGTTGAAAATGAGATCGGAGAGAATGATCAGGTCGAAGGCTCGCTCGTCGGTGTCCGATTCCACTGGAAGCAGCGCCAACAGGGGTTCGACGGCATGTCCCCAAATATAGCCCTGTATCGAGAGTTATACGTTGAGATGCACACGCAAGAGTGAAACACTGGGTGGACCGACCTCTACATGCACCTTCGTCCTGTCTGGCTCGGAAATATTTTGTTGTACGTTATATGACATGTTGTCGACCAGTGCAGCGTCGGGATAGTCCGTTATTACGACCTAGTTAAGCGATAATTAGCCCACGGTGGCTTCTGCGTTCGGAAGGTGTAAGAAAGAAAGTGAGTCTACCATTTTAGCGCCATTCTTGGCGGCAACGATACCTGGAAGAGCACCGCCCGCACCGAGCTCCAGAACTTCCCTGTCCCTATAGATCTCGGGGTACTCGTCCAAGTAAGACGCGAACGCTCGCGAAGCGTTCCATCTATCGGCCAAGGTGAACGATCGCCCCATATGTTATATACACAAGTCGGGTGAGCTTACAGGTGGTGTGCCCATAGAGGGTGAGATCCGACGAGTCGTATGTCGATGGAAGACCAATCGCTGTGATCGGATTTTCGCTCTCTCGTGTAGGTCGTTGTGGTGGGTTCCGGAGAAGGAGGCCGAGGCGGCTCCTAAAATTGGAGGTAACACTGAGAAAGGTCGCAAAAGCAAGCCATTTGTTGACCGTACAGTGAAAACAGAATCGAGGGATAGTCCTCCCTCTTCTTCGGAGTCTGACATATGTTCCTGCAGAATTGTCCGATACGTTAGCTACAATTTTTTCAGCTACGAAGATCACACATACTGATACCACTCTACGCAAGGTGTTTTGCGACACCGCGAAATTTTTTTTAGTCGGCTTGAGTGAGTATTGTATGCGATCTTGACGATCCCGAAGTTGCTGAACTAAAAGGTCGAAAGAAAGAACAAAAATGATCACGCGCGGCATCCCCGCAGTAGGCGCCCATATGCGCCCACTTGGAGAACGAGCGCCTTTCTTCTCGAGTTCCTTCTTACCGTGAACACAACGACTGGGTCACTGCCCGTAACCGACTGTTTGCATATATTCCAGTATATTTTTGCTCCAGTACTTCCGGCTAACGAATACCTCAGCGAAGGTCAGAATTTTGACATGACCTGCTTACCGTGGCGGCATCGATCACGGCTGGATCTGACATTGATTCAACTTTTAGGACCAATTTCGTGCAGATTGGGTGGTACAACCACTCTTTTGAAGGAATAGGACGTGCAAGAGCATGTGTAATACCATGTTTCAAGAACGGAAAGCTGCGTTCAAAACGCCGCCCATGAAAGATTCTGGCGCCTCACAAGACGTCCGCAGAGCCAAGGTACGCGAGCCGCGCCCTCATGGCATACGAAATCGTGGACTGAAACGCAAATACAGGCTTTAGAAGAGCAAAAACGGGTATGGAGCAACCCCTGCAATTTGAACATATTTTGGCTTACATGTAGCTTGATCAGAGAAGAGCCGAGCGGATAGACTCCAGCAGACAACTCGACTTCTTTGCAGACCTCACGCTTGGTCCCTCAGACGAGGAGGGAGACGATACAGAGGACGTAGTCCGCGAAGGCATAAGCCAATTCGCCTCTCTGTTGCCGCCTCCTGCGAGTGCGGATGCGAGCTCCACACTACCCGCGGCACCTGCCCTCCCTCCCCCCAGCGAAACCGCAGAGCCCATCACGCCAGATGTCACCATGCAAGCACAAGCACCAAAGAAGAAGAAGCGAAAGGGAAAGGGGCGCGCGACGTCCCAACCTGCGAAAGCCGGCGGCAAGAAGAACACCAAGGCCAGCAAGTGGGCAGACAAGTGCATGTATGCGGAACTTCTGGAGATGCGCGACGGATTCGACGTCTCGGGCGATCTGCGCGATGGCATCCCAGACGACATCGAGAGCGGGTGGGTCGCGGTCGCGCCCGTGCCCGTCGGCAAGCGTTGTTTGGCCGTGACGCACCAGACGTCTGGCATGGCTGGTGTCGGTACGTGAAAGAAAGAGGGCGCGATATGTGTAGATTACTAACTCGATATCCTACTAGTGCCAAATACGACGCTGCGCTCGCGCGTCCTCGGGAAACCTCTCATTAAACCTTTTCCGTCGATCCTCCCTCCACAGACCGTGCTCGACTGCATCCTCGACGAAAACTGGCGCGAAAACGGGATCCTCCACATCCTCGACGTCGTCACATGGAAAGGACAGGACCTCGCAGACTGCGACACCCCATTCAGGTGCTTACATCCCTTCCCGCTCACACTATTCCTACTGACCTGCTGCCCCTAGGCTCTGGTGGCGCGACACCCGCCTCTCCGAACTGAGCCCCCTCCCGCCCCCTCCAAACGCCGCGCCCCCCACCCAACAGCACACACTCTACCAATTCCCCCACCCCACCACCTTCGCCCCCGTCCCCTACCACACCGACACCACGCTCCCCTACCTCCTCTCTACGCTCATCCCGCTCACGCGCACCGCGCGGCGCCTCCCCATCACCGTCCCCGTCCTCTCGGGCGCGGACGCCACAATGGACCTGGACATGGATGGGAGCGATGGGGCGAGCGAACCGGCACCGCTGGTGCAGCTGCAGACGGCGCACGTGGACGTGCAGTCGGACGGGCTGCTGCTGTACGTGGCGCAGGCGACGTACGAGCCGGGGACGAGCCCGCTGAGCAGCTGGGTGCCGCTGCGCGCGTACCAGACGCATGAGGAGCGGATAGAGCGGGAGACAAAGGGCGGGGGCGGGAGCGTGGCGGAGAGCCCGCTCGATGTGTTCCAGAGGCTGATCAGGCGCAGGGCGGCGAGTGGCGTGGGCGGCGCGCCGGAGGTAGAGATGGCTCCGTGAGGAGGATGTTTCGGTAGGAAAAGGAAGTGGAAGGGGTTCTGCCTCATGTACATATGTTCTTCACTGATCAGGCCCATAACATCATAGACGGGGTGACACGGGATGACCACCTCCAGTATTTACTAGGTGTCTACGTTTGGTGGTGCGCAGACAGATCGACGTCGAATTGCCCGCGCCGTAATGACGAGTGACCGGGGTCCTCCCACCAAACCCACAGTCGTTCCTCCTCGTCCTCGTCCTCCTCGTCCTCCTCATCCTCCCATTGCGCGTCCGCAGCCATAGCTGCTAACCTTCTCCCTTTTCGTTCTATGTTTTGCATTACGACGACAACGTGCTGGTAAATCTGCTGAGCATACCTATCTGACGCCAATCCCGGCCAACCACTGCACGGCCACATGCCACCTTTCCATCCCACAGCGCGCGAGCTATGTCTGCTTAGTGCGCTCCTCATCGGGCTCCTGTACTTCTCGGCGACCTTCCCAAGACATTCCGGCTCTGTTGGGGACTACATACGGACAGCGCCGCACGTCGTGGAAGACGTGCTGGATGTGCAGCCACTTACGCTCGAGACACAATATACGCTGCAAGCCTTGAACCCCGCCTTTCGCTGGGGCACGGGACAGGTGCCGGAGACCAAAATTGTGGCACATGTGCCAGGTAAGCATCATCTTGAGGGCTCTGTATGTCGAGAAGCGGCGTCGGGGACCGTGTGAGTTAACACCTGGCAGGATGGACAATATTCGACCGCCTCTACGTCCTCAATGGCACCATCTACCTCGTCACGGACTCTCCTCAAGACGTACCGGAACGGAAGTTCATGATCTCCTCCGCCGCGTTCATTGAGAATGGGCCAGAGGCGGAGGCACGCCGATTGCCGTCGGACAAGGATATGCGCGTAATCTCCACGGAAGAGGCGCGTCGAATATTTGGGACGGAGGCTGAGCGGTTGGACGGCGTATCAGTGAGCACCTTCCCCCTCACATGTTCTTCAGCTGACTCAATGAACATCGCGCGCAGTGGCTCGCGAACGACCCGAAACAATTGTATGTCCGCCCCTTCCTATGAGGTCACGATATGCTGACGTCGCCCACAGTATCACCCACTACTACCATTGGTCCGCAGAGCTCTTCTTTGGTTTCTGGCGAACCTACTCCTCGCTGGACCCCACTATCCCCACCTCCGGCGAGACGTCGTTACCCTCTCCACGGCGGTTCATCTTCTCGCACCTGGACGCGGCGAACTGGCGCGACTACGCAGCGATGAACCAATGGGTACTGCGCTCTTCCTTCCCCTCGATCGCGACCGAGTTCATGGACGACTGGAAAGAGCGCGCAGCACTCGCGCGCGTGTTCGTGTTCGACCGCGTCGTACTCGGTGACCGTGCCGCGGCAATGCAGGGGGAGATGTACTTGCGCACGCAGCGTACGGCCGCGAACGCGTTCTCGCTGCCTGGGAGCGTGAACTGGTGGACGACGATCCGGAACAATGTCGTCGGGTTTGCGGCGGCTGACGACAATGCGGGCGCGATGTCGGTTGCGGGCGTGCCCACCCGCCCCGTGATCACATACATCTCGCGTCAAGGCTGGAACCGCCGCATGCTCGTTCAGGCGGACCACGACAAGCTCGTGCAGGAGCTGTACCGGCTGCGCGACGAGCACGGATACGAGGTGAACGTTGTGGAGATGGACAAGCTCACGCGGATTGAGCAGTTCCGTCTCGCGGCGCGGACAACGGTGAGTTACTGGACTTCATGCAATGAAGGAGCGCAGCTGACCGAAAGCTGGCAGATCATGATGGGTGTACACGGAAACGGTCTGACGGCTCTGCTCTGGATGCGCCCCACCCCGCGGTCGACGGTTATGGAGTTCTTCTACCCGGGCGGTTTCGCGCACGACTACGAGTACACGACGCGTGCGTTGGGCATGGTGCACTACGGCTTCTGGGGGGACCGGTGCGTTCACTCGCGCATTAATATCTTCCGGTATGCTGAACTGTATCGCAGGTATTTCACGCGTCCGGACGTACCTCCCGTCGCATACCCCGAGGGGTTCCAGGGCAACAGCATCCCGATCGATGGTGCGCTAGTGGCGGAGCTTGTCCACGAGCGGCTCACGCTGTCGGAGGAGGCGGACGACTAGGCCGTTGCCAGTCGCACAGCGAGGTAGATAGACTGATCGCGAGGTAGACGGTATCATACAAACGACTGGTAATTCACTCTGTAACTTATAACTACTCGCACTTCGATCGCACAGAATACCGTCCAACCTCGTGAAGCCAAGATGTTTGTCTAGGAAAGCACGAAACGCGATAATATGTCTACCAGTTCCGTACGTTGAACTAGAGGAGCCTCAAAGATGTCTGTCAAGAACAATGATGATTCTGGGTACATACTTGGGTACGGGCTAGTGCGACACGGCACCAGTGGTATCCTCTGGACCGGCGGCGGCCAACAAGGCGCTCTCCTTCTGACGAAGCCAGTCGATCATATCGGTCAGAATGTCGACGCGGCTCTGCAGAGCGGCGCGCTCTTGTTGAATAGCGTGGAGGCGTTGTGGCGTATTCTCAAGAGGAGCGGGTGAGAGGTCGGCAGAGATTTGCGGCGGTACGGTCGTGGAGCGACTTGCGCGAGAGGCGGAGTCGGACTCAGTGAGCGAAGCCGAGGAACGGTCGAGGGGCGGTCCTTTAACATCTTCAACTTTGAGAGGGCGATCAAGATATGGTGGATCGATCTCCAGCAAGGGAGACGAGTGCAGAGAATCAGGAGTAGGTTCGGTGGAAGCCTTCTTCTCCCCCCTGTGAAGGTACGCAAGCGCCGGCGAGATAACTCGGTCCGAACCTAGATCAGGGCCGAGCTGAGGTATGTCACCTTCGGAGGAGGCGGTCGAAAGGACATCCGACAACGGTATTGAAACATCAGCCTCCGGTATGGCAAGCGGGTCATGACCTACATACTTCATACCTCAGCAGGGGTGCGTCGTGGGGAGCGGGGGACTCACATCTAATGAACCCCTTCCTATCATACCAGTCCCCGTAGAGTACCTTGCCCTTACAACACTTCTGCTTATCGCGCTTGCATTTGACGCAATGGCGGGCATTAACTGCGAGGAAGCATGGAACACGGATGCGGCGGCATCTATCACACTGGAATGATTCAATCGACTATAACGGGACATGTACGATGAGCAACGTACCGCAGTGATAACAGGCTTTGCACGCTTGTCTTGCCGCTGCGAGACTCCAGCGTCTTCGAGCTTGCGTTTCAGGGACTGGTCGTCCATGAGCGACGAGAGCGGTGGAGCAACAGGTTCGTGGCCCTGGGGAGCTTCGGGTACATCCCTCTGGTGTGATGGATGCGGCGAGTCTGTAAGATCTGACTGCGCGGGCCGGGAGAACGGGTGGGAAGGACCTGCGGCAAATGGACCCTCGGGCGAAGTCGACGCAACCGGTTGGACACTCGGCTGAGTGAGGGTGGTTTCAGCCGCAGCCGACTCAGAAGAGTGAGGGGCTCTGGAGATAGATGCTTGGAGCATATCTGCTTCCCTTTGCTTGAGCATGCGTAGACGAGCCTGGACGAACGCCGGTTTGCTCCAGTCAGGCCAGTCTTCGACGTCCAGCGGGAGATACGGATATACGAGATCAAAAGAATGATCGACGTAGCCTTCGACTTCACTCTCGGAAGCACCATGTGAAGCGGCAGATTGCTTAGACTCGAGATGAGCGACTACCACCAACATGTCGAATGAAGTAATAAACTTACGATCGCCTTGACCAGGTCATGGGACCAGTTCAAGTATCCAACGTGATCGCCGTCCCCCAGAGGAGCCGCATTGAAGAGCTCGGCCACCGTCTGCCGCGCGGCGAGCAGAGGGTGCATGTGTACGACGTCGCGGGAGAGGAGCGAACGGGAGCGCCGAGCAAAGTTGGTTTTCATTGGCGCTCGATGAAACGTGTTTCAGCGCGCATAGCGCTATCTATGTGAAGCGTTGAATCGCTGCGTCGCATGGATGTACGAGTCGATCCGGTTGAATGAGCACATTTGTGCCCAGCTTTCAGAAGCCGCCAAATCGAGCCAAATCTAGAAAAGAAAAGGTAAGTACAGGCAGAAGATCCGTTGAGCGCTAAGCGTGAGCTCAGTCTGGTACCGCGGTATTCGAGTGTTACACGACGTGCCTTGTCCGGGGCCCAAGTTGTCGTCGTAGTACAGAACAGAAGAGTTGTGGCCGTGCGGCGTGGTGGCTGGGCATATCGTGGCGTGAGAAACTGCTCCCGCGGCTCCGGGAAGCACCTTCGTACTTAACTTAGCATGGTACAATAAGTACGTCTATCGTCGGTCTTGCATAAACAGACGTTGATGATCAAATGAGAAGTACAGGAATTGTGTCATTGTTGAGACACGAAACACTAGAGAAGCTACTAAGCAAACTGCTAAAAACACCGAGACATAGTGATACAACTAGATACAACCACGGAGGTACGTAGAGCAACAAGGATAACGTAGAATAACATGGATAGAGACACAGCGAGCAGTACAGTAAAATCCTGAGTCCGTGAGAGTCCATCCAAGAACTTTGTACAGTAAAAGAACCATCGCAATAACTATAATCATGAAAGACCGTCCATCCGTCACGGCCGAGCTCAGGCTGTGCCCTCCGGTATGCGGCGAGGCCATGGTAGAGCGGCCCCCGGACGATATCGACGTGCTGCAAGCTCAATAAGCTGCCGCGCGGGGTACCAGCGCACCGTCCCTGCTCGCCCACGTCTTGCGACCTCACTGGAAGTTCGCCTGTGAGGGGTCCGCCACAGCGGGCGCTGTCCAGCCTACGGGATCCGCGGGAGTGAAGGCAAGGGCAGGGGAGTGGGAGTTGGGTAGCGAGAAGGAGGGGCCGGCTGAGGGGAATGCGGCCGGGTAATGAGGCGCAACGTAACAGCCCGAGACCCCTTGCGCCCCAAGCGCGAGCTGGTACCCGCTGCAGCAAGGATGGTAGAGGACGGGGTACATCGCCTTCCCTCCGCGGATGTAAGCTAGAATTGGGACAGCGGCGTGTGGCCTGAAACACGCGCTCTCGTGGTTCGCCTCGGGGTCGTATGATTGTTGGCATTTGGCGCATATCATCGTAGGCGGGCTGGGGGGGAGGCGCGGCGCGAGGTCGAATGTAGGAATGTCCCCGTACTCCATCGGCCCCGCGGGCGGATGTTGCTGGTACGGGGGAAGGATCATGGGATCGTAGCTGGGGGCGGCCGCACCTGGATATGCGTCGAGGGGAGAGGCGTCAAGCGGTGATTGGCCGACGGGCCAGAAGTCTGCTTGTTGCCCGACGGTGGGCTGGGTCGCGCGGGCATCCCACGCAGTGTGTGTGCTGAGAGCTTGAGATGAGGACGATGGAAGGGCGTCCTGTAGCTCTTGCGAAAGCGTGTAGTTGGTGGATGGGAACATCGTGGTAAGGGCGATGATCCGGGATGGCGGTGTGGGGAAGAGTAGCAGTGAGGCTACGAGACGCCGCCCTGCGGCTTAAATGGAGGGGAGGTGTGGTTAAAATTGACGCTGGGATCGGGTAGGACGGTTGAACCGGCTTAGCCATCCGCCTTGTCCAATCGTGAACCGCGACCATACCGCCCGACATCTACGGGTAGCCCCGGAGGGACCCCGCTCTGCGGGAGACCCTCCCAGATATTGGGTGGGCAACGGAGAGAGCTGGTCCCGATGACGGCCAGCGAGACCAGCGGCGCGGATGGGCAAGTGTCTGCTCGTCGCGCGCCACGGTGCGTAATACGCATACTGTTATTTTTGCCCGCGTCCTACTATAAGCCATAATATGGTCAGCGCCGCCCCGCTACTTTTCCCGATCGGCCAAGCTTACCGGTAGAGATGAATCGCGAGCGTAGGGCTTAGGTACTGCGCTTCTTGCATTCGATGGCGAGCGGACACTCGCCATCACTGCTTCAGTGACTTCGTGCGTGTCCTCGGTTTCGCATTTGGGTCCTTTTCACCCCGCGGGATAGGGTTCTCTCGCACTGTCGCATCCCAAGTCAGCCACACCTCCCCGAACCTGCCACACGCAGAACACAACTCACAGTACTCGCACGGGTTATCCTTCTCATGCCGCGTGATCTGGTCCGTCCGCCGAAAGCTCCGCCGCTTCTTCTGGCGGTCCAGACACTTGCCCGGACACACATACCGCACCCCCAGATGCACTTCATCGTAGTGTCGCATCAGCTCCCCGCCGTTCTTTCCGCGCCTGATCATGTTCTCGCAGTCCCCCCACAGACACATCACCTCCGCCGCGCCCGCCGCGCCCAGCTCGCCCTTGGCGTGGTGGTGCGTGCGGACGTGCTTGCGCGCAACCGCAGGCTTATTAGCGCGTAGCACCACTTCGCAGTCTGCGGCCCCGCACGTCGCCTCCCCGTTCACGATGCAGTATTTCTCCAGGAACCATCTCGGGATGCGCGTCGCGCGCGAGGCTGCCATCTTCAGAGGTCTCGAGGGTGCCCGCCGTTCCTTGCCTTTCGAGGGTATGCGCGTGGCGCGCGACGCTGGCTCGGGTGTAGAACGAGCGCGCGTCGTACGGCGGCGCGGCGCGGGCGGAGCGGTGAGCTTCACGCGTTTGGCTTGTGGGGTTCCGCTGAAGGCATCCTCGGAGTCTTCATCGCGCGCGCGTTTGGGCGCGGCCGCAGCGATGCGCTTCGAGCGTCGCAGGGGAGGGAAGGTGGAAGGTCCCGCAGTCGAGGGTGTATACGCTATACCATGGTCCATGGAGACGACACCGATGTGGCTGTCGGATGAGCTATCGTCGTCAGAGTCCGAGGAGACGGACGAGGCATCATCCAGCGTGGGCTTCCCTGCGACGTAGAACTCGTCGTCGTCGTCGTTGACACGTTCCTGGTCCTCCGACATATCAACGTCCGAGTCAGAGTCTGCCGAACTGTCCGCGTCGACCGAAGCTGTGGCATCTGTCAGAGCTGAACGCCTCTACAGACCGTGAGATGCTCACCGAAATCCTCCGTTCCTGAAGCTGTGTCGTCCAGCTCAATATGAACCCCAAGTGCCTGGTACCCGTGATCCATCGCAGTCGACGAGTCAGACTCAGCCTCGTCCGATCCGGCCTCTTCGTCCGACTCGTCATCGGCTCCTTCGATGCTGTTAAACAGCGCCCTCTCCTCCTCCTCGCGCGGGCTCTTGAAGTCTAAGAGGTTCGCGAGGATCCCTCCTTCTCTCGTATTCTCGTTCCATTGATTATCATTGGACGGAGAGGTACGGTTCCCCAAGCCGCGCGCGAGGGCGTCCTGCGTGGGCGCGCTGTCGTCGGCGGACGTGACATTCACGACGTCGTGGAATGGAAGTAGTGGCGGGGCGAGGGAGTGGTCGAGCGGCGTGTAGACGGTGCTGGACATGTCTGTATCAAGCAGGGGTGAGCGAACACTCAAGTAGCTACAGTGAGTATGCGCGAACCTTCGGAATGCATTGCTAGATAGCTGCTTAGCGATGAACGGCACAGGACTGATCGGTGGAGGAAGAGGATAGGTCCGCTGGCGGTAGAAAAAGGACAGAGCGAATCGTGTTCGGCGTGAGGTCAGTCACAAGGATGCGTATTAAATGTGGACACGCACAAAGAACGCGTCAATGCACCGCGTTTCTTCACGCCACAGAGGCGAACGCGACCAAGCGTCGCACTGCGGACGATCGTCAGTGTGGCCTATTCAACAGATAGAAAGCCATTGTACCTTTTCTTGTCAGTAGACGCGACATGGGCTTCTCCCCGGTCGCCGTTCCCACATCGATGCGACAACACCCGAAGGCAAGCCTCCGGCGACGCGCGGCAGTCTTCGTGACCGCGTCGCTTTGGATGGTCAATAAACTCGGAAGCGCTCGCATAGCGATTCTCTTTTGCATGAGTGGCCGAGAACAGTGGCTGAGGCCACATAATGCTGCACAACAGTAAGGTCAGCTGCGCTTGCTATGTGGCTGGCCAAACTTGATACCCACCTTCGGTAGATCCAGGATGTCTATTTAAAGTTGCTAGTCGAGAATGTAAGTATGCCGAAGGGTCGTACGAGAGGATGCCCCCTCTGACCTCGTCCTCTTATACTCCTAGATAATATAACTACCTTTGACGGCTACTACGGACGAAGAGCTTGCGCTCTCAAGCAGTATCACATCTTCATTGGCACACAAGGAACAGGACGCTGTGCTGTTCGTTGAACCACGTTTCAATGGCCACATCAGCGGCACTCGTGGACAATGTAGCATTGTCCGACATGCTTACGACCGAACGCGGCGGGGTTAGGGTTTCGCCGCGCCCATAACAACCACGCGACGTAGAGGAAAAACATCCACAACTGCCGATGCTTGCCGATGCTGTGGTACTACACCATGGCAAGAGCATATCCGCCATATGGCAGAGACAGAAGACTCGAATTCGACGAGGCCGGTTGCTGTCTGCCTGCTCAGAGTGATGTTGCATGTCAGTACGGTTGATACGTCACTGTTGATGATTTTCTTAACTTGGGTCTCTTTCATGATCTCTTGTACTTGTGCTTCGCTCGATACTGTAAATGAAGGGTGGCCAAGCCGGGTGGTCATACGAACTGTAGCAGAGAGTTCCTGATCAAGCGATGTAACATTGATGAACAAAGAACGTGGTAAGAGGCCAAGCTGTGAAGCCATGGGCGCTTGACAACCTTCTTGTTCCCCGAACCACCAGTGCCACGCCCACCGCAACACCTAGTGAACGACAGCCCTTGTTCTGCTTTTGGATGTCAAACCATTGTGCTCTGCCTTCCCCTCTTATCGTATCGTCGGAGTCCTCAACGCCCTCTGTTGCACGACAAGGTCGCGCGACGACGTAAGGTCGTGCACTATGACGGCCTTCAGCAGTATCTTCGAATCGCTCGCGCCCGACAAGAGCATCTTCGCACTATCGACTCTCGGGACCGTGCCTCGCCCATCGCTTCCTAGCTCAACTGGGGGGAAGTACTCATCCCCTGCGTACTTCCACGACGCCGCTTTAAATGGCCAATGCAAACAACGCTGGTCTTTCCGGAGCGACAGGCTCCGACCGCTTTGTAGCTACCGCGCTCCCACCCTTGCGCATTTTGCCATTCAGTTCAATGCAGCTTGCGCCGTAACGCTAGGAAGCCATCCCGGCCGACATTTCATACCGCTCCACTGGCGGTGAGGGTACCCAACACTCGAAAATCAGTTGAAATTTAACGTGCCATCGCTCGTACCGCTTGATACATACTGGTACTCATCACAGAATGTGTTAGAACGCTTGACCATGCCAAGGACAGTCGGGAGGACCATGACAGGGTGATTCTCACGTATCGCCTCATTATCAGAATGGTATCAGCAGCAAGACCGGTAATCAACTATATTAGAGGTAGATACCGGTTTCGACGTCATTGAAGTAAGCAGCGTGCAAGGCGCCGGAGTCCACGCAGCCGCGGGGGACAATCCGAACGCATGTCTTGACGACATAGCGTATGCGAGCTGAGACGATGAGGAATGTACAGTGATGGTAGATGGAAGGAGAGCGATGAGGAGCGCGGTACAGCTATGCGATGGTGGTATGGGGAGAGCAGTAACGCTACAAATATGTACAAGTAGCAGAATATGAAATAATGTAAGGATGTGAGGTCGTCGAGGTCGTACTACGCGCCCGCCGTCGGGCGCGTCGTCATCTACCCTGCGAGCATCGACGCGTCAATCTCGTGCGAAACACTTGAGAAGGGCGAGGAGACTTACCTGAAACGCAGAGAACGCGTCAGACCGCGCCGAACACGAGCTCATCAGTCCCCTCAATGCGTGTGCGCAAGAGAGGCCCCTCGAGCCCTCGGAAGGGCCAGTCCGATGCCGTCTCCGGGAGGTCCGCGTTTTGCGGTAGACCGTAGGCGGTGTGTGGGGTAAGATACCCGTTATGATTGCCTAGGGTCGGCCGGGGGACCAACGAAGGGGGAGGAGGGGTGGAAGGGCGTGGGTTGGGGGGCCTATTCTCCCGACCTCGGGGGTGGGGGCAGCGACGGCGGCCGGGTGAGCCGCAGGGGCGAAGAGGTTCAAGGCGGACTGTCGCTGTTGAGCCATCGCGTGTGTGGATAGAAGGGGGTTGTGCCGCTGTGACTGCCAAGGGTCGGCCGGGGGACCAACGAAGGGTGAGGAGGGGTGGCAGGGCGGGAACGGTTCTGCTAGCTCTGCGAACGTCTGTTCGCTGACCTGGTAGTGGGCGTGTCGACTGAGCTGGCCGTTATGAGTTCCCAGTGTGGTCGGAGAGAGGGTCGGCCGAGGGGGCGGGGCGTGGGTAGTGGGGATCGGTTGGATATTCTCCCGGCCTGGGGCGTGAGGCGGCGCCGCGGCAGCCTGCTGAGGATGGGCGGGGGTCGCGTTGAGGTTGACAAGGGGTTGCTGCTGGTTGACCATCTGTCCGGGAGGTTCGCGGTTTACGGGAGACGGTAGTCGTTGTGTTGGGTTAGATGCCCGTTGTGATTTCCAAGGGGGAACCAGTGAAGGCGCAGGAGGGGTGGCGAGAAGGGAGTTGGGAGGACGGTTCTCCCTGCCTTCGGGGTAGCGCTGTCGCGCTGCGAGGTGTCCTTGAGGTATACGACTGGCTCCCCAGGCTTTTGGTAGATTGCGGGGCTGCGTATCCCCTGGCTCCCCGCTGTCCCGCCATGCCCCCGTGATGAATATGCGGTCTTCCGACGAGGAAGTTCTGGGCTTTATGAGGTCGCCGACAAAACGAAGACGTACAGGTGCGTATGCCGTCGTATTGCGAGGAGCGAAAAGGCGCGCTGTGTAGTTCTTTACTTCCTCCAGATTGTCTCGCGAGAAGGCGGTATATGACCCATCGCCAAACGGATATCCAGATGCCGAGGATGGGTGTGACACCGCAGGCGGAGGTCGGCGGATGGCCCTATTCGGAGATGTGTAAACCAGGAGAGTCGCGTGCAGATATCGAGGAAGTCGTGGAAACTCTGGATGAGAGCGACACGACGATACGATAAACAACAAGCGGCTCAGAGCTGTCTCCACATCCTCTCATATGTGCACCTCGAGCTCTGAGTACCCGTAGCTGCGAGGGCGCTATGATGACATCGAGGGAGGTACCGGAAGGGATGGGACCACCGAGGGAGAACCCGACGAGCACATAGCTGGTCAACCAGGGGCGATGGAGGGTATCTTCGTCCGCGTACACAGTCTAAGATGGCATATCCTGACGGGCACCTGCTTGGTCGAACCAAGAAGTCGGTCCAGAGAGCGAGAGGGCGAACGTCGTCTACCGCCACGAGTTCAGGTAGTGGAGTGCGGGACGTTTTGCATGAGTGGCCGAGAACTGTTGCGGTATAGTAGCGTTCATCTGTGCATCGCAGTCAATACAGCTTATGGCACGAGAGCAACAGACGATAGGACGTACGTGCAAGCTCGTGATTACCGGTGGAGGGATTCCTGACGTTGAATGCTTGAGGATAACTAGGTGGGTATTCGATGCATGCCATGGTCAGTTCGTCGACCACATATATACCTCCGTAAACAAACCGTTTCCAGGCTCTGTCCGTTTATTGCACATTAGTCCCAGCAACAATTCGAAAGAGTCGGTACTTATTGGCGCCGTGACGACAAAGAAGTGTATCCCTGCCACAACGGGGTCTTGCGTGTCGTATCCTGACAGCCTTGGTGGTTCCAGTAATTCATTCATCAGTCGAATCTTCCATTCCCCACGCAAAGGAGCTATAGTATGGGGCGGTGGATATGACCACGGCACCTGCCAATGCCGAGCCTTTCTCTGTAGGTCCCCTGCATGAGCACTTCCGCGATCGGGCGTATGACTTTTTGAATCGACATTCGTTGGTGTGATTGAGCGATGCACGCACATTTCGCTGCTGAATCCCCTCCGTCAGACACACTTACCTTGCCAGTGTCTTGTCCAGTGTCCTCACGATTGATGCTCCGTAGACTCGAAGACTTGAGATACGAGTCTTTGATTACGTACGCGGAGAGCTGCACGTTATTTCAGTCTGCATTGATTTTTTGTTTCATGATGTCTTTATATGTCGCAACGCTGGCAAGCGACGGAGAAGAAAGGGAATGAGCGACGCTAGAGAATCACAGGCCCGTACAACGGTACAAGAACGAACACCGTAGCAGTCCCGGGGTCTTGATCATTGGAGACCCTGGACACTGGGACGTGAACAAATCTAGCGACGTCACAGAAAGTTCATGCACTGGGCCATCGAGAACGGCGGCACACGAAACCCAGCTCGCGTTCCTTGCCCTCAAACCACCACCTCTCCCAGTGAATCCACGGCCAAAGTTGGTACGATGGGCGTAGTCATTGGAGTCAAAAGATTTCTCAGCGCCTCCTCTCCCCCCTTCCCTGGGCCCCTCCCCCACAACGATCGTGTCCCGCAACTTGCAGGTGGCGATATTGAATAGCCAGCTGACACCTTCATTATATGCGCTCAAGGACCATGCGAGTACGTCCTGAATAGTGTATAAAACCCTGCTGAACACATATAGACAGGACATTGAGCTCAGCGTACCGCCGAGCGAGCGAGGTGAGTGTATGCGCCACATGTCTTGCTCATGAGCTAACGGCTGATAGCATATATGCAGAAACACGCTCGAACGCGAATAATTTAACTCTACATTCAACGTGGTGCGCGGAAACGGGCGCGGGGCACGTTCGGTCAGATGTGATCTGCCTCGTCCCCTCATATGCAATAGTGCGTCGCAGCCCCATCGTCGCACGCAGAACGTGGACGTAAAATACCACTAGCCATCCTTGGACCTGGGACCTCGGATGAGACGACGCTTACCGAGACCCGCGCACGCGACAGCACCAGCCCCACAGGACCGCGGACGACAAAGAGCGCTCTGCGCCACCCAATACTATACAAAGGTATTTGCCTTCTAGGTGAGAGTGCACGTTCTATGTTGTACATAAGATACCAATTGATGCATGTACCCAGTTCCGTCTGCTACGCGTCCGATCACGAATGTATACAAACACCCGAGAGTATGATATATTGAGGCCATGAATGAGTGATAATCCTACAGTGCATGAGTTGGGGTATCAGACTACAGTTCGCTTTGCTTTCTTCTCAACTGCGGAGGATACGCATCAGGTACGGCACATCTCGAGGCAATTGAAGGGTGCTTACTCGTACACTTAACCAAACAGGCCGTTCTCAGCGCTCCCCGAGAGATTGCTGAGCAGCTTGTTCAGGTGGCGCGCGACTGCTCCTGCGCCTTCCTTCACCGACTCGCGCTCCTCCTCTCGGACCTTCGGCAGCAACTTCGTCTCGAAGCGATCAGGGTGCCACTTGCGCAAGTAGTCCTTGATTCGCTCCTTAGGTGCCTTGTCGCCCAGCTGGTGTGGCGAGAGGATGTACGCCTGGACCTCGGGGAACGTCAACTGTTCCGGGTCCGATGGTGGCTTCAACATTGGCCAAGGGAAGGAATGCCAGCTGAGAACGTCCATGCTCGCGAGCCGCGCCCAACGCCGCTCGTGGTCCTCGAACAGCTTGATCACCTCCTCCTTGCTCAGCTGCTTCATCGCCTTCGCCTCCTGCCGTCGCTGCTGCGCCGCCTGGTCTCTCTGGAACTGTTCGAACTGCTTACGCGCGTGTTCCTCTTGACGACGGGCCCACTCCTCCTCGGACGGGATTGGAGTGCCCTGCGACGGTGGAGGCCGACCATGATTCGGAGTGGAAGGGGCATGGGGAGCTGTACCGCCGCCGTAAGCGGTGCGGTACGTGCTGCCTGTGTTGGATCGGCTGGGGGTGGTTGGACTCGTGCCAGGCTGCGAATAGGAGGAGCTCTTCCATGCACCCTTCGCAGGGGTGGACGCGGCGCTTGGCGGGGCGGTCGGGGTTGGAGTGGCACTGGGGATGGGAGTGGCAGTAGAGCGGCCCGCGGAGGAGGTGCTATACCCGGTGGAGGTCGACCGCCCCGAAGCCGCCGAGAAGAAGCTCGCGGAGCTGCTATAGCTGGAAGAGGATGCGGTACTGCTTCGGTCGCCCGCCGGCCCACCGCCGTAGATAGAGCCTTGGGTCGGCACTGGGCGAGGAGCGGAGGACGACGCCGACGAGTAGCCCCCAGCGCTGCCTACGCTGTCCTGCCTCTTGCGCTGCTCTTCGTACCTGCGGTGCTCTTCCTCCGACTGCCGAAGGACGCTCGCCATGAGCGCCTCTTCGCGTCTCCTGTTCTCTTCCTGCTTTCGCTGGTGCTCCTCCTCAGCGCGCCTTCTGGCCTCCCGCTCTTTCCGGAGCCCTTCCTGTTGAGCCTGCTCTTCCGCCTGCCTGCGTGCTCGAGCTGCTTCCTCCTCTGCCATGCGTCTCCGGGATTCCTCGGAACGTCGGAGGGCCTCTTCCTTGGCACGGTTCTGGGCCTGGATCTGCTGGAGGATGAGTTCTTGCTGGCGGATGAGCTCTGGGTTCTGGAGTTCGTCATCAAGGTCTGGGACAGACTGGCCGGCGTCGTCGACAGTCCTGGAGGCTACCTCAGCTTCGCGCTGGCGTGCGGCCTCTTCAGCGCGAACGCGAGATTCTTCCGCTTCGAGACGCGCTGCTTCGACGCGAGCTGCTTCGACACGCTCTGCTTCAGCCCGTGCTTCTGCTTGTTGGCGAGCGTCTGCTTGTGCGCGTGCTTCCGCCTGTGCGCGAGCCTCAGCCTGCGCGAAAGCTTCTGCTCGTGCGCGAGCCTCGATCTGAGACTGTACATGCGCTTCAGCTTCGGCTGCCATGGCTGCCTCCTTCTGCTGTCGTTCTGCCTCGAGCCGTTCAGCTGCAACTCGCTGAGCCTGACGGTCTGCCTCACGTCTAGCCTCTGCCTCAACCGCGAGCTGACGTTGACGACTCTCCTCCTGCTCTCGTAACTCCTTCGCCTTCTGAGCTTCCTCTCGCCGACGCTGATCCCGCTCCGCCTTCTCGAGGCGCTTGCGCTCTTGCTCCTCCCGTTCCAGCTTCGCTTGTTGCTCCCGTGCCAGCCTCGCTTGCTCCAGTCGTTCTTGCCTCGCTTGCTCTTCCCGTTCCCGCTTCATCTGCTCCTCTCGCTCCCTCGTCTCCCGCTCCTCTCGTTCGCGTTCGCGCCTCGCCTGCAGCTCTCGAGCCCGCCTTTCCTTCTCCTCGCTCTCCCTTCTCTCCCGTTCACGCTTCTCCCGTTCCTGTCGCTCGGCATCTTCACGTTCTCTTCTGAGCCTCTCCGCCTCCTCGCGCTCCTGTCTCCGCTTCTCAGCCTCTTCGAGCTCTCGTCGCTCAGCCTCCTCCCGCGCCCTTCTCCTAGCCTCCTCCTGCTCGCGCCGGACAGCCTCTTCCTCCGCCTCCCGACGCTTGCGGCGCTCCTCCGCGAGCATCGCTTCCAACTCCTCCCGTTTCCGACGCTCTTCCGCAAGCTTCGCCTCCATTTCCCGCTTCGCGAGCTCGGCCTCCCGTCGACGCAGCTCTTCCTCCTTCTGCTGGATTTCGAGCGCGCGCAATCGTACCTCCTCTTCCTTCCGTCGGGCCTCCTCTGCCTGTCGCCGGGCCTCCTCTTCCTTCTTGCGTGCCTCTTCCTCCTTTCGCTGGGCCTCCTCTTGAAGTCGCTTCGTCTCCGCAGCAGCTCGGCGTCGCGCTTCCTCCTGTTCGACAAACATTTGGAGCTCATGCCGCTCGCGCGTGCGCCATAGATCGTCTAGGTCAACTCCGTAGTCGTCCTCAGAGTCGGTGTCAGATGCTACAGACTGCTCCTCGTATGTCGCGAGCGGGCGCTGCGAGATATCTGCTGGGCCCCAGAACTCCTGCCGCGAGGAGCGCGAGCGCACAGAGCGTGACCCGTTCGAATTGCGCCGGCCGTGGCCATTGCCACCCCCGCCGCCCCCGCCACTACCGCCGCCCGCGCTGCCCACGGAGCTGCTTGTTGCGTATCGATGGCGGGGGCTTGAGCTGAACGGAACTTCGTGCCCAGCAAAAGGGAACGCGTCGGGAGGACTCTGCGAGCCGTACCAGGGCCCAGAAGGGGAGTGCCGCCGAGGGCCATCATCGTTCGATGCCGGACGCGGGATGGGTCGACTGTTGGACGTCGGGAACTGCGCGGGCGGGCTCTGGGGCCCGTAGATGGGACGGGAAGACGGGCTTGGGCCGGGCTGCCAGGGATCGTAGTCGCCGTTGGAGGAACGCTTGCTTGGGATGGGGCGCGCGGAGGCGGAGTTGGGGGCCATGTACCGCGGGTTCTCTGGGGAACCTTGGTCCGAGGGGAGGCTGCGGCGCGAGGAGCGCTTGCGCACGGGGATACCCTCGCGGTCGTCGCTGTCCGCGCGAGGGCGTCCCGGCGCAGGGCTGGCCTGGTAGAAGTACTGGTCGTCGGAGGATTGAGTAGGGAGGGAGGGTCGCGCGGGGGTGATGGGCATCGCCGTACGCGACTCCGGGCGGCGCGAGGCGACGTAATAGTCGTAGATGGTCGCCGGCTGGGAGGGGGGCGGCTCCGACCTGTCCGGTTCCTTGCCCTTGCGCGAGTACATCCGCTCCTCCGCTGAGCCCATACCAAAGCGATCTCGAGGAAGAGAGGAGCCGGGTTCGAGGTCCGTGATCGGAGACGGTCGCTCGTTCGAGCGGATGCTGCCCGCACGAGAGACAGTACTCCTCCCTCCGGCATCATTCACAGGGCCCTCCCTACTGCTGGGGCTAATGGGCGATATACCGGGGGCCGTGGCATGAGCGAAGGCCCGAGACGTCGCAGGCGAGTTATCCCTAGGGAGCCAGACTTCCTGGGGTCTCGTACGAGACAAGGAGCTGATGCCTTGCCGACCGATGGACGATTGCTCGTATGGAGAAGGACCCGGAGACGGAAGCTCGAAATCCGCAGCCAAGACAGAAGAATTGCCGCGCGAGCGGGAGGGCCTGCTTCCATAGCTGCCTGGCACCCCGCCCAGAGCCGTGTCGGAGCCGCCGCTGTGGGCGCGATCCCTGGGTCGTTGCTCGACAGCTGGCGGCGCTCTGGCAGGCGTACGAGAATCACGATACGGCACAGAGGGGCCTTCCCTAGCGTCATGCTCACCACTCGCCCGCGGAGGGACAGCAACAGGGTCTCCATTCTCGAGAGTAGGTCCTCCGACGACACTGGAATCCGGCCGACCCTGTGGCCGCTCCGCCCCATCCTGCTTAATCTTATCCCAGATGGCCTGTTGCTGCCTCCGAAACATCTCGAACTCCTCCCCCTCCACCGTCTTGCCTTGAGCGAGCGAGCGCTCGAAGCGCGCGATCTTGAGCTCCTGGCTGAATTGATCCTCGGCAATCCGGCGGACGTGGTCCATCGAGATCCTGTAAGCCCGCATGGCGGCGTCGTACTCGCGTGTGCCTTCACGAATGCCTCTGAGGGATGCGTCTCGCTCCTGCCTCACCTTGTCTACCGAGGACTGCAGCTCCCGCTCAATCCTCGACCGAAGGTCCTCCTTCCACTTCAGATCGGGTTCAACATCGTCGTCAACGCCAGGCACGGGTGCGACATTCTGCTCTGCGATGGTTGCAAGCAGCGTCGTCATAGGACGTCAAGAGGGGTAATGGGGTGCGATGTGCGAGGGAGCAGGGCGATATTGCGATGGTAAGCTCCAGGTTCCGTGGGGGACCGAGCTAGGCGTGAGGTTGAGGTGGATGAGTGGTCGGGATATCCGGAGGGCGCAAGAGGGGAAAGCCAGGTAAGGCCTCGCCGCATAGAGATGTGAGAGCACCTGAAGCGATCGGCCTCATGGTAAGTGCACGCGATGCTCGACGAAGCTAAACCCGGAGCGCACCAGTGTTCCCAAGCGCCACAAATGCGCTATATACAAGAAGTAGGATGAAGACGGAGATGGCGGAAGAAGACTGGCGTGTGCGGAAAGCGGGAGATGGCGATGGCGAGGTGCGAAGGACGCGCTAGAGCCCTCGGACGTCGGAAGGCGGACGCGCACGATGCAGCCGGATCTTTATATCAAGCGGCGCTCTGAACTCGCTCAAGTCGGCAGTCTCCTCGTTCCCGCCACGCCCTCCGGACGCATTCCCCAGCGTGCTCATCCGACATCACTTTCTCTTCACGGTCTAGGCCGCACACTCCAGCGGTTCGTGCCAGGTCGCCTTACTGTATCCTGAGATATTATCGCCAATCTCTCTCGGCGCCTCGCGCTCACGCGATCACGAGGCCTTCATTTACGCGTCCAACTTGGGCCCCCAGTCTGCAGAGGTACGCCGCCAATACTGTTATCCGACGGGGGACAGCTAACGCCGTCGGTGGAAACGAAACCCGCTTCTACTCGATGAAAAACTCGTGTAGCATGTTTCCGGATCATCGCCCTACTGGATGCTGCGTCGACTTCCGGCTGGCCTTGCTCCGTGTACTTGGGCTCTGTCAACGGTCGACCGGTCACTCTGCAGCTGTGGCGACTTCTGTGTCCTTCGGCTTGGCTAGCTAATCGACTGAAAAAAGTACCGCTGGCACGCCCTCTGGGAGTCCTCTCAAATGTCGAATTATTTTCTCTCTATAGACGCGCCATTCAGAGGCCACCGCCCGAGATCAGACAACTTCGACGTCGCTTCCCTCTCGCATGGTGATGGAACCCACCGAACTGCCGATTCTGGGCGGACATCAACGATTACGCCGCGGTTGTGGCCAGAAGAATGGGGTCTTCGACTTCCGGGCGTAGGAGATGAGCCACTGAATGTATCATCGTGGCAAACTTCTGACTCTGCTTGGGCAGCCCACCGGAGATACCTCCTTCCAAGCCACACCACATGGTGCACGCTCGCGCTTTGGAATACTCGTGCGGGCATCAAGTGTTACGGAGTTAAAGGTACGCAAAGTCGATGCTGCGCCGAAAGGGACCCGAACATCCTGAACTTACGTCCGCCCTAGACAACCTACGTAAAGGGCAGGGTGCTATGCATCGTACAGGTATGCAGACTTTCCTTCCTCACGTGCTCGAGCATTCCTGTCATTAGATACGCACCACTGTTACATCAAACGATGGCATGCAGTGGCATGCAAGAAGCGTTTGACCGCCTCGCGGGATGAACATCTTGCACTTCTAGATCCTTCACAAACTCCTGGTAGGACATCTCCTTATTCTTATAAGAGCGCTCATGCAGCGGCTAGTAGGTTCAGCTGGAACATCACTCTTTTGCCTTTCGTGGCACACTATCGAACCACGAATCGTTGAAGCCAAACGAAGGACGACACCCAATACTGAGATTAAAGCAAACGTAAGCACGACAGCAAGCAGCCATAAATATACATGAACTCGTTCGACATCGTCGCCCTGGTCGTAAATATGTACGTCGAATCATCAAGATTAACGAACGTCGTCGTGTTCACCCGACAGCAATGACACGCGCCGCAGCGCTATAGTTACCTCATGCTGGCTATCCAGCTTTCCATTCACATATTCCGCGTCATTTGGTCGACATCCCACCAGCTCTTGAGCAGCGTCCGGCGGATGTGGTGCATTCCGGTCTCGGGTCCATGGTACGAGTGACTCACGTCGCTCAGCATCTCCTCGGCGGTGCGCCGGTCCCCGGGCGCGAACGGCTGGTTCCAGGGGGTGAAGATGTACTCATCCGGGTCGGGACACGAGTGCTGTGTGGCATAAGATGCACTTGTCAGCCTGCGGACAATATTGATAGCGATGGTGGGACGAAGGGACGTACGGCGGTGATCTCGTGCAGTTCGCGCTGGATCGAGAGACAGAAGGAGTCGAGGTCTGTGCACAGGTCAGCGCTGCCGCCCATTGAACCTAATCACACTGTGGAATGGAACGCTCACCGAGGTCGTTCATGTCATAGTTGAACGGGTTCTCGCTAAATGAAACGCGATGGTTCTCAGTGGGTGCCATTGATCGGCAGAAGCGGGTGGACGCACATCTCTTGTCCGATCTCGAGGAAGCCAAGGAGCAAGAACGAGGCAAACGCAGTGGCACTGCAGAACGAAGTAAGAGTGAGGACCACACCGCGACCACAGGGTACTCACGGGATCGTCAAGTAGTGGAACGAGCTCCAAACTTGGAACTGCAAACCACAAATGGTGAGCGCCGCGTTACTGCGCAGATTCTGAAGCATCACCCACGGGAAGGAAGAACAGATACAGCCAAAGCGAGATCCGGAGGTGAGCCTGGTACGCGAACGGCAGGGGGGTGTTCCTGATCCTGTCCAAGTTCGTGACCGTGTCCTGCAGCTGCGCGATGCCGGTGGTGAATGCGGACGCGACCGCGGGCTGTAACATCCCGTTGCGCAGCAACCATGCGAGGTAGCTCGACAGGTAGAGCGTTATCTCTAGCGGAACGTTCGAATCGACCGCTTCGGGACGGATTTTCTTCCCGGTCAAAGTGCGCGTCGCCGACGCCAGGGGGACCTCGGGTGTAGGGGCGTGCTTCCGGAACGGACGGATGAGCGCGCGGAACGCGATCTTGAACACGCGCAGGAACGGGAGATAGTCGTACAGCGACTCCTTCGGCGGGTTACGCGCGGGAAGCAGCGGGTGTTCGCTATACACGACGGGGAGCGCCATCTCGGGGTCGAACGATTTCTTGCGCTTCAGGCGCCCGCGGAGGGAGTGGTAGATGTCATCCTCAGTAAGCTGACCATGCTGCTTCTCAGGGTCCTCACTGGAGGTGCCTGCCGGGCCTGCAGAGTTGGCGCGCCCTTCGCGCCCTTCGCTGCGAGCGGGCGAAAGTGGGCGCGAAGCGGTAAGCGTGTGCGCGGTCCTGTGCTTCTCGGCGTCCATGGCGGAGGCTTTCCACAAGGGGAGCATGTCCTCCTCCAAAGCGCTATCCGGGGCGTGTGTCGCGTACCGCGGCAGGAAACACACAAGAGGGTAAAGATCTTCATAGTAGGCACCCGGCTCGGCACGGAGTGAATGCTGGAGGTCATATATTCAGCAATACCCAAGGGAAGTATCTGGAAACCAGCATGTACCTTGACAGCAACAGCGTAGGCTTGCACCAGGTTCACCATGCTCTTCTTTTCGATGGACACCTCAAGCATGGACTTTACTGCGCCCGTCTTCTTGTCCACGCGCTCAAACGGAACATGCACCCAGATCTATTGTGCTCAAGGTGAGCATCCTCTCCCGTGACGCGTGTTCTGCAGCATAACTCACGAGCAACGCCAAATTACGCGAGGCAATGGCGATAGTGGTCCATAGCCTCCGCCCATCCATGTATCTATCAGATGCAAGTGCCACAATCCGTGAGCGCCAAACTAAAACTAGACAGATGTGGCACTGACCGCTCGTATGCCGATGATGTCCGGAAAGAGATAACCAGACCGAGCACCGTACCAAGCACTGTGAGGATCGCGCTCGAGACTGACAGCTTGTGAGATGTCATTTCGGACACTAGCGTCACCACTGTCCACTCGCGCGTCAGCAAGTAGGGCTAACACGGGGGACGACCACCGCCCAGCGAGGCGTACTCACTTGTCGCAACGCCAGAGAAGAAGAGTACTTCCGGCCATATGTCGTTTATGACTGTCGCCTTGAACTTCTTCAGGCTCCAGCCTGCGAAGAGGGGATTCTGCGCGACCATTTTGTACGGTCAGAGTACCGCGGACGGATGATCTCCGGTACGCGGCTGCGAAAGTCGGACCGGGAGAGTCTCAAGCACGCCGTGCTTAGTAGAAAACGCTTGATGCCAGTGCGCGGAGCAGACTAGATCTAGCAACCAGAGGTGGGCGAGCACAGAGGCAGACCCACAAACCCGGCAGAGAACAAGAGGGAGCGAAAGAAGGAAGAAACGGTTGGCAAGCGCGGTGCGGGGCCATCACGAGCATATGAATCCCACGAAGGCGCCTCTCGGGCTGAAAAAGGCTCATGCTCCGCAAGTGCAGCCAGTCGCTGTCGCCCCATCCTGATGGCGTCTTGTTCTGCGTGGCGGGGCGGCCAGTTGACCCGGGGCGTGTCGACCTCGCGCCGGGGATCTGCTGGGGCCTGGGCCCTGACAGGAGGTCACGATGGGATGATGTGCGCCGGGGATGGGTCGTCTACGCTGTACATGGGAAAGGTGAGTGCTGTTACGCAAGTCCGACGTCGCAAATACATCCATCACGACCACATCCGTGCGTAGTCGAAACAGAATCGGTCGGGAATGTTGGGACCGCGAATACAAATGCGTAAGCGTAAAGCGCGGTCTTCGGCAAGCCTGGGTGTGCTCAATGAGACAGAGACAAGCTGCGATCTGGAGCTGTGGCTAAAAAGGTGCAGGAACGAGGCAGTCTGAGGCAGCCTGGGTAAAGGAGAAGAGAGGAAGATCAAATTCGAATGGGGAGGCGGTGGTCGTGTGCAACACAGCCACAGGTACCTTTCATAATACCGGTAAACGACGATCCCCCCATCAACACGTTTCGCTTCGGAGGATATGGGCAGGGAGACCAGTCAGGCCAAGACCTTATTCCACACCTTCATGGATAGGCAATGCGTTGTAAGAGGCACTTGTGAACGTTTGGAACCCGCGAATGTGCTTGACATGTACCAGGTCACGGGCGCAGGTACCTCTTCGAGAAGTGTAGTACCTAGCAACAGAAGTCTGACAGCGTCAAGGGCTGCGAACTATATGAGTGCAATGCTTCCTCATTGCCAAGAAACCGTGCGGCGTGTCGGGGTCATACCAATCACAGTGATCCAACAGCGCCCCGGCGGCGCCGATGAACACCCCCTTCGACGGAGATGGACGGATGATCAAGATGAGGTACATTCGACCAGCATGGCTCTGATAAAAACCAGTGCGATGATCACCGAATCCTCAAAGAAACATGGTGGCACCGAAGACCATAGTTTCCTCCAACATTGTACATGCTGTGTACGTACTTGTCGCGAGATATCGTGACTCAAATCGGTAAGATCCTTCCATGGCATCAGTCAAGGAAGTGCTGTGCCCGCATTGATAGCGTTGGCGACCTGGCTAGTGTTCGGTCGATTGAACGCATATCTGGATGACTCCGGTCAACTTCATCACACCTCACATTTGAACGCAGCAGATCGCAAGCCTACCTCTCGTAGCTGTCCAGGTAGAGCTGCTCGGTGCTGCAAGTGCGCTTGACCGCCGGGTGGCCGAGCATGCGCCCGACGTAGGCGCGGAACTGTTCTCCCTCCGGTAGGACGAACCCACGGTAGTGCTTCAGCACATTCGTCGCGCGAAAGAGCCCTGTATCACCGCAATCAGCGTTGGCGGCTTCAACACGCTGACAGACCGAAGCTCACACGGCGCAGCCATGACGTCCGCATAACTCAGCGAGCCGCACTCATGCCATAGGCCATACTGCGTGTAACCTTCGCGCTCCGCACGTCTGAAAAGCGTCACGAGGCTCTCGAGGGCCTCGACGAAGCCCTTAGCGCCCTCGACCTGTTTGGCTACATTGTAATGGGAGCGCTGAGCGCCCCGGGGAACGGAGATGACGGCACACATACCTTCGTCCTGTGCCTGCAGGTATCGATAGAAGGCGGGGATGAGCGAACGGTTGACGCTGTCCGCCTGCAGACGGATGAGGGCGCGTGCGTCTAGATAGGTAGATGGGACAAGATGAGCAAAAGCGGTGCGGTGGACGGAGACAGACTCCCCGGGGAGTGTATCTCCGTGAGGCCAGGGGACGCAACGCAATCCACTTACACGGGTCTGAAGGCGCGGGGAAGAGGCTTTCCGTGGTGTGCGAGGAGCGCCTGGTGTCGCTCGTCGCCAATCTGAGGGGTCGGGGTTAATAAAATTGACACGCAGTATCTCGCGGAGGCCGCGCGCAGTCCGACGCACTCTTCGAGAAAGTCGATGATGATCGTGCTCTCGTTGAGAGCCCTGGGCGAATCAAAGTTATTGAGTCTGAGCGCGGGCACGAGACCTTTAGGCGACAACTCCAGCAGCTCCGCAGGCTTCTTGTAGGGATCGACCTCGTCTACGCGACGCACGTGTGTTGAGCAGGACACCCTTCGGCAGGCAGAGCATTAGTGAACATACAGTACTGACGGAACTCAGTCAGCATCTGTTCTTAGACAACAGAACGTTCCGACTCACCGCGTAGTCGATTCCAAGGTGTTCGAGAGTCACCCAGACCCGCTGGACGAAAGGACAGAAGCAGCTACCAAACAATGTGATATGCTCCGGGCTGATGTGGGCCTGGACGGTGGCCAGTGCCTCTCCTGTACATGCCAGATGGTATGGCCTGCCCGTGTCCCTGTCGTTCGACATCTCGGATATATGTCTTGATGGTCGTTAATTATGAGGATGTGTTGGAGGTGAACCAAGGCAGAGAGCAACAGGTATGAAAGCTCCATTAGTGAGTCGATGACATCAGTGGCCATGTGCCATGGACGCTTTGGGACGTGATGTACGCAAATACTGCAGCTGGCGCAGAGTCCAAGTCCCAGTGTACCTGGTTATGCAAGTGAGGCGAGTCGTTTTCGCTGGAGCCGTTGCTAACGGTGATCTTGCCTCGAACTTGCGTACTACGTAGTACGACGGTGACCTCTTTGTTCCCGAGCAGTACATTGCCGTGTCGATATCTTGGGCTGCATTTTGTTTGACGAAGAGCAAACCAGGGTCATTCGCGAAAAGCTTGCTGTAAAATCCAAGACGGTGTGTTCCTAGATGGAAAACGTGTGGTTCTGTCCAATATAGCAGCATGGTGTTACAAAGGCAAGTGGATGGGTGCAAAATTTTTCGTCTCGCCGACTAAGAATGAGCGCCTTAAAAGGCGCTCAAATAAGCAGCGGCTTCCCCAGGGCTTCCCGGCCCGTATATATTGGGCGCCTAAAGAGGTGTCCCAAACTCAGGTTCCTGCAAGGTTCCTGCATCCTCTGCTTGTTCTGCACCGTCATGGCACTCTCCGTTAATTATTGACCGTACTGCAGGTATTCAGCCTGCGGATCGACAATAGGGCAAAACCCTGAACCGTAACCTATATCCTCCGTGTTCAGGTGATGGCACCAGGACACATCGAGTCCCAGACCATTTCAACACGCAGGGCTTCCCCATAGCTGATACGATCCCGCCAGTCTTCTCATGGTATGATACGATCCCGCACTTCTTCATAATACTCACCGCTTGCCTAACAGAGCTCGTGCCTGCGGCCTTCGCAGGGGTTCTCACGAGCGCGAGCCAGAAAAGGCAAACACGATACTTGGCGACGCTCACATGTCAGCATCTCGCCAATGCCTCCGTGCCCCCCAGTCCAGCACGGACGTCATCCGGTCGTTCCGCCTATACACCGGCAACATACCGCCTGTGTTGCCCCTACTGCTCCCAGACGACGATCACCTTTGAAACGTGAGTAAGTACCCTTGTTTCTAGTTGTACACCATGACCTCCCAGGCGATCCCCGCGTGTTACCTACCGCGCACCGACGGGCAAACTCATGGACCCTAAGGGCACACTTCGCTCAGCAGACTCGCCTGGTGTACATACTCCCCGTCCATATGCAGCGACGGCACTCCGGGCGCCCCACGTCACCCCGCAGATCCTCTCGCGGATAGAACAGCGAAGCAGGGAACCTACGGAACCCCCGCAGGCGAATTCTACAGAAGGCACGCGAAGGCCCACACATCGACGCGTCGAACGCCCCCGGAGAAGGCCGTTCGCGCCCGCGAATGCAAGCGCGGAAGCCACCCCCGCGTTCGTGTCCCCTCCGTCACACCCAGACGCTGCCCCTCGCTGATCGCATGCAATTCCCCGCATGGAAGCGCGCGGAGCGCGGGCGGTTGGTCATATACCACTGGGGCATTGCGCGAACCGGGCTTGAGGAGCGCGCTCCGGGTTCTAGTGCCAAGGCTGCTTCCGGGCGACCCAGACGTGCGCGCGTGCAGTCAATTCTTTAGAGTTGTGGGTGTATCGTAAGCACCGAACGCAGACGCGATGACGTACCACCGCCAGAGAATCGGAGAACCTCGGTACGCGTGCCAGTGTCATGCGCGCCGGGGTGGTGGCATGGGATGCTAACGGATACGATGCGGCCGCCCGCGGGCAGCAGTAGTTCAGGTTCAGGGACGTGCATTCCCTGCGAAACAGGGCGGCGGCTCGCTCAGGGCTCATCTTTGATGTGGTATGTGGAATACGGGGTTGTGTCCTGTCCTGGCGCGTGAGCATCGGATATCGACCGTGGTTGTGGCGTTTCCGTGGCTGCGCGCGCGACGGCTTCACACAAGTGTGCAGATCATAGCCCCACATGCTCGCCCATCGTGATACAACAAGCTCTCCGCGCCAGACAAGCGCAGCGCCGGTGCACTTGTCTTCCAGGTGTTCCAGGCCCTCAGCCGGAACAGGCAACGGAGGATGGATTATCGGGAAGGCACAGCGGGCCAATGCGAACGCAGAGAATGCGTATCACGCGCCGGAAGGTCGCCGGCACCACACAAATACAGCTTAACTCAAACCGGTGCCCATCCACATTGGAATTTGGCAGTGGCACATTCCGAGGACCCGCGCGCGCCGCTCGGCGGAACTTCGACTCTTCGAACAAGTACAGCTTGTCACGTTCACGGGCGCGGGTGTGCGGTGCGGCGGGAGCGCAGGCGAGATAACCCAACCCCTGCGTACCTGTGGTGGATCCATCGATGCGAACGCGATGTGAGGCTATCTATCGATTGGATTGCAGATGTCCGTCCGAAGCAAAGGGCCAGCGCCGTACGTACACCACCAACCCCGACTGGATGAGAGGAGGGAAAGGAACATGGAGGACACGGAAAAGAGTACAGAGAGCGACAGGGCGCGAGGGCAACAAGAGGCATACAGGACATGAAGAAGGCGTGCGTGTGCTATAAAACAGTGGAACAGTGGTAATCTCACAACGGGCGACCCACTCGCCCGGAACACATACGTACAAACAACCGATACCCAGACAGCGAGCGTGGCAGCGGCCACGGCGCGCGCTGGGGCAGACGGAGGGGGCGCGTGCGCGTGCATCAGTTGATCCTGAGCAGCTCGACCTCGAACCGGAGCACCGAATTAGGAGGGATCACCGGTGGGAAGCCGCGTGCGCCATACGCCTGCGAGTGGCACGATATTGGGTCAATACATCGGACGTATGGAATGCGCCAGAAGTGGGGCAAAGAAGAGAAGACACGCACAAAATCCGGTGTCGCCGTCAGGACAGCCTTCTCGCCCAGGGACAGCTGTGGTACACCTGACGGGGCGATGGCGCACGATTGAGCGACTTTGCGCGGGCGCTATGTATTGGAGACAGACGTACCCTCGTCCCAGCCCTTGATCACCTTGCCCACACCGATCTCAGTCTCGAAGGGCTGACCACTGTGGAGATTGAGTGAGTGAGAAGTGGAGGGGTAGTAAGCGCGACGATGGCGTACCGATCCCGACTGGAGTCGAACTTCTTGCCGTCGAGGAGCGTGCCAACGTAGTGAATCGTGACCTTGTCTGGAGCGCCAGAGTGAGTGGGAGATGAACGCGATCGATGACGAGGAGGACACGTACCGCCCCTGCGCGGGAAGGTCTTGCCGTCTCCGGGAGTGATGACCTCTACAGTGACACCCTGGGGGAGGCGTGAGCATGGGTGGGGGAACACGCTGCAGGACGGACTGACCATGGTCGTGGCTGGTGGACGGATGATTATGGAGATAATCAAGGAGGCGTAGAGAGTGCGTCGGTGGATTGTGGCTACGCACTTATACTAGTACGGGGAGAGAGGACGGATCTTGATCCGATCTGGCGTCATCCGGCATCCTCCTCGATCTGTGCAGCGGACGAGTGTACGCTGCCTAGACGGGCCTTTATCGATGTCGATGGACCGCCCAGCAAAACCAGTCCACCTCGGTCACTTGCCATCCCGCTACAGCGCCTCTTGTCACCGGACGGCACCCCTTCATCTCCCCAGCACGTCTCCTCTCGCCGGGGTGCCGCATTCTCACCTTCGAGCTCCCCGCAAGGTGCGCCTCCGCTCCGCGAAAGACTCCGTCCGAGATAGCACATAGACTGCCAATCCCGACGCGACAGCTGCCGCGAGGATTCGGGGGTGGATTCGGGGGTGCAAATTGGTGCAGGGCCAGATGCGATCCGATAGTGACTAGTCACTCTCAGAACCGCGCTCGCTCGACCCGTATTCCTTTCCCCGTCTTCCAGACGGACGCGATTGGATGAAGCGTTGAACCTCCTCGTCCAATCGCCGGGAGACAGGAACCCGGGGAAGGGAGGTGGGGTAGGCCGCCGCCGCGCCGTCTCGCACCCCGCGTGCGCGCAGGTGGCGGTCGAGTCCATCCCCGCGAGCTGCGCGAACGCTCGCGCTGCCGCGAAGCATCGACTGATAGATTTGCGCCGGATGGCGCCACCAGTCCGCACAGAGGCGCGCCCGCGATAGCAATCGCGCGCGCAAGATTGGAGCGTGGGCAGGACCCCTGACAATGGTCACAAATATTGCTTTGCACGGCAGACCACAAGATCTCGAGGTATGATCCGGGGGCGGCCCTTGACACCGTGAGGCCCGAGGAATCCAGTTTGGTTTGGCATTTGTGTATGGCATACCAGAAATCGGGCTCGTAGACTCGTTAGATAGTCCGGGCGCTAAGCTCGTCGCGCCTTCCAAAAGGAGACCGGAGCCAATTGCGAGTCGCGACCCGTTCGTCGTCCGAAACGGATGGGGACGAGCCTCTATAGCTTGCTCGTATCGACGCGAAAGTTGGAGACTCGCCAGGCAGTCCGAGCGCTAAGCTCCATGCGCCTTCCAAAAGGGCGCAGTGAGGCTGTTCGTAACGGACTCATGGGGACGAGCCTACAAAAGTTGCTCTTGGGTCAGCTAGTGGATGCAAAATCTCTGAGAAGATTGCCAGGGGTCCTGCGTGGTTTTGTGACGGCCCGGGCGCACAGCAAGACAATGAGCGGGAATGGAGGGCGCATTGAGTGGCCCGCGCCGTGTGAGCAGAAGGCCGTGCGCCCGTCGTCAGACCGTGCCACGGGACAGAACTCAATCCCTATCGATGGCCTGCTGGCGGGGAGGTCAATGTCGGGCTCTGCGGTTGTGGTGTGACACAGGAAACAGACACACCACAGATACGAAGAAGCGCAGTCCTCCTCGAATGGACGTGCGTATCGCCGATGCGTAAATACTAATTATTGTGTTGGGCAACTCTTGTCCAGGCGATCGGAGGCAGCCTCGCCTCCGCGTCTCCGACCCTTCCAGCAGAAGAGGCCGGACTCCGAGCCGGAAATCATGCACCGCGGCCTAAAGATGTGTCGACAGAGTATCGAGTTCCAGAGACCGTGCCAGTGGACGAGCAGGCAGCTGCAGACAGATGGAGGTCGCACGAGTGTAAGAGGCGTATCCAAGGGCCTCTTGCTGTCGTCGCTGCCTCCCAAGCGCCCCACGTGGCGGTATACCCACAGCTGCAGTGAGAGCTCATCTGAGCGCGTGTAGCACCGGGGTCGACTCTAGCGCGGATAAGTTACCCGCGACGACGACCCGCCGCGGCTCTGAACGCCACAAGCCCCGACCAGCACCTCTAACATCATCCGGAATTGGGGTCGGTAGATGCGCGCAGCCTAGACCAGTCCGCACCGCGTACGGACGACGCAGCCGCGGGACCCGGAGGGCGTCGTCGATTGGGGCCCCCCGCACGCACCGCACATACACATCTGATACAATCTGTATGAGAAGATGATCGGTGATTGCAGTTCAAACAAGCTCCTTCTCTACCTGCGAACCGCGCCGAGGGGGCCCTCTGACTTCATGTTCCCGCCGCCTGGCCCGCGCCTGCCGCTGCCGCGCTCCCCCGCGCGAGTAGGGATCGTCGCTGCCGCCATAGGCAATCAAGGACGGGGGGCAGGCCTGGATCAAACACGGCTATCTTCCCTTCCTCCCTTCCTTCCCATGCGTCCTTTCATCGATAGGTGCGCGCGTGTGCGGGCGTTCCGACTCGGATGGGGCTTCTCCGCACGAGTACATTGTCGCCATATACAATGCGTGCTTCGCACATGGAGGATGGCCGTCGCGCTGGGGCTGCGGCCTTAGAACACGAAGGTGCGCTAAGAGCTAGCGGTCGACGGGAGAGATTGCCGTGGCCAGCTGGCTGGAGATAGGCATATTGTCTTCGTCGGCCGCGCTGAGCGAGACGTAACACCGCAGAGATAAGAAGCGACCGCGAAGCGAACGTACCTCGCACCGGAGGAACAGCAGGCGCAAGTGCTTCGCCAGGATGCGCGGCGGTCATCGCCAAGTACACGTCATGTCCCCGCCTAGAGCACGATAGAAGGCGCAAGGGTCCGCGAGATAGCAAAGAGCCGGGCGCAAGGCGTCACCGGACGCACGGCGACTCTAGACCAATAGGCTGCATTGCCAGTTCGGAGGGAGCGGTAGCCTTGCGCGCGAGGGGTCCGGATACGATGGCCGCGACAATGCGCCTGGAGAAGCCAGAAGAAGGTGCGCGTCGGAGCGCCCGGAGGCCATCCGTCCCCAGCTCCTTCAGAGTTAACGTTGTAGAGCCGCGCCAGCCCCGCGTTCGGTGCAGGAAGGACCAGAGAGGGGCAGGACCGGTCCGCAGAAGGCGGACGCTTCGGCCGCTAGAATAGTCTCCTATTTGCCGTCGAGAGATCAGAGAGCCCAAAAGACACGCGTCGAAGGCGTTGCGCGGGGCACACACACATCACGCGGTCCAGGCCTTTAGGACGTTAGGGCCGAACGAGGCGTAAAGAGCCGTCAGAAAATAGACTTGAAGCTAGTAGGTGTCCGGGACGCGGAACGGAGGGACAACCCGAAAAAGCAAGTTGGACAACGTTTCACGGGTCGACGCAGCGTTGCATGGGTTGGTTTCTGATTGGGTCCCGCTGAAAGATACGATGGTGCTGTTTGACAACGTGGAAGGTCAGTGATTGGGTTGGCGCGTGGACGCAGCGCGGATGCAAACAGCCGTGGAACGGGTCACTCACCACGATTTGGCGAGCCGACGGATACACGTACGAGTGAGCGACAGCGAGATGCGGGCTCAACACGCAGCAAATGGGGTGAGAAGACTTGCTGGGCTCATTGCTTTGCTCCATAGCCTGCTTGAAAAGGCTCAATCTGGACCAGCATACATCTAGGACTCATTATCCCCTGTGCGTCGGTGGCCGTGGAGAAAGTGGGCATCGGAAACGGGCTGGGCGACCATCTAGAGATCAGGCACACCTCCACTCGTTCCGCTGAATATATGCGCTGGATGGTTAGGCTTTCTGCATGAGCCACGCGTTAACGTAGCGTCTGTGCTCGAGTACCCTGAAGTTATTCTCATTTATTCTGAGGATGTGAGGGGACACTTCTGCGGATTAAAGATCTGGAGCGTACCTGATGCGGAAACAAAAAATCCAGTATTGTGTATGAGTCGCTTTTCAGGGGATCTGTGCGGTATGGGAAAAGGATCATCTGGACCAGCATACAGTTAGCTATCAGAATTCCCTGCTCTTCGTAGCAAGGCTCTTCACCTAATACACGGAGCACAACCGTGCAAGCTATCAAGTGTCTATGCTAGCCATGATGAGCACATAGCCCTAGTCCACGACGCGATCCGCATCGTACATTTTATCGCGTCTATCCACCATACCTATTCGCTGCGCACTCGGCGCACAGAAAAGCCTAATGCGACGTACCGAGCGAGCAGCGGTTTATGTGGAACAACGCCATTCTTCAGCCACACAAGTGGAACGGCCCAAACCAACGCGCGTACATAGATCTTGAGCGTAGAAGAAGTGATCATCGGAAACGAGTCAAGCGTCCGTCTGAAGATATGGACAACCTCCACCCGTTCCGCTGAACATTTGCGCCAACTGGCCAGGCTTTCTGCGTCAGCCACACGTCGACGTAACACGACGAGTAGCCGCAGTCATTGTCATTTTTCTGAGGATGTGGGGCGACGCCTTGCGTATCGAAGTCTCGGGAGCGCACCTGATTCGAAAACATCCGGTAGTGCATCTTAGCGGTTTTTCGGGAGTTCGTCCGGTGTAGGGCCGTCAGGTGTACAGCGCTAGCCAAGGAGCGTATTGGAAAGACGGAGAAGGAGCGCAGCGTGAATTACGCGTTCGAACGCGTCTCAGCTGCTTGTACTTGACGCAGTATTTTTCTCCATCCATTGTTCGGTGCCCTCGTGGAATGAGTTTGGAGTGATTGTATGGCGAGTCCTGCCAGAGTCTAGAGAGCTCGCCGAGAACAACCAGTGGTCAGCTTTTCGTAGAGTGCTCTTGGAGGCTCTTGGCTGCCTGCGTAAGCCCTCTCCGCAGTCCAGTGCAGCAGCAGCGTAGTTTAGCGCATACAGTCAGGACGAAAGCGCAGCTAGGCGGTGCGACTGTGCAGAGCAGCGGAGAGAGTCCCGGAGGCGGTGATGGAACAGGAAAAGATGGATATATGCGGGAACGACGTCAGTGAGGGTGGGCGCCAAATATACCATCCATCTCTTCCCCTCTCTTCCCCCTAGCCGCATCTCTCCTCATCCTACACCACTATGGACGCCTTCAGGCTACGCAAGAAGTTCCCAGAGGTCTCACAAGATGAGATGTTTGACCTCATAAACCGCTTCAAGTATGTCCGTCTGCTTTCTTAGTCGAGAATGATACCAATGATGGGGTAGCTCGATCTCGACGGACACACCCGGTCGCGTCGACAAGCAGCGCGTTCTCCAGTCTCTACAATCGGCGGGGCAGAACTACGATAATGCGCGGGAGGTGTTGAAGCATGTCAGCGTGGACTCGAGTGGGAAGGTTGAACTGGAAGATTGGGTCGAGGTACGTACTTCGCAACATATCTTTGTTTCGTAGCCGCAAGGCAGACGATCAGGGCCACGGGGTCGCTTGTACGCGACACGTTTGCGGGATATATCCGCTTCCGAGAGGATCCTCGTTCCTGCAGTGTTCCTTCCATGACGGCCAGGCGATGGACCGCAGGCAAAGAAAGGCGTTCACGAACCTTCTGGTTGCTCAGTTGTTCTCCTGAACGCAAGCTCACCGGATTCTCTCACCCTAGCTCAACGTAAAGCTGCGCGACCAGCAGTCGAAGGATGCGCTTCTTCCCTCAAAGAAAGGCAAAGTCACCGTGCACGGCTCAAATGCAAACGTTAGCCACACAATCAATGAGGATGAACGCGCCGAATTCACGAACCACATTAATATGGTGAGTAGCAGTCATTAGGGAAATTTGCGCCTTCTTATGCTTGCACAGGTCCTCGCAGGAGACGCCGATATCGGCTCCCGCCTCCCGATCCCCACAGATACCATGCAGCTCTTCGATGAGTGTCGGGATGGTCTCATTCTGTGCAAACTTATCAACGACTCCGTACCCGACACCATCGATGTCCGTGTGCTCAACAAGCCCACGGCGAAGAAGCCCTTGAACGCGTTCCAAATGACCGAGAACAACAACATTGTCATCACGTCAGCGAAGGCTATTGGCTGCTCTGTCGTGAACATCGGCCCGACCGACCTTGCAGAGGGGCGCGAGCACCTTATTCTCGGCCTCATCTGGCAGGTCATCCGCCGCGGTCTGTTGGCCCAGGTCGACATCAAACTCCACCCCGAGCTTTACCGCCTCTGCGAGGAGGGCGAAACTATCGACGACCTTCTGCGGTTGACTCCTGATCAGATTCTCCTTCGCTGGTTCAACTACCATTTGAAGAAGGCCGGGTGGAAGCGGAGGTGCGTCACCATATAAATGAGCAGGAATTGCTGTCTGAAATTCCCGTGGTGCAGAGTCAACAACTTCAGCCGCGACGTGTCAGACGGAGAGAACTACACGGTCCTGCTAAACCAGCTCGTCCCCGAGAAGTGCTCTCTCGCACCCCTGCAAGCCCGCGATGCCCGGCAACGCGCAGAGCAGGTGTTGCAAAACGCGGACGCGATCGGGTGCCGCAAGTACCTCTCGCCCGCGTCGCTCGTCGCCGGTAACCCGCGCCTGAACCTTGCGTTCGTCGCGAACCTGTTCAACAACTACCCCGGACTCGAGCCGCTCGACGAGCAGGAGGCGAAGGACTACGGTGTCGTCGAGGACTTCGACGCGGAGGGCGAGCGCGAGGCGCGCGTCTTCACGCTCTGGCTCAACTCGCTCGGGGTCGAGCCCGCCGTATTCAACTTCTTCGAGAACCTCAAGGACGGCGTCGTCATCCTCCAGGCGTTCGACAAGATTCTGCCGGGCAGCGTCGTCTGGCGCCGCGTGAGCAAGCCGAAGGCCGGCGCGGCCCAGGAGGTGCAGCTGAACGAGGACGGCGAGGAGGAGGATATTGGTGTGACACCAAACCAGTCGCGCCTCTCACGCTTCAAGCAGGTCGAGAACTGCAACTACGTCGTCGACCTCGGCAAGCAGTCCGGCATGCACCTCGTTGGTATTCAGGGCGCCGACATTGTCGACGGCCAGAAGACGCTCGTGCTGGGTCTTGTATGGCAACTCATGAGGTAAATTTTGCCCGCCCTGACATTGTGTCTCTTCAGGCTGATCGCCGCTGTAGGAAAAACATCACACAAACCCTCACGTCGTTGTCGAAGAGCTCCCAGGGCCGGCCAATCAGCGACACCGAGATCCTCAAGTGGGCGAACACCACCGCGCAGAAGGCGAAGCCCACCGCGAAGCCTGCACGCTCGTTCAAGGACCCGTCGCTGTCGACCGGTATCTTCCTTCTCGACCTGCTAGAAGCGCTGCGCCCCGGCATCGTCGACCCGACGCTCATCATCAACGTCAACGAGAGCGGACCGTACGAAGACCGTAGACAGAACGGTACGCATATCTACCCCAGTTACAACTTGTCAGCACTGACCGTTGGGTTTGATCACAGCCAAGCTTGCCATTTCTATTGCCCGCAAGATGAACGCGCTCATCTTCCTCGTACCAGAGGATATCGTCGACGTCCGCCCGCGCCTCGTACGTACCCTCCCGCCGTGCTTTCCTTCACATCGATGCTCACAGCCACGCACAGATCATGACGTTCGTCGGCAGTCTCATGGCCATCGAGCACCAGTGAGCGCTGCTCGGAGACGCAAGTTCAGGTTTTCATTAGTGCGGCCTGGTTCGGACATTCCGGAGATTTATCCAGCGGGTGTAATGGAGGTCTTGAAAAGAAGTGAAGCAAGATCCGATGTAGTACTGTACGCCTGCGGAGATGTATCGAGTACGATGTGATTCACCTTGACAGTTCTGGAAGTCGTTGGCAGCCTCGGGCCGAAGCTGAACTCCAGTAGCCGTCGGGCTCAAACGTCGGAGTTCGTCTACAGCGTGGCCGTACTGCCCGTCGATGGCACGAAGCTCACTGCGCACAACCGAGGCGTTCCCCTTCTGACTGATCAGATTTATGAAGCGGCGCACTGCTCGCAGAGGGACGACATCTGTGCAGTCAGAATGGATGTGCAGAGCACCGATACATCGGTATCGGCCAGGCGAGCGAGGCGGCGTTCCATGAGGACGTACTCGAGCCAAGAGGAAAGCTTGATGGGGACTCCCTATACTGGATTGTGGACGGAAGAGAACAACAGTGGCGAGTTACGAGTCGTTTAGTATAGAGCTAGGCGTGGGTGGTGGTCTCGTCGATGGGGGTCGGCGTTGGACTTGGATACAACGATCTTGCAGTGATAAGAAAGAGCCACGTCCTGAGTAAATTCACTCGAGGCACTACCAAAATAGGTCGCGGACGCACCCGTTTGGATTTTTGCCCGTTTCCGGGAATCGAGAAGTCGGGTGTCGTGGCAGCGAGAACACCATGACATACGGCATATGCAACGAAGACTGACGCCGTGCACGCCTGGTGGATATTTACCTCGGACGTGGGGAGGTTGGCCACAACTTGCAAGCTGCCTTAACCCTTCCAGTCCGCATACTCCATAAAAGCATCGCCAACATTGGAAAGACGCAACCTCGAGTGCTGTACAAGGTAAGTAAAAGGTACATTTCGTGCAGTCGAATCACTCAGCCGGTTCCAGGAGGGTGTACGCTTTCCCCGATTCTCTCAAAAGTCCTTCGATTATCTTCATCCCCTCCAGCACTTTTTCCTCTTCCAACTTCTTCCCGACGACCTGCACGCCCACCGGCAAGCCATGCATCGCTGTCGCATCGTACATCTTGTACATGTCGCGCTCGATCGAGTTCCGCGCCTTGAAATTCTTCTTGTCGAATGCATCCAGCTCCTTGTCGACGTGCGTAACCGGAAGAATACCTGCGGAGTAATCGAGCTATAACGTCCAGTTAGATCGCATTACGGTAGGCCTGTCAGCAGCGAGCAGGCTCACGATGTTCCACAGGAAGGTATATCCGCAGCCTTTGAAACCTCCCTTCATGCCTCCGTGAGGAGTCGCAGGGAGCGCGTTCGGCACCGTAAGCACGAAGTCGATCGCCTCGTCCTTGAGCTTCGTGAACCACTGGTCCCTGTATCCTTCACGCTTCGCGACGAGTGCAAGGTACTGCTCGATGTTCTTCTCGCTAGCAGTTTCGACGAGCCCGGCGTAGGCGTCATCGCCCCTGACATGACGCAGGTACCACGCGTACAGATGCTTCACGAAGCGCGGCAATGCGAACGCGATCCGGGCTTGGCGCACCCCGGGGTCATTCGTCTCGCCCCAACGGATCGGCTTCGTGGAGAGTTTACCTGCAGAGATCTGTGAGGGACATGCGATCATCAACAAAATCGTGTACGTACCACCCTCTGCCAGGAGCAGCTGAGAGCCAATCTTGAATCCTTCGTACGGACTCGGCGGGTCGACTCTGTTGAAAAAAATCAATACATCCACACCACCACGCGATGTTTTTCGAGGCGTACAGCGTCACAACCTCGTGGCCGCGCGCGGTCAATTCTGACACGACTGTCTCCAATGCGCGTTTGCATGCAGGAGATGGTGCGACGACGCCTGGTACAACATCCGTGAGTCGCGGGCGCCCTACATGGAATGTGGTGACATACCGTCGTCCCACATCACCGCCCAGCGAATCGGCTTCCCCGAGACCAGATTGACCTCCCTCCAAGGGATGGGAAGACACTGAATATGACGTCAATACAACTCTACTCCTCGGCCGGGCCTGGGGGGTAAAACGGGCCTACCGAATGGTCATACTCCCACGGCTTCATACTCACGACCGCCTTCCAGAGCATCTCGAGGTCGTCCAACGTCCGCGTCATGGGAGAGTACACGGCGGGGATGCCCTCCTGGCCGGGCATACTCGTCGAGTTTCCGCTCTTCAGGAATCTGAAACTGGACGCCTTGATGGTGTATATGCCGGAGAAGTGGCTATGTAAACGATATACTCGTCAGTATGCCAATACTATGCGCTCTGGATCCGAGGAGCTTACTCACGCAGGTGCTCGCACAGACCCCGCGACGTCTGTGCCGATCCCCAGGCGCGATCCGCCGTACGCAAGGAGGGCCGCCTCCCCGCCCGTCGAGCCTCCCGGAGAGTACCCCTTGCTGTGCGGGTTCGTCGTCGTCCCAAACACATCGTTCGCCGACTCGAACGAGAGCAGCGTGATCGGCACGTTCGTCTTCACGAACGGCACCGCGCCCGCGTCTTTCAGCAGACGCACAAGCGCCGAGTCCCGCTGCATCGGCCGCCCGACCCACGCCGAGTACCCAATGCACGCGTCCTCGCCCTCGAACCCCACCGTGTCCTTCACGCTGATTGGCATCCCCGCGAGCGGGCCCTGCGTGTTGCATGACTCCGCCCAGCCCTCGGCCTTCGCGATCAGCACCTCCGTCAGGCAGTTCGTGGCGGCGTGCGCCCGGAGCGCTTGCTTGCCGTACGTGCGCAGCACATGCAGGGGCTCAAGCTTTCCTGCCTGCACTTGGGCGACGATCTCGGTGGCGGGGCGCGCGAGCAGCTCCTTGTCTGCTGCGGAGATAGGAGCGTGGTACTCGGGCGGGAGCGTGCGGATGCGCTCCTCGCGCTCGTGCTGTTTCGCCGCGCTATGCAAAGGCGCACGTCAGGCGTGTGACCACGACATGTCGCTCGACGTACCAGGCGCGGCGGTGTGCTAGAAAGGAGAACATGGTCGATAGACAAGGTGCGTCTACAGCGCTGGGCGTTATCAGGTCCGGGGCTCTGGTTGCTTTGCGGCACTGGGAGTCTGGATGGTCAGGGCGGGTCAGCAGACCGCGTACGGCGCGAGCTGCCGTGCCGCACACCCACGAGCCTTCTTCGACGCGGTAATGTCGTAAGGAGAACTGGAAGCTTAGGAGTTCTCAGTCGCACGACGCCTTGCGCGCAGTCCAAGCGAGCGAAGGGTAGCGGCCATCGCGGCGCTTGGCTGAAGCTTCCGAGCTGGGCGCTGTTGAGTGTGTGCGCAAGGTGACGCTGATCGCCTACATCAGGGCAGAACTCAAGAATTCGAAGGCAGCATCGGAATGAATGTTGCCGAAACGTGGAAATGGGAAGATGACGCTGAAGAGTGTCCCGTACAGGCTCAAATGCCCGCTGCTGGCCTTTCCGATGAGTGGATATGGTCCGTGGAATAGCGCTGGTTAGGAGGGACGCATTTGGCTGGCAATGAACTGGAGAAAGGCACAGGAAAGTCAAAATCTCTTCTGGGCCTTTGTCATTTCCACTACGAAAGAGGCCTTCATCAATCAAGAAAGCGTCATCAAGCCTTTTCCGATGAGTAGAAGACGTCGCTCTCACCTGTTTCAACCATAACCATGCCAATATGTCTGAGAGTCTTGATAAAGACGGTATGAACAAATCTTGCATCCGAACAGTGACTTCTATGTAGTGTGACTGGTAGGAACTCCAAATTCGATACTGTGCAAATTCGGTCGGTTAGTTACTGTTACGGAGTCAGAGCACTCGCAAAAGGCTTCATTCGAAGTGCTGGATACCACGGCACGCATGGTGTGAGCCTCAAGCGAGTGATGTCGAGGACAACAGATCTGACGAAATCGCGGTCCCATCGCAGTGCCGATCCTTTCCCCACACTCACTGAGACCAGTTGGCAGTGCAGCGTGCACATCATCGCCGGGAGATGGGAGGGACGCACGAATTTCGCCCTGGGTAGCAAGTACGTACCGTAGCGAGCCTGTCCAAACTCCGCGCGCAGGACGACGTGGTGCGATGCTACTCTCCAGTCTGGAGGGCATCACAATCCCAGGTGCTGAAGACACACATTACGTCGCCGTCCCTGATGGACCAGCGACGTATCAGGGAAGCTGTGGCCCGGAGGGGGACTGCGTTGTGGCTTGAACTCAGAAGGAAGGCGGCGGAGGAATAAAATTCGATGGAGACGCACCTCGGCGCACCGCTGCCTACTCAAGGCTATTCCGGCAAGCTTCTGAGCGGGCGTCCGCGCACGAGGCGCGGCGGCGAAGGTGCGGAGATATCATATTAATGCGACGCTACTGGTAGGGGTGATACAACAGAAACAACAGAAGTCCGTGAGGTGGGTGCATGTGAGGGGCGGTACCATAATGGGGGTGAGGCGTACAACAGATGGACAAGCGTCCGCGCTCGGGGCTCGTATGTAGTATGTACGACTCGCGGCGGACATTCCAGTCATCTCCGCCGAGGCGACGAGAGGGCGCTGGAATGGGCCATACGGGAGCGGCGCAGCGTAGCGCGGGCATAAGGTTTAACAAAAAACAATGCGTGGCGCGGGATGACAGTGGAGGGGCTATGTAAGATGGACCCGGCGACGATGGGCGGACCAGAGGGGAGCGTACATGCAGCAATAAAGATAGGTCGGCGTATGTAGCCAAGATAATGACGAGTCCGGAATATCTATACAACATCAGCGCCAGTGTCGCCGAGAGTGAATGATGGTGGAAGAGTCGTCGTGGATGAGTAGAGAGGGAAGTAGGTGGAAGCGAGTACGGAGACTCGCTGCACGATGTCGCCCAACGGGGGTTGAGTGCCCGCTACGCCGTCCGACATGCTCCTCAGGCTGCAATCAGATTTTGATCTTCGAGGACGCCCTCAGCTGCCGCAGCTTTGGGATGACCTCTTCGAGTTCGCGCGCCTCCCAGACGTCTCCGTGAGGCGTCAGTATGACCTCCGCAATCTCCACCCGGCGCATGGCCCGCGGCACAAGGTCGGGGCATCCCTGCGCGCCGTCGCAAGTACCCTGGGGGCTCTCCGAGCGAGCGCGCGTGGACCGGCTGTCCAGTGAGAGCGAGCCATGCCCGACAACGGTGTCGTCGTCGTCCTGATCCCAAGGGTCGGAGGAGATAGACATTTTCCGTCGTCCAAACAGCCCCGTCTTGGATGCGATGCGCTTCAGCGTGGATCGGGGCTTCGATATGGAGATCGTGGAGGATATGGACGGGGTGAGGGAGGGTGCTGGTGACACTGAACGAGCGGGGGGTTGCGCACGGGGTTTAGGCTCGTCTTCCGAGTCCGACCCAATGACAATGGACGTCGCCGAGGCCGTCCGCGTTCTCTTCCTCCCTCCCGGATGAAATGGGAGCTGCTTTGGAGGCACGGGAGAGGCCGGAGTGACGGAGATGTGGGGACTAACGAAACGGTCTGACATGGGAGCGACCATAGGCTTCGACGGTAGGGGGGCAGAGTACGAGCGTGCGGGGATAGTCACTGCAAGGTGCCTCGGTTTTGTGACTGCGCGGGGGAAGCCGTTGCCAGTGTTAGCACTGTCAGGAAACTCGGAGGATGCTGTGGTATAAATTGAAGCAGCGGATGACTGAGATGATGAAGGGGACGACGAGAAAGCCGTGGCGCTGTCGCTGTCATGGTCATCGATATAGCTGCTGAAGCTGAAGGGAGAAGTCCGTCCACCCATCCAGGACACTGGCGGCAGTTCGTGACGTGATGAAGTTTGCGGCGCGCCACCATCGCTATCGGTGACAACCTTGGGAAGGGCGGGGAGAGGACGCCTCAGTCGTGCTGCAAGCGAGTGGGCCGCCGGAAACACTGGCAACGGAGGGAGGACGAGTGTCGGACTGCTGACGTTGGGATGCGCGAAGAGCACAGGTGAGGGCTCATCGGAGTCATTCGGGGACGACGGTGAAGATACGGAGCGCGGTGGAGGTGGCGGGTAGTAAGACAGCCTGCTCTTCTCGTAGGCCTCGTTTGGGTGAAAGACCATGGGGGTTAGCGGAGCATCATCGCTTTCTGCCGGAGAAGCGGGGGCTTGGGCGTGACGAGGACCATCGTGGCGTAGAGTTGTAGGCGGCAGCGTCGTAGATATGACCAGGCGGTCAGGGAGAGAGGCCTTCTTGGATGTCGATCTGACTGGCATGGCTCGAGCAACAGAACCGGGAGCGGGGAGGGCGAGGGCCATAGGTAAAGAGCGTCTGGAGGAGCAGGAAGAACAAGGGTATATAGAAGGAGAGACAAGGTTACGACAGGGTATACAACGAGGGCATGCGCAAGAGAGCACCGGGGCGTTTCGAGTATATGAATCGAACCCGGGCGTCGGAAACCGGCGCAACGGCTGGGGAGAGTGATCGTCTTTGCCTCAGGACGCCGCGTTGCATGGACGTGTGATGGACACCGCCAGCCAGGTAAATCACCGCATGCCAATAAGGGGATCAGTGTCGCATCCTGAGAAGGCGACAAGTCCACACCGCGGGAGATCGCGCGCAGACCTGCGCAAACCGAAGTGATCCAAAGATGGCTGGCTGGCGCTGGCAGCGTGGGTTCTCGCACAGGTCCGTTGCCCGAGAGTCCCTATTATGAGAACAGGAAGCATGCGTGGCTGCTCACCAGTACAGGTATACCCGAGCAACCACAGGTAAAACGCCGTTTAGCCCAACACCACATGGGGATTCTGCGATCTTTTTGCCAGGTCGCGGAGCGTGTGCCTCAGCTGTGGATATTTGATGGCGACCATGCTAGAGCAGGCACTAATACAGGTCCAGTTTTAGATAGCGGCCAGCAGTGAGCAGAGTCAGCAGAGAGTACACAGCAGACCAGGGTTCGAGGGCGTCGATGTCGTGGTCGTCGTCAAGGTTCCGCTCGACGAGGACGGGCTTGACGAATCCGGGGCTACGAGGATGTCACGTGTGTGACTGTATGCGTCACGCAACATGCAGGTGTGGCGACGCCGCGGCCTTTCGCTGACCTCAACGACGACGACAACGACAACGGCGACAGCCATTCCTTTTCTCTTTCGCTCTTTTTCGCAATCCTCGTCGACGAGCTCCTAAGTTATGTCCTCGTCCACCGCCATTCCCCAAACCGCGCCCGCTGGCGGCCTCACCATCACCCAACCTCCCCAAACGGCGACCTCGTACTACAAGATCGCGGACTCGAACACAATCACCTTCGCATGGAATTTCACGGACGTCCTGGCTACGCCGACCTCCCTCACCGTCTCCGCCGTCTGTGATAACGGGAACACCTACCCCGTCGGCCCGACAGACGGTATCATTGCCGGAGATGCGACGAGCGTACTGTGGGACCTCGGCGCGTACCAGTCCGCCCACCCGAACCTACCACTCGCCGAGGCGACGTACGTGCTGCACATCTGGGACGACCGGGGGTCGGGCGCGGCGAGGGAGCCTGGATTCCTCTCGGAAAACTCGGCGCTCAAGTTCGCCATGTACAGCCCGCAACCGTACACCCCCCTGGAAGGTACGTGCTTACCCTGTTCGGCGTGGGTCTTCGCTCGCTGATCGGTTGCCATTCGCATTCGTGCTTAGACTGGACATGTCCAACATGTAACGGCGCCCTGTCCGACTACATCGCCCATCCCGCATTCATCAGTCTAACCGTCACCCTGGTCGTGATGTTCCTGTCGGGCTACTCCCTCGTCAGGCAAGCGACGCGGTAGAGTTTCCACCACAGCGACGGCGGACGGAGAGGTGCAGGTGGGGCGTGCGTGGGTGTGGAGCGGTAGTGCTCACGGATCATTTGTGCATTGGCATGGACTCACAGGACATCATGACGCTACGTCTATAGCTTTGCTCGCGTTTTTCTGTTTTCAGGGCGATCCTCTATTCGTATGGACTTCTCTCATCCCATCCTATAGCGCACATCACTACCCATAATATGTTCCATAACCATAGAGTGGCCGGCGAGCTCGGGCGCCGTCCACTGGACAATTCCTCCCGCCGAACACCAGCGCGTGCGAACAGGGTGCGGACCATTTGTCAGCTCACTTGGAGCTATTGCCATATAGATACTTTCCCGGTATGCCCGAGAGGTGAGAAGGCCATTGACTTCAACGTTCAAACGTTCAAACGTTCAACTGTCGAAAACTGGCTGAAGAGATCGTCTGAAACCGTTTCAAGCAGGCCGACAGCTGCGCAGCGACCCCGAGCCGCCCTCGCGGGACCGGTAACTCAAGTGTACACTAGGAAGCATCTGACCTCGATTTTGAAGCCATCGCGCGGGAAGAAGTTACGACGCACGTCAGGAGAGCCGTCATCGCAACCACCACGCTGCTGCGTCCTGGTGTCACCGTCGCCCTTCGACGCTCTCAAGCCACATAAAGACGGCCGCCGTCACCATCTGGTGGTCACCGCACCGGTCTCCGTTCCGGACCATCGTACCATAGCCCGTCGGTCCGTTCGCTCTGGACACGCCTCGTGTATTAAGGTTCTCACAACCGCGACGACGCTGGCGCCGCACAGTCGGCGCCCCCGCCCCGCGCGGTGGCATGGGCACTGGCACCGCTCGCAAGCCCGTGTTCGTATCCGCCAAATGCAGCTGAGATCACCGGCGTCGCTGCGGGGGCGCATCCCAGCCCTGCCTTGAACGCGCTCTCGACCTCGCCCCTAGGGTCCTCTTCTGCGACGAGCGTGGCCGTGCGCTGACTGGCGGGGCGCACCGCCCCCTCGGCCGTCCCGGACACGTCCGCGTCGGTGTTGGGGGAAGCGTCGATGTCCGAGGCCGCCGACGGGTGGGCGGGCGGTGCCTCCCGGATCTCCTGCGATAGAAGGTGCACGGACAGCTTCTTGCGGGTTTTGGCCCCCGTGGACGGGCGGACGAGTGCGTCGTACGTCGCGACGACTTCAGGAAGCGCAAGCTCGCGGATAAGCGAGGCGTCTTCCTCGTCTGTGTGGGGGGCGACCCGCGTCAGCGTCCGTCATCGACATGCCATGGCACCGAGGTAGAGTGACGCAGTGGGAACGCGGGGAGGGACGTACGGCGGAGGAAGTCGTAGTAGCCGCTGCGGATGTGCGCCCAGAAACGCGACGTCTCCTCGTGCAGGTTCTTGGCGCTCTCGAGCTTCTTCACGATGAGCCCTTCCTTCTGTCGCGTGAACTCATCTGGTGACATCTCCGCGACGCGGTCGCCGAACGTCTCCAGGAACGCATCGACGCGCGACTCGAGAAACCAGGGAGGGCGCACGCTTTGGATACGTATGCCGAGCCCGCGAGTGCTGTTGATTGACCATGGTGACGACCCCACAACGTATCTATGGATGCATCAGTATGGCGCTTATGAATACGCTCCGGCGAGGCGGTGCAATGGCGAAGGCGCACCCAAGTTGCTCCTCCGTGCGAAGGATGGAATAACACGGCTCGCGCATCATATGTGCGATGAGCGCGAGTGTGCACCGTAGTCGCACATCCGACACTTCGCCGAACTGCAAGTAGTATGACAGGCTCGAATTGATCTCTTTGGGGTTCGTGTGCCTCTTGCGCGAGACGACGTCCGAACCTGGCATATATTCATAGCGTTAGCAAAGCACAAGCATGCGATACGGCGGAGAAACGGGTTATTCTTACCAGGAGGCAGGACTAAAGAGCGCTGACGAGGTATCTCACCGGGGAGGAGAGGCCGCGCCTTCAAGCACTCCTCTGCAAGCGAGAGTATCCCTAGCGATTTCTGAAGATTTGTAGTGAGGGATTGCACGACCCCTGACCTCGCGATAATTACATACGCCTTGCGTCAAATTGCCATTCACCAAAGCTTCAATGAAGACTTTGGATAGTAGGTCATCGCGATGCCGCTCGACATCGCTTTCGCTTATAACTTTATGATAGCGTGAGCGCTGCTGGAGGGTCTGTGTATATGGCTCACTCACGAGGAAGTTCGGGCAGCTTCTCGGCGGGTGTCCAGATAGTCGGCATGAACATCCAGGTAGCATAGGACTCGGATAGGGCTGACGGCTGGCTCATGTAGAAGTTCTCATACTCGCGTTGTATCTGGATAAGGAATGCTCAGATATGCCGACACTGTGCTGTTGAACGTGGGCCGGGCTACGCACCTCCTCCTTTACGACGCGCAACCTGTCGGGCTGTACTTGCAGGCCACGAATCTTCTCTAGGACGATACGAAGGAGAACGGGGATCTTGTCGTTGTACCCGCTCACGGATACAGTTAGCCCTTCTATCTGGTTTGTTACAGAGTATGAGAGCCCGGCCAGGTCGGCGTCGTAGGTCACTTGTGCTAGCGCATCGTCGATGAGATCCACGAGGACACTGAAAGGCATCAGCTAATTCACTGTCGGCCAACATCAGAGGGACTCATACCGTGAAAGCATGGCATGGCGAGGGGTAGCGTATGCAAGTGGACTGAGAAGTTACAGCAGGCACGTTGAGACGCAATCCACCTAAGCCGGGTAAGATGCACACACCTCTTCACGTCGATACGAACGTGGGCCTTCGGCACCCAAAACTGATCGTCTTTCTTGTGCCATAGCTGCGACAGCTCCGTGCGCTTGGCTAGGAGGGGATGTTTGGCCGGCTGCAGAAGTGTATGCTCGGCATGTAGCTCCTCAGATATAGGGTCAGGAACTGACTCACCCCTGGGACCTCCACCTTCTTGACATCGAGGTCCTCGGGGATGAAGGGGTTGGGCGTAGGAAGATGGAGCTCTTGGTTGGCGTTGGGGCGGCCGAGCTACGTACTATAGTCTAGCGCGGCACGGGTGATGAGCACAAGGATCGCTCACCTTCTGGATGAGCTCTTGGTCCATCTTCTGAACAGCATATTGTGTCCCATACCATTTCTCCGTAACCCACTCCACGTCGTTCCTGACCACATCCTCGTGATGTGTCTTCGCCTGCAGCGTCACTCTCACCCTCTCAGGAACAAAGCCGTCCAGTACCTGCCTCACGAGCGATTCGTCCCAGTCCCTGTAGAGGTGAGCACCACTGAGGAGCTGTTCGGGAGGATATGGCTCCGCGAGCGCGTGTGCGAGGGTGCTCGCGTAGCTTTGGGGTTGCGCCTTCTCCTTAAACCGGAAGCGCGTGGCCGCCATGGTGCTGACCTCGGTAAAGTGGAACATGGAGAGCGGCGAGGCACGCAGAAGCGAGATGTAATTGAAGACTGCTTCGAGCACCTCGCGGTAATGCACTGCAGAATGAGATCGTGAGTGATCGGGGTACGATGAGTTGGGGGGATAAACTTACGATACCCCTCAAAGGTGAGTTGGCCGTGCACCTTGAAGAATTGTACACTGCGCGAGCTGCCTGATGGCCCTGAACTGAGGCTCGAGAGCCAACCCTTCTTCTTCAAGAATGCGCAGATACTCCCTGGCCCCTCATGGCCGAAAAAGTGGGCTAGGAACGATGCGGGTTTCGTCTCATAGTGTTCCCGCAGGTCAGGTAGTTGGAAACAGACGTCGAAAGCGTAGAAGTCCTTCACGGTCTGAACGAATATCACAGTCTGGAAGATCCGAGTGAGCGGAGCAATTGTTGTATGAGAAAGGAGATTTAAAACGTACCCCCATATGTTCTACTCCCCATGGCTCGTTCTTGAACGCGGGCCTTGGTTCCAGCGCACGATTGGGTATCTTTGCGAAGTGGGGCACTGCTAATGAAAACAGCTTTTCTAGGCTTTCTGTGTGTTATTCAGGATGCCATTGCTCATCGAACAGCCTTCGGGCATGCTCACCTTTACCGATGACCGCGAGAGTCATTCTAGACGCGCAGTATTCTCGCTGCCACCATGCTACGAGCCGTCTACGAGTCTCCTTCAAGATGACCTCCTCGCTCGCTTGCTCTCCTTCGCGCCTTCCCGCGTCGGACAGACTGACATAATTACCAGTCCCAAATTTTCTCCAAGGATGTCCTTGGACGCTCAAGTTCTTCGTGATCTGGAGGACGCGCCTGGGGTCGTTCTGCAAGTTCCTCTTGAACTCCGAGTCGACGGCGTTGATTTCACGTGCAGTGAGCGACTCGGTGAACAATGGTGCGTGGAAGAACGCAGCGAGTCGCGGAAGGCCTCCGGCAAGTTCCGTCGGCCTGATGGAAAACCAGTACTCGGTGTACGTTGGCCCCGTCGCGGCGTTGCGAGAGCCGCCATTGGCACTGATGAACTGCCCAAGTCAGCACGAAGAATGATGCAAGGTGCAGCAACCCATCGGCGGAGCTCACTGAGAGAAAATCGTTCTCGGCTGGGTATGGTTCCGAGCCCTGAATTTGTTGCACAATATCAGCTCAGAGCTGGACGCATCTCCCACGAGCAGCGGGAGTGCAACAATTGCTTGCCTTGCTAATCATATGTTCGCAAAAGTGCGCTAGGCCCGGTGCGTCATCCTGGTTGTTTTCCGTCTCCAGTGAGCAATGTCACCCATACGCCCACACAATAAGTAGGCAATGTTACAATAACACGCACCGGGTCCATCATGGAGCCCGTCGCCAGTGCCAAGCAGGCGGCCGCCTTGTCTGCTGTGGCATCGTGAACGAAGACGGCGCGGAGGCCGTTGGGTAGCTCGACCAGTCTGTATTGTCTCTCATCTAGCGCGGGCTTCTCGACCTCGCCCATGAAGAGGCGATATCCCGGAACATCGCCCGCAGAGGGGACGTCCTTCCATGTCGACATGAATCGGGCCTGAGAAGCGGAAGCCAGGGACGAGCGACTGAGATTCGAGGGTACCGGCTGAGCCGTCCGGTGGCGCCGCGCTGTAATCGTGGTGGGAGAACGAGGTCGCGGAGGCTTTCTGCGAGTGGTTCCGACGGCCACGTTGAGTAGACGAGGACAGGCCAGGCTGGACCGTTCGATTGGAGAAGCACGACTAGCTGCCTGTGGTGGGTGCAGCGACTGCTCGTCGCGCTAAGCCAAGTGGAGTGCGTCAGCGGTCGATCATCGTGGGACGCTTACGCTGAGGGCAGCGGAGAATTGGCCACTACTCCCAAAAAGGCATGCGTTAAAGCTCAGACAAGCGCCGGAGGCTAAAGCTTCCACAATCTTTGACCGGGATTGCTGCCTGTTGTGCTTGTCCGTCGTCTTCACCGCCAGTGTCGGATCGCATGGCAAGAGCAGCCGTCCTCGTGTTCACGAAACTTCAGCTAGCCTCAAGCGACACTGTGTCTTGCTCACGTACAAGGCGCAGGAAGCACTTGTTCCGGCGACCTTCTACGGGCCGACCTCCTGACGCGGCTCTCACGTCGACGACTTCGTCGCGCCCTTGCCGCGATGTGATTGGTACAGCAGAGCCGGGCGGTGGGGGCTCTAGACCGCGGTGTAACTGTAGACGTCTGCGATCGCGCCGCCATGATATGTTGCGGTGAGATTTGGGGTGGCAGGAGGTACGCGTGGAGAGCACGAGCCACCGCCCGATTTGAGTTGTTCAGGCGAATCGCGGGAGTCCGCGCGTCCGGGGGCGGACTGTGGGCGAGTGCCCCCGCCCTTCATTTTGGAGGTCCGTTTCAGATTGGCTGTGTGGGTGAGGCCTGGGCCGTCATAATCGCTGAGCCTCCGAGGGCCGTCCCGGGCGAGGGGACGGGTGGCCACACGTCCCCGCTGTTCTCTGCTTCTGCGCGTTCAGATGGAAGGCTGCGGAAGGCTGAGAGGTGATGGACACAGGCACAAGCCTTTGTCAATTACGGATCGATGCGGGCCGTATGCACCTGTGGCGAATGAGAGCACAGGCGCCTGATCGGGGGAGGACGATGCGCCTCTGTGGGCCTGAGGCGTCTCCCAACAATCACGCGGTGACTGTCAGCAGAGGGCGCCGTGGCCAGAGCGTCGAAGGGCCATTGTGAGGCCTTTGTCCCCGCGTCGAGTGGCACAGGCCCCCAGGAGCCACTCCGACAATTGTTCCGTAGTCCAGAAGCCCGGGCGGCGACATATCGAATGATGTACCCCGCGCGCGTGCCCCTAATCCGGCTTCTTTGTTCTCTCCTTCCAGCGGGCGGTCCAGGCCTCCGTCATCGACCCTCCCCGTGGGCGGTTGTCATAGCGCGTCCACGCTGCGCGATGTGGCCACCGCCCTCTCTCGGAGTCGGAACGAATCTCCAGATATGAAGGCATGCGTCGCGGACCCGCGCCGGGACGCGACTGTCGCGTATATATAGGTGCCTCTCGCCCCTGCCCGCCGCCACTCTGAATCCCTGCGTCGTCGCAGACAAACCGAGTGTCGTCGTCATCAGCTGTGTGAGCTGCTGCCTGAACCGACCGCGCGCATTGTCCGCCCTATCCGACCGCCCATCCAGCCACCATCCGAAGCCGTGTGCATTGTCCCGGCTCTGCAGCTTGCCTACCCGACTCCCACCAACCTGCGCACCACGCGTGGGTCGTATCGGCGCCGAGCGTAGACTGTATGTGTGATTCTTCGTGGTCTCAGATGATATGGCGCGTGTTAACATGAGGCAGACATATCCAGCCATCCTTTGATTCCCTTCCTCGGAGGTGCACCAAACCTCTACTTCCTTTGTACCCCACAAAGTCACGAAAACCTCGACAACATCACGGTATATAACGAGATGGCCGTCATAACCGCCACAACACGGATCGAAAGCTTCGAGAGACACTACATCGTGCCACCACACCGCCCCCACGCCGGCATCCGCGGCGACATCTCCTCTCCATACGCATACGCGCACCCTCAAAAACACAACGCGGAAACCATGGAATACCGACACCCAGCCAAACAAGCACCCAGCTCGCGCCACCCCGCTGAGCGGTCCGACGCCACATCCCACTCGCGCGAAGTCGCGCGTGCTTCTGGGTATGCTTGATCTTCACATATGCCTGGGTCGCGTTAACTGAACGACGCTCTTACAGTGAGAACCGACAAGAAACGCGCCATCTTGAGAGGCAGCCTCCGACGCCACCTTGGCTCCAGAGGCAGTCTCATGCACCCATGCCCAGCGCGTCCGCGCCCAGTCTCAGCGGCAGCATGCGCTTCAACAACCCTACCGCCGCGTCAGGTCTCAACGGCGCATTCTCAGGGACTTGGACGTCCGCACGCCCCTCCACAGCGCATGGTTTGACGCCAATGAGTGGCGCGAGGTCGCGAGGCAGCAATTCGTCTGACAGCGGGATGGACGAGGACGAGAGCGCGACCGAAGAGCTGCGCGCCATATACAGGCTGCCCCAGCCTAGCTACTGCGGGTCCTCTGCGGACGTTCCACTGCGCTCCGAGAGCGACCGCTTCCTAGGCACGCCGCCTAGCCGGAGCGCTCGCCAGCCCACGCGCACTCCCGAGGAGCAGCGTGAACTCGACGCTAGCGTGCAGCTACCCCCTATTCGCGTATACGAGCCGCAGCGCATGTCAGAGGAGCACTCACCTTACGGCCGACGCCTTTCTCCTGCGCAGAATGTGCGGCTCCCTGGCTTCCATACGATCTTGATGAACACCAAGTTGGCGCTCCCGTCGCACGAGAGTGGCTCCAGCGTCGTTCGAGGCAACTCGAGCTCTGCGAGCCCCAGCCCCTGCCCCAGTGTCGCATCGGTCTCGACCAACGGCCGGTCGTGGAGCCAGGCCGACACAGAGCCCACCGAGGACGAGGACGTGGCCATGGGCGAAGTGAAGCGATACGGCAGCTTCCCGCTCCAGGCACTCGCGCCGCCCGCGGAGATCGTGCGCCACGCAGTTACACCCTGGCAACGCCTGCCGTCAAGCTCGCCCGAGGATGACGAAAGCCCTCTTCCGGAGCTCCTACCAGTGGCTCCCTCCACCCACGCCGCCCGCGCGCCCGAGACCCCGAAGGCGCGCTACCCCTCAAAGGGCAAGGGCAAGGAAGCGCCGGCCAAGGTCAGCAAGCCTCGCCGTCGCGCTGCGGAACCGAAGGTGCCTCCCCAGAAAAAGTACCGCTTCGTGGCGAGCCACTTGTCCGGCGACGTCCTTCCTCCTCCTGAGGCCATGGAGGACGTCGAGCGCTCGCGCTCCGCGTCCGTGCAGAGCGGGTCGAAGCGCAAGCACACGATGTCGCCCTCGCCCGCGCCCTCTTCAAGTCCTGATCTCTCGCTCGCAAGCATGGTTCCGCGGTCGAGTTCCAGGCATCCGTCGATTCCCGCGACGCCGATCGCAGGGCCGTCGTCGCGGAGGCAGTCGCAGTCGCAGGCGCGCGCGCACACCGACCCCCCGAAGCGTCGCGGACGGCCCCCTCGGCCCGCGTACGACATCGAGTCCGTCGCGCCCATCGACCCCGATTCCCCGGAAGGCCAGGGCCAGTTCCCTGTGTACAGCTATCACGACGAGGAGCGGCCTACGCCGTGCCAGTTCCCCGGATGTGAGGTGCTCCTGACGGGGAAGAAGGCGGAGACGACCTCACACCTCAAGGACCACTTCCAAAAGGCGGGCGGCCGAGACCTCATTTGTCCATGGACGAAGACCAGCGACAGCGGCGAATGCACCCCTTGCGACAAGAAGTTCAAGGACAGCGCGAACATGGGCCGGCACGTCGCCACGAAGCACCTGCAATCCGAGAAGTACAAGTGCGGGAAGTGCCACCGGGAGTTCGCGAGGAGGGATGCGGCGTTGAGGCACATGAAGACGATGTGCAGCCCGGAGAAGGAGCAGCGCAGGGCTGCGAAGCGAAAAGCCGAGTCGGATGAGGAGTCGGAGGACGCGGCTAACGACGCAGGTTAGTGCTTCCATTGCCAAAAGTAAGATGACGACGCTGACCCGACGTCCTGTTAGACAATAGTGGCTCTTCTAGAGAAGACTGAAAATGACCTGCGAGACATTAGAACTCTCAATGTTACCCACTCACGGACGCTCAGACGGTATATACCCAGTTGTATGCGGAGCATCGGGACTGTTACTCTGTATTGGTGGACGAGAACGTTAACGTTGAACGAAGGACCGGAATGGATTGAATGTAGCATACCTAGGACAATGAATTGTTTTCGATCGATGCTTTCGTGGATGTGGATCCTGGACTATGGCGACGCATTCGCAACACGAAGAGCGCGACACGAGATTTGCGCTCATGCGCCTCCGCGTCCTGCCCAGTTAGTGCGCGTAGTGTTATGTCGTGCAATTGGCGCGGACAAGAGGCGTGGGTGGGACATGCGAGAAGAGGCAATGGGGCCCTCCGTCGCGTGGACGCGTGGGCGCGCCCACCCTTCCGCAACGTCTTCTCGGCTGGAGAGTTGGTGCGCGCCGTATTCGCGCCAATACTCGACACGACGTGGTGTTTGCGCGCGAGGGAGTGTATGCATGCTTACCAGCGCTGCTTTCTTTGTCTTCAGCGTGTCTGTCGCGTCTTGGCCACGCTCACCCTAAGATTAATTAACCTGTGAAATCAAGACAACTCGTAAACTACCTCCCAACTCGTCAAAACGATAACATCAGCTTACCTTAGATGGGCCTGCGGCGTCTGGTAGTCCTCATAATGGGCCCGCGCGCTCGCGAAGGGCGCATATATGCAGGTGTGGCTGAGTGCGAGAGGAGGCAGGGAAGCATGAGCGAAAGGCTCGGCGATAGTCCCGTGGTTGCTTATCAAGGGTGGAATATGTGGATGGGCGACAACCTCTGCGGGAGAGCGTAAGGGACGAAGGGGTTACTGAAAAGCGAGGTGCCGTAGGTTTGACAGCGGCTTGCATATCAGTGAATCGCTACGTGATGTTGCTGTTCAAAACGCCTAAATCCAATTCGCTCTCGCTCAGAACTCGCCCCAAGACGCACCACTATCCGAGATGCACCAATGCGTCGCTACCGGACATATCCACCCATTCTCACCCATGTCGACAGCAGTTCGCCCGAGCAGCTTGAGAAACTTGAAGTACCTGTGATAGCGTGTCAGAAGGAAAACCAAGCATCTGTTATACAATACACGTACTCAACCTGAGTGACCTGCGCCTTGAGGCCTGCCGTGCGAGTGGGACGCAGAAGCGATGGAGAGTACTGAGTAGCTAGCCCCGTCCGAGAACCCACATCCGATTTAATTCCTTGATTACCTCGGCCGCGTTCTGCAATGGGTGAGGGGTGATCGTTGATTGGTGAGACGACAAAAACAGGAGGAGGAGGGGGGAGAGAGAGAGGAGGGGGGGGGAGAAGAGAGAGAGAGAACAACGGAGGTGTGGCTGAGCCCGGTAGCGCCAAGTGGCTGGGACGCGTGCCACCGACGCGTGATACCGCGTTACGACGCGCGTTGTCACATTGATCACGTGATCCCATTGCCGCCTCGCGCCGCGTGCAGCGTGGCCACGCGAGAGAGAGCGAGTGACGAGTCGACGTCCACTCCGACTCGTATTCCAGCTGTGCTGCTCAGCCTTCTCATTGTAAAAACCAATTGTGACACTGGTTTGCATCTATTTTATGTATGTGAAGCTCCAGCTCCATTACTGGTGCCTTTATCCACCCCATGTCGGGATCATGCCGAGGATCGTGACTGACACACAGCCTTCATGGAATCGAAGCGTTCTCAGCGACATACGCTGATCTTGCTAGATGCCCCTCTACACAGCACATCTACCATCTCGATCAAGAGGTGGTGAAATACGGCGGATTTACTCCCCTTACAAACCTTCACATTCCGGACCCGAACAGCTACCAAGCCTGTGTCAAATCTTCCCTCCATGCAAGGAGACCTTCTCTTCGGACGCCGGTCTTTATAAACCGTAGGTCCCGCCCTCGCCCACGAGCGACCTGTCCCTCACCATGTTCCTCCAGCGCGCAAGTCAGGCGCTTTTGCTCTGCGTAGCGGCGATCGTCGGCACTCTTGCTGCGCCCAGTGTTCTGCTGCAAGTCTCTGGCCCATCATCAGTAGTGGACATCGGCAACCTCAAGGTCGTCACTACCGTCACCAACACGGGCGAAGAGCCCTTGAAGCTGCTCAACGACCCTCGTAGCCCACTCTCCGACCTTCCGACGGATAAATTCACTATCACCAACCAGCACGGCACTAGTCCGGATTTCATCGGGATTGCGGTAAGTAAAGGACATCTTCAACATGATCTCCTGGTTGTATGCGCCGTCTGACGATCTCAAAACAGGTCAAGTACATCCCACATGTTGCCATTGGCTCGGATGACCCCTTGGTATACACAAACCTTTCTCCCGGGCAATCCGTCGCAGTTGAACACGATTGTGAGCACGTAACATTTTGTATATTTTTGGTTATCTCATACGCCTTTCATCAGTATCAGTTGCTTACGATTTTTCCACGTCGGGGGCGGGACCATATGTCATCAATGTGAAGGAGCTTAACGCCCTCTACTATGTGTCGCAAGGGTATATTTCCGCCCTACTCGCTGGACGTAACCTCCCGGACCACGCTGTCAATGTTTCAGGCTCCCTCATGCCATCTCGTACCCGCGCCCCTTTCAGACCTGACGTAGAAGAATGCGAGGATTGGCAGGAACGGGCCATACTCACCGCTATCCCCGTCACCAACAAGTATATCAGCACCTCGCTCCAGTACGATTTCGTTTTCACTCCTCGTGCCGTTGCATGTACATTAACAAAATTCCATAGGCTGTTAACTCAGGATGGCTACACCGGCGATCACTATAGACGGTGGTTTGGAGGTCCCAGCGAACACCGACTTTCCACCGTGGCGTCTCACTTCGAGGCCTTGCTGGGGAACAACTTTACCGAGTTCACCTTCGTCTGCAAGACGGCCTTCTGCTCTCGCAAACCAGGCCTATACGCATATGTGTACCCGGACGAGTGTGTATACTTTGAATTCGTACACTGAGTTCTTCTCTCATCGTCGGACATAGGTTTGGGCGGATCCACGTCTGCGACACGTTCTTCCGCTCTCCCGTTGGTGGACCAGACTCGCGGGCATCGACCATCGTTCATGAGGTATGCCACCACACTTGTTGATCGACGACTCGGATGTTGATTGTTACGATCGCTGCAGTCAAGCCACTTCACGCGCAATGGCGGCACCCTCGATCACGCCTATGGGCAGACTCTGACGCAAGAGCTCGCTCGCAGCTACCCGCAACTCGCAGTCATGAACGCGGACAATCACGAGTACTTCTCGGCGGCCTCCCACGACAACGACGTCAAGGAGCTGCCCGTGCTGCTCACGCAGGTACACTTCAGCGGCGAGTCCTTCCGCGTCTGATCGGAGTTGCGGTAGCGCACCCCCCTCGTCCTTGCTATGTTTTCCTTTGTATGTCAGTCGTGTTTTGTAGAGCTTTGCGTTCCTTGCAGCATCAGACCCGGTAGACTCGCGTTTCTTGCCGTCCGTGCATATATGATAGTAGCTACATTCGAATAATAAGCATGGCACGGAACGATTGCCCCCGCCGCTCGTATGCGTAGAGTGAATTATAATATACATATTGTATCTTGTTAAACACTACGTACATAAACCGTCCATCTGCACCGAACACACTTCCTTCAACTCAGCTTGAGCCCGGCAGGCCGGCACTTGGGTTTGGCCTTATAATGCCGCAGCAAGGCATCTCGCCGCGGAAACCGCTTGCCACACCCGGCGCACGGGAACCGCCATTCGTAATGCAGGCCCTCGATGTGCCGCTGGAGCGCCTGCGCGTCCGCAAACGGCTTGTGCACACACGCCGCCCCAGCGAGGGTCTGGTACGGACAGGGCAGCGGCGTCTTTTCCTGCTGCTCGGCTTTCTCGGCTTCCTTCCCCTTGGCAGAAGGCCCAGCGATTGGGGTCGGAGGCGGAGGCGGAGGGGCGATCTGGGCAATGTGGCCGTGCGAATGCGCGCGCGCGGCAGCGAGGTCCGGCGCCCTGAGCACCGTCGTGCACCCCCCGAGGCCGCACCGCGTCTCCGGCGTCATCTCGATACCTTCGAGCTCTGCGACTTTGCGGCGCTTGCGCGGTGGCTGCACCGCTGCGCCAGCAGAGGATGACTCGGCGGACGCCTCCCGCGGTGGCTTGCGCGCAGGGGCCGGGATGAGCGTTGGGGCGTTCGAACGCTTGCGTTTCTCGGGGATGCGTTCTGGCTGGACGTGCGCGTTGCGGGTGCTTCGACTCCGAGAGGAGGGTCCTGCCAAGGGAGGCTGGTTTTCCTTGTTGGCGGGGCGGGCAGCGGGCGGGACGGTGGTTGAGGCAGAGGAGTCGTCGGTGTGTTGCACCGTGGCGGTGACGGGGACTGAGTCGAGCGTCGTTGCAGCGGTGGTGGCTAAATGGGCGGCAGGAGCTGGGGGTGGCAGGACGGACGAGGAGTGGGGCCAGGCAGCTGAGTGTATGGATGTGGCCGCCGGAGGTAGCGCGGGAGCGGGAGCGGGCGTTGTCGAGAGAGGAGTCTCAGAGGACAGAATAGGCAGGGGGTATAGGAAGGTGAAGTCTTCTGGGAACCCGAGCTCGCGCGATCCGTCGGCGCCCGCGAGTTCATCCACAAGTAGACCCTAGGAGTATGTTGAGCGGCGAATAAAGCAGGCCAGAGGGGGCGTACACACCTGTAGCGTTTCTCGTCCAATTTGCCCAAATGCACGAGGAACGGTCCACTCGGTGGGCTGAACTTCGCGTGGCGCTACGTCGATCATCGGGTCACATACTCCGTGTTGTTCTTCCGAAATGCTGGCCCAGGGTACGTCCGCACTCCCGGAGAACACGGCGGGAAGCGCGTCCTCGTCGCAAAGTTCGGCGTACTGTTCCCGCAACCGCGCTTCCGTAGCGGAATCGATGGTGGGCATCATAATGTAGTCGAGATAATTCTGAATGGATCCGCACAACGTCGGTTCGGCGGATAGTACGTGGAACGATGCGAACTGAGTGCTTACCGATTGCCCTGGGATATCGTCGACGTCCAACATCCAAGAACTGCCTCCACAGCCTGAGGATGGCTCCCATCCAGCGGTAGCGACTCCGAAATCGGCCGTGAAGGAGACCTGGGGGTCAAGCACATCCTTGGAGGAAGACGCGTCGGGAGCTTGGTCGTAGTAGTAAGACATTATGTTAGAAGGTTGGGTGTCTGTTGAGAGAGAGGAAGAGGAAGTTATGCGGTTGAGCGCGTGTGTAGTGAGAGGAGTGAGAGTGGTTGAGGAAGACGCACCAGACGCGCTCCGGGCCATATACGGAAGACTTAGCCATGACCCTCGGTTAAGTGTTGGCTTCGCCTATTGAACATCGACGCGCTCGACCGGACCGAATCGGTTTGGACAAACCGAACCTCTTTGTCTCCCTTCGTCTATGTATCAGACAATGGGCGGAGCTGAAAAATCAACCCCACTTACGGAAATCATCCAACCGCGCGTACTGATGTCCTCGACGTAGAGTTTGTAGATTTTGACCAGGTGCGACTTCCAGTAAGCCTGTTGTGGCTTCCTAGAATATATGTGACGAGGACGGACGGGGAGGTCCTTAATATCCCAAGGCCGGCCAGTCTCTGCTCAAGTGCAACGGCCCACGGACTGAAAAGAACGAGGAGACAGAAGAGACTGGGAGAATCGGATCGTCACCGGCGGGGTCCATTCAAAAAGATAGACATCGTGCGTCATTTATAGGTCGTGCGAGCGAGAGGCGATTGACGTATACAAATGTCGTTCGAGGAGAACAGCTCTGTTCGCAGCTGTTTGCGGTATCACACGCATGTAATAATTCAACGCCGTCAAATATGTGGGCGTGCTTACACCTCGTCGTTTCAAAGCCACGGTAGACATGGGACGAACGCAACGGCACGTTTGACACATGCACAACAGATCCTTGCGACGGGTAACCGAACAAACGTGCCCAACATGAGAGTCGGCGGGTAACGTCGCCCAAAGCTCTCTTTGTGCGACGCTACCCGTCTCTATGTTCATATCGTACATTACATATAAAGAAGACTAACCCATGTCACCAGCAATATCCGTTGTGTGGAATTCTGGAGCAACACCACGATGGTGCTCGGTATGTCATACCCTGCCATTCAAACGCGGCCGTAAGGGGCGACAGGCCCCATCTTTCATCTATGCCCCGCGCAGCTCAATTTTAAGCTATCACTTACCGTTGTGGGTCGCACTACAAGCTGTGAAAATACTTGTGCTGCTTTGCGCAATCCATAGTCCAGCCTGTGCCGTGCGAGGCCCCCTGGCATCAAGGCGTTCCTGTCATACGGGCGCGAGTACCACAAGTGGTAGTCGCGTTCACCCCGACACCTATAAAGTCATATAATCGAGTCAGCATAGTAGTAGTCGACTGGCGCGGCGTCAGCTCCCTACTTATGACGGTACTCCTTTGGTCCGGACAACTTGAACACATCACACAGGCAGAGAGCATGATTGAACGAGTTTTCAGCGAGCGATTGGACCAGTGGAAACTGTTTGTGTAGCAGTAGCCCGACAGACAGAGTAGCTAGCGTTTATAGTGAGCTTCCAAGCTTCCAACCAGTGCTATCATCTTGGTTCCTACTGTACAGCACCAGCGGCAAGCGCCTAAATCATTCGAGCCTTCTCTCTTCCTGACCGCCATCACCGCGATATGCGTCTTGTCCTGCGCTCGTCCATCTCGTCTGCTTTTCTCCTTTCACCTACACCGACAGGCTCCTCAAACACCAGCATGCCAATGTCTACCGTATCAGCTGCGTAGCGGAGTGCCGAAACTTGAACGCACCTCTGTGCTCTAGAGTCTACATCTTCCTGAGTTGTCCTGGCCGCCGCTGAAAGCTCCAATATCATAGCTACCTGCGGTCGTTGTGCGCGATCAGCTTGGCTTCTAGGTGAACGCCTGCCGTCGCGCCCGCGCGACTCATTGGAGGTCGTTGTCATGTTTGCGAGGACAAGGAGACGCGTAGGCAGTCGTTCGAAGCATGAATGTATCTGGTGAGTGCTTGCGCTTGAGTACTTGCTGTCCGACTATAGCACGAACGCCCTATTGATTCACACCCATCCGTATCCTTCTCGATGGGGCATGCGCGTCCTCTGTTGTACTTGACATACAATCAGTACTCAAACCACGCAGGGACGCAACCAGATTCGTCGTCAACCAGATTGGCGCAGTGGACGAGTCCTAAAGCTTGTTGTTATACAATCACAGCCAGTTCTATTGATAATAGTCCGACGTTCGATAAGCGTCCTCACGGACACACACACGGTACCCAAGACGTGCAGACACCATTACATCCAACCAATCCAAGTCTTCCTTCCGCACACCCCCGGATTTGATTCCCATCAGTTGTTGCCCCTGCGGCCCATAGTCAGCACGGCAGGAACGAGACGGAGTTCGAGATGTGCACGTACCCTCCGAACTTCTTGAGGCCCTCGCGGAGCCCCGAGCCGATCTTGTCGGCGGTGTTCTCGTCCTAAAGCAGAAGGATGTTAAGTTTCTGAGACGAACGAGCGAATAACGGCCGACCAAGACGTACCAGGTTGTAGCCCGCCTTCTTCGCGGCGAACTCGACGCTCTTGTCGACCCAGTCGTCGCCGCCAGCGCCCGTGGTGCCGCTCTGGGACTTCGAGCTCGAGTTGTTTGAGTTCGAGTTGTCGTTCGAGCCATAGCTGTCGGAGCCCGAGTTGGTGTTCGAGCTGCCGTAGCTGTTGCTGTTGCTGTTCCCGCTCGAGCCGTAGCTGTCGCCGTCGTTCTTGCGCGCGGTGTTCGACGAGCCGTACGACGAGTCGTCGTTGCTCGAGCCGTACGAGTTGCTGCCGCTGTTGTTGCTCGACGAGTTGTTGTTACTCGAGCCGTACGAGTTTGAGTTCGAGTTGTCGTTGTTGCTCGAGCCGTACGCGTTGTCGGTGTTGCCGCTCGAGCCATACGAGTTCGAGTTGTCGTTGTCGCGACGGGACGAGGAGTTGTCGTCCCGGCCGCCGCCGTACGAGTTCGAGTTTGAGTTCGAATCGTCGTTGCGGCCGCCGGAGCTGCCATATGAGTTGGAGGTGGAGTCGTCGTTCCGGCCACCAGAGCTGCCGTAGGAGTCCGAGCTGCTCTTATTTCCGTAGCCGCCCGAAGAGGAGTTGTCGTTCGAACCGTACGAGTTGGAGTCGGTCTGGCCGGAGCCGTAGCTGTCGCCTCCGGAGTTGTTGTCACGACGGCTCGAGTTGTTAGACCCGTAGCTGTTGTCGTTGTCGTTGGAGCCGTAGCTGTTGTTGTTGTCGTTTCCGTAGCCGGACATGATGTGAAGAAGGCGGTGGGAGTAGGGAGGTGTGGGGGCGATGGATAGTTGTGCGAGGGAGCTGCAGACCAACGTTCGACCTCGCGGTACTTATACTGTGGAGATGAATGGAAGGAACAGCATCAGGGAGGCCCATGACGTTCCCGACAGCAAGCAAGAATAGTCCGCCAGCACTAGAAGGGCAGGGAGAAGCCTGTAGCGAGCACAGCGCAGGCACGAACAGGGCGCTGACGCACTAGAGCACGCCACCAAGACAGGACCGTAGCACGGAGTGTGTCGTCACAGTCGGGCGAGAGTCGGAATCCGCACGTCCCGAGCGGCCTTGCCCAATGGAGGCGATCGCGCACCGTGATTTACGCCATGGTGCGATGGGCATAATGAAGTCAGGCGGTGCGATTGAACATGCGCGACGGCTCGCTCGCAGGGATGTGCCTGCGATGGCGATGCGATGGGTTCGCGATCATAGGCACAGAGGCGGGGAACGCGTCATGCCTTGTGCGACGTGAGAGTGCGATGCTCCAAGTCCCGCAGGCTCTTTGCAAATTCCAGCTGCATGCAAGTTCCTAAAGGAAGTATCAGGTCTGAGACTGCGGGGGTACGTACGACTTACCCACATGTACCGGTGAGGTGGGATGACGGCGGGGAGCAAGCACCGCGACTGCTCTTAGCGCCAAGGTGCATGATCGGTGCCCCTATACGGGGAGAGTCAAAAAGACTCTCTGTCGGGGAATCGAACCCCGCTTTCGCGCGGTCAGTAAGAATGACAAGCGCGTGTACTGACCGATATACGAACAGAGACTTGCTTGATGTCGCAACAACTGGTCCATGGACCGTCCGATTGTAAGGCAGCTGTAAGTTCAGAAATACTTTCATGACTTCTATGATTTTCGAGTGCGGCCGCCATGGAACGCGGCACCCAATCTTTATGCAGTGCCAGGTGAGCTTCATGTTCCGCTTTCATAAGTACTTAATCGCCTCTCTATGGAGAAATAAACATGGCCCAACGCTTGTTCGCCCGCCGGTATTGGCGCGAGCTCAGCCTGGCACCGCATGCAGTGCTCACACTTCCAGAGAGTCAGCAATTCCCGATTCGCCGCTGCCCCCACTGCCCCCCGATGCCCCCCGGCAAGCGCCGGCTAATAAGCGCCCACATGTCCGGTACCCCCGCGCGCGATCGAGTTGTTCACCTCCCGAGTAGAAGACCGTCCCTCCAATGTTCATGTTCGTGTGCGCGAGATACTGCCTCTACGTTACATACGTCCACTACGCTGCGTGATGGACAACCTTACCCCAGCTCCCCTGGTGCCTACAACAGCCGCTACCATGCCCGGAGTACAAGCCGGCTCACCCCATATGCGGTACGAGTTTGTAGCTACGCCCTACTCCACGCCCTCCACCGGGGTCTCCCAGATGCAGAGCAACACCTGCGCCGAACCCGGTTGTAGGTCAGGCCAGAAGCTCGCTAGTAAATGCACCCGGCAGCGGTGCAAGAAGCACTGCCTTGACCGACCTACGCCATGCGGGTTTCGGGCACACGACCAGGAACGCAAAGCTCTGGCGATGCACCCGACTCCCCCTGCCTCCGACATGTTCTCTCTCTCTCACCCTGAGCCAGCAACCCCGTCCATACCAGCGCCATCTGGTGGCGGCGCACCAGGAGACCCACAACCTCCCACTACCGGTCCGGCGGACATCGCGCGCGTTCACCGCGCAGTCATGCCGGACGAACTCAAGGCGGACTGGGACGCCGCGATGAGAAGGCAGACTCAGAAGAACCACGCAGAGGCTGAGCGCCGCGAGAACATGCTGATGGTCGAGCATACGTTCTACATTGATGCATGGGTGGTTGTGAGTGCATCCGGGGCTACCATCAGACTCGCTCAAATTAACACTGACTTCTATTCGTCATAGGATGGCTCCGTATCAACTCAGATACAGGTCCAAGGACCGCCATCGTGGCCGACTATCGAGCTCGCGAAGCTGTCTCATGTAATGCAAGACCTCGGCCTGGTCGACGAGCGGGCCGTCCAACAATTTAACCTCGCGACGCGCTCGTGGGTTAACCTGCAGCTCACCTACAAGATCAAGGTGCGCTCCCAAGAGCACGTCCTCATTCGCCGTATCGGTGTCATAAACTGCGTCGACCTCGACGATGTGTGTCTGCGCGCGTCGGGCATACGAGGCCGCCTGAACGGGCTTGGGAACCCTCAACGCATGGTGGCCCCGCTCACGGCGCCTGCGTGTCACCCGACACAGTCGTACTATGTGCCCCGTCTAGGTGTCTCGTCCGTCCCTTACGCTGGGGCGATCTCTCCCGGTGCCTGGCTAGATCCTCGGCTTACGACGCACACGGCTCTGACTCAGCTTCCCTCTGTGGCGACCCCTCCTACGCTGCCTAGTACGGACTCGTTGATGTCTTTGGTGACGTCTGCTACGTCGGCTATGTCTCTCACCTCGGATGGTCTCATGTCTTCGCGCTCATCAGCGCAGTCGATGATGTCTACACACGTAGGCGATCTAGGCGGCTCTGGGCTACCATACGACCCTCCGCGCACATCTGAACTGCCGCCAGCCCCCGCTCAGCCAACTGTCCCATACGGTGCAACGCCCGCTCTCATGCTAACACCACCGGCTCCCCTGTACCACGTCTACCCTCTCGACACGCCCGCGGCCGCCACACCTGTCTATGCCGAGCCGCGTCACCCCGCGCGTGCAAAACTCCGGCGCCCGGAACTACCGAAGCTTGCTCTTGACGATCTCGACCAGCACTGGGAGCACAAACTCGTCTACGCCCCGCGCACTACACAAGCATGGCCCGCAGGCTTCTACGCGCGCGACGTCGCGAAGGCGTTCACATTCATTGGCGACGATGGCGATGACTTCGGCGGTGAGGATCCAGAGCAGAAGATCACGCTGGGCGAGCGGTTCGAGTACGTCTTCGGGAGGCAGTTCAAATCCACGACCTATCAACGATCACGCCGTGCTTGGGTCAACTCGTCGCAGGCGCAGCGCGAACACGTCGCAAACATGCCTCGGACGAAGAACACCACCTGGACGCAGGCACGCAAACAGCTCGACGGCTGGAACAGGGAGAATGGGCATAAGAGAGGGCAGGGCAAACACGCCGGAGAGGATGAGGAGTTGGTGTAGGTATGCGTCGACTATGTTTAAGTTCTGTTCTGTACTGTCCCCCCCCCTTCCACTCCCCTCCTCCCGCGACCTCATCCCTCGTCCGTGTCCTTCCCTCGTCCGTGTCCTGCGCGCACTCAGTGATAATATTATTCGTCCCGCTATCTCCAGGAAGGTGATGTACCTGCGCGCGGAGCCACAGAAGTCCTTGACTGCCCAGGGCAGTGGTATCACCGCCACCCTCTCGATGCTCACCGCCACCCTCTCGATGCTCACCGCCACCCTTCCGATGTCCCCCAGGCCAACCACCACCACCTTCTGTGAAGGCTCAGGCGACGTACTTAAACCTCGGTGCCACACCGTACACGCCCCCGCGTCCTTTCTTCCCTCTACCCACCAGCGACACCCTTGCCCCCTCCTTTCCCCGTGCTCCGCTTCCACAATCCTTTCCATCCTCTATCCCCGCCAACTATGCCCCACCGTCAATGCTCATGTTGCCATCGGCAGGATGAGGATGATGGCGACAACCTCGACTACCTCGACGACGCTGATGAACGCTGGGGCCCCATCACACGACAAGAATGGCGCTGTCCCCACTGCGGACGCAAACTCAGCATTCGCCAATGCCTCGATCCGAGCAAGGCAAACTACCTACGGCTGTTTGTAGCAGTAAGTCATGATCATATTGCTTTTCCTCCGACTCTCATATAGCATACACAGTGCGAGGGCTGCCGTTCGCACCCCCATACAACCTACTATCGATATTGCAACCATCCACGAGAGACAGGCGCAGGGGCCCCTCGCGCAGCAGGCGCTCCACCCCATCGCGCGGCAAGTGCACCAGCAGCCCCAGCGCGACGCGGGGCTACGCGTTCAACATCTCCGGTCGAACTGGGCTCGCAACTGTATTGTCCGATCTGCGGGACCTCACGCGTCGCAGGACGCTGCGGTCGTGCCTCGTGTCGTAAGCACTGCGAAATTGCCGGCGGCTGCGCTCTCCACCGTTCGCTCAGCGAGAACGATCTCCACATCCTCGGAGTCCAACCTACCGGTTCAGCATCGGAGTCTCCCCCGCCTCAGTGAGTATATATCGCGTCCAGGCCTATATATATTAACACCCTCTACAATCTAGTGCATCCCCAGTGCCTGCTCACGCACCACCAGCGCGCACAAACGCGAAGCGTCCCGCGCGCACAAACGCGAAGCGTCCCGCGCGCTCAAACGCGAAGCGTCCCGCACGCTACCAATCCCCCGAAGAGCCCCCAGCCTCGGCGCGCGCGAAGGGGAAGCGTCCCGCACGCGACCAACCTCCTGCGCAACCTATTCCCGAAGAGCCCCCAGTCTCGGCGCGCGCGAGGATGAAGCGTCCGGCGCGCGATCAGTCCCCCGACTCCGGGCGGGCTCGGAAGGCAGCTCGCACTACTCTGACACCCCCTCCGCCCTGTTCACGCTACGATGACGATATGGATGCGGCGATCCAAGCGTCGCTGGCCGACAGGGTGTCTCACGCGTCCGCATCGTTCACATCTACCTCGCGTGGTGCCGGTCCTTCTGTCCGGCGCGGGGTGGTCCCTACCATCTCGCGCGGCGCTGGTACCTCGCCCTCATGGTCGCGCGGCCCTCCGCCCTCCCCTTCTGTCTGGCACGGAGTTGTCCCTCCTGTCTCGCGTGGCGCTGGCCCTTCTGTCTTGCGCGGCGCTGGTCCCCCTTCTGTCTCGTGCGGCGCTGGTCCTTTGTCTACACCTGCTGGGGGCCCCACTGCGTCAGTCTCTGGAACTATGTCCGCGTCCGCGTCTGGCCCTTTGCGATCACTATCAAGCTATGAAGACGACTTGCAGGCGGCACTTGAGGCGTCTCTCTCCGACGAGTTCTTGCCGCGTTCGATCCTCCGCTGCATGGAGCCAGGACACCCGGGCTGCGACAACTGTATGCACACGGAAGACGACGACGACGACGACTATCTGGCGGCTCTGGAAGCATCTCGGACCGAGGCTGCACATGCTGTGGTGGCCCCGGACGCACACGCTAGTGGATCACGAGCTAGCAGCCCTTGGGGCAACTTGTCGGACAGCGGACAGTCCGAATACGAGGCGCTTCGCGACTCCACCCTCGGGATGCTCGCTGACATTGATCGCCTGTCACCCGCACCGCCATCTGCAGGTAGCCCGTACCTGGACGCCCACGGTCGAGAGATGCTGGCTGTCGTTCGTACGTCCATCGCCCATCTACGCTCCGAAACCCCGGACAGCCTATTTGATGAAGACTCCGACGACGAGGAAGCCCCTTCCGACGCCGACGCCACACTGCGGGACGCGCCCGTCCTCACCTTCAGCGGCAGTGAGTCCGACTCCCCACAGCCTAACCAACCATCTCCGCCCCGCATCAAGATCGAGCAAGTCGATATCGATCTCACCCTCGACGACTCGGACGACGACGATGCGGTTCCCGCACCCCCGCGGGCCCCACCGCGACGGCAAGACACACCGCGACGGCAAGTCAAGGTAGAGCGCGTTGATATTGACCTCACACTGGACGATGAGGAGGATGCCGTACCTGTGTAGCTCGTTCGCTCTTTACCTATCCCTCGTTGTGTTATCTTCTGGCAGAAATACATTGTTTTATTGTCTATCTTAACGACGCACAACAGTGTACAATGGTGCGCGACGAGGGCAAATGTGTGCACGACGACACGGTGACACGCACGCACAGTCGCATGTTGGCTGTGCGCGACGCGGTGACGAATAACGGGAGGTGTACGAGGGCGCGCGCGAGCGCACGAATAACGGTCGCACGTGAGGGAAGAGTGCACAATGAATGTGGCGCGCGAGAAGGGAGAAGGTACAATGTATACAAGCACGGTCGGACTACGTAGGTACCCAGGTACTGGCAAAGCGGAGGTCTCGGCGGTATCCTGGAATGCACCCCTCCGCCTCGAGCTTTGCCCGCGTCAACTTGTTCTTTTGCAATATCATCTCATCAAGGAAAAACTCGTACTTCACCGCCCCCATCTCCCGGACGATCGCATGATACCCCCCGAACCAGACATTGGTCTGTTCGGCGCGCGATGAGTTGAAAAACCAGGTGTTGTCATCCTTGAGGAGCTCTTGAAACAGGTGCGGGTTGCAATGGAAGGAGCACTCGATATCTGTCTTCTTGTGCTTGCACTTCCAGTGGAAGACGTCCACCGGTAGGCCGACGTCGAGATGGAGGCGCTCGCCCGCGCGGGCGGCGCAGTACTTGAACAGGCCGCAATTGTTGTCGTACCATACGTAGCGCGGCATGGAGCCGGGGACCAGATGCTTCTTCTTGATCATGTCCTGCCAAAAGATTAGAACACGGTAAGTGTTAGAGAAGAAAGTAAGTACCACAACTTGGGGAACGCTCTCGGCGCCGTAGAACGTCTCCCTGGACGTGATGATTCCACACGGACGTACGATTAGCTGCTCGTTGTGAGTCCGCCGCCGTCCGAACCGCGCCCGGACGCGGTGGTTCCCTTCCGCCGTCTTGTCGGGACAAGGCCCAGGTACCTCGGCCTCGATGTCTTCATCGACGGCGGCATCCGGGGCGATGGCGTCCGTGGGGTGTGCAACCTGTGCCCGCTGCAGCCGTGCGCGCAGCGTGAATATCGCTTTGCTTGTCGCCAAGAAATGCTCCTCAACAGACGCGTGGAGCTCACAAGTCCGGCAGCCCAGGCGATGAGGGACGGAACAACCATCCACCACACATAGAAGCTCCCAGCTCTGGTGGCCCGCGCACCAGCGGTCTTGAGGCGTCCGTAGCTCCCGGCGGCAGTTGTGGACTCCGCAGCACGGCCGCCCGACGTCGATGCCGTCTGTGATAACGCAGTCCACATACCCTAGAGACCATCGTAAGCGAATGAGCGCAGCACAATGTCCAGGGACGTACGTGTTACGCCGTCGGGATCATCGAAACGGCGGACGCATTTAGTGCACCAGTGTGTTTGCTCCGGCTGCCCCGACCGCTGGATGCGTCGTGTGCGTGCTCGCATCGCCGCTGTAAAGCGCTCCTTCTGGTGTCCGCCGTTGGGTACCGCGAGAACCTGCCCTCGATCCGCGCTGTCCCGCAGCAGCGCCAGAATGAGGAGCCCGTCCGAGGTATGAGTACCCTGCAGGCGGAAGCGCGAGTCCTCGGGCATGTCGCCACCGAGCTTGGCCATGGATTGATGGTATATGTGCGCGGTGTTCGTGGAGGAGGTCCATGACAGGACGGAGAGCATAGTGAAATGTTCGAGTACGGCGCGTTCGATATACTTGTGGCCGGATACTTGGATATAGTCGGGGATGCCTGCGTAGTATTGGCGGACGTCATCTCGTACGACATAGTTCGGGTAATATAGCGCTTTGCATTCTGTGCAAGGTCGATGAACGCGGGCGAGACTTCGCCCAAAAAGGGTACTTACTTTTACAAGTGAGGTGCACCGCGTGTGCATCGTACGCGCCACGGGTCATGGTAAAGACCTGGACGGAGTTTGGGGCATCGTACAAGCGAAGAGCGCGCCCGTGGCCAGCGCAAGAGGGGTCTGTGCAGACACGAACAGATGGGTAGAGCATGTGCTCCGCTTGCGAGGCTATGTTAGACAACAAGAGAGGATGGGACGATTAGAGAGGACGTACACAAGAGCTGGTCCGGCTCCTTGGTGAACCATCCGTCTACCAACCCCTCCTCGCCGGCGGCACTGTCCTCAAGGATATCGGCTCCGTCGGCCCAAACCCAAGCTCCAACCGCGGTCCAAAGCTGCTGAATACATGCCTCAGACGCGCCCAGACGGCAGCTTACGAAGGCGAGGATGTAGGGGGGAAGCTCGGCGGGAGGGTCGTCCGGGTTCCAGGAGGATGGCATCCGGTGCAGAATCACAGGCAGAAGCTTCGAAGAGAGACGTATAAACTGTAGAAGCGTTCCAAGAGATGCCCCCAGAGCACCATGAGAGCCAGAAAGAGCGTGTATTAAGGAGCCAAGTAATAGCATAGCGAGGTATGTACAGAACTGAACAGAGAGAAACACGAGCGACGCGACTGGGGCCTGAACTCACGGGCGCCTCCCGACTCGGCGCTTGCCGGGGGGTAGTCGGGGGTCGTACGGGGTTGCGGGGGGCAGCGGCAGTTCGGGATTCGCGACCGTTCTCCACACTTCGAACCACGACAACTGCCAAAACGGGACAGCACCGACGTCGCCGATCACGACGCCGCCAAAGAAGCCGCATTCGCTTCAAGTTGGTATTGCAGAATTGCACTGTCATCTACGGCCGCCCTCTCGCCTACATGCCTCTATTGTTCCTCTCTTCCTTTCAAGAACCCCTGGCCGAGATATTCTCAGGAAAGCCGGCGCGGATGTCAACAGCGCTGGTAGCGTTGGCCGGGCTTTCTACAGGCATCCTCAGCAATACCCTGAAGCCGTTGTCAAACCTGGATAGTGTCTTCGTTTCGTTGAGCCAAGTAAATGTTACTTTGCCGAAATACGACTATATTGCTCACCGGGCCTTCTGACTTAGCTTCCCACTACCGTTCTCGCGCGCGCCAAGCACGTCTTCAACACCACAATCGCCGACTCTCCAAGCAGAGCTCGAGAGCTCACCCTGTCGCAGCGCTATGCCACTCAGGTCACTGGGATCCATATGAGTCAGGAAGTTTCCGCTGCACTATGTGTCACCGGGGCTCTGGTCTTGCTGTGTCTATCCCTAGCTCTTGTCCTTCTGCGGTGGTCCCGCTTCAAACTTCGTCTCACTGAGATGCTACCGCCTTCTCTGGTCGACTCTTCTTGCGACTGCGACGAGTTTGACTTCCCTGACTGTAGGCCGGTCAACGTTCAGCAAGACGCTCCTCTACAAACGGCTGATACGCCTGTCAACCCAGTGGAGCAGAGCATTCCTCAGTATCGGGCTGATACGCCTGACTCGGAGCCTAGTACATTCCCTGCGTCCATGATCAAGGAAGAGGAACACGACGATGCTGAAGACTTCGCTCAGTCTCATGTCACATCCCAAAGCTTGCACCGGGACATTCCTCATGATTGGGATGATACGTCTGACTCGGAGCCTGAACTTGAACCCCCCACGTCTATGATCAAGGAAGAAGAACACGACGGTGCTGAAGACCCCGCGCAATCTGAACTCGCACCCCAAAGCTCGCACTGGGACCACGGCCTATATCATCATTCAGATGCACGGGACGACTCCTGCTTCGACGACGCGCGCGCCGACGATGAGCGGATTGTCCTCGAGCTTCTGTCGAAGAGAACGAGGACCAGGCCGGCGCGGCGCAAGGGCGATTCATGGTCGGGCAAGGGAAGAGTGGGTTGACCTCCGCCCTCAGAACTTAACCACCTGATGCTCACCTTTGTCCCTTCTCTCAGCGATACAGGGATGTGAAGATCGACCTGAGCCGCGATGAGGCGCTGTGGCAACCTGGGCGCGAAGAAAGCATGGGCGCGGCCCGCCAATTTCACCGTGCCTTTAATGCGGCCCTGCCGTCCGGTCGTGTCCCGGCTTCTCGACGGTGATACCTGCGCGCGTGGCTGAAATCCGTAGCCCCCCTGTGCACCCCGCCGTTCTCTGGACTTTGTCATTTTTTATTCGTCGTGTATCGCAGCACTATACACTACTTATACGCTACGTTCACCCTATCGCTCATTCCATACCCCAGTTAGCTTACAACCCCGGAGTGTACCTTCATAACCACCTCGCCTTCACAGTCTACTAGTTATCCACAACTCTCGTGATTCGTTCTAGATTTTTATAACCCCGTCGCAGTCTGTGTATGTAGCCTAGCCACAAGAGAAAGCAGGTTCGGAGTTTCATCAGTATTCATTTCACGTGTGATCGGCTGAGCCCATTAGGCATGTGCTGCGGCATTAGCACGCGACGATGCTGCAGCGGGGAGATTTACCCCCTGCGAGGTCATCGTGAATGGCACGCAAGTGAACCATATTCCAGAACAATCGAGCGATGATGTGTGATTCTGGTAGCAAATATACAGCGAGAGAGCATGGTAGTGATGACAGTGGTAGCAGGGGGGTAGGGTAGCAGACGACAGAGCGTACGCCAGCTGAGACAATGAGAGCTATAGAGCGATGATAGATACATGGAGAGCAATGAAGAGCACGGTACAACTATGCGATGGTGGCGATGGAGAGCAGTAAGACTACAAATATGTACGAGTAGCACAATAAGAAATAATGTAAGGACATGTCGTGGTCGTCATGGTCGTAGCGCCCGGCGTCGGGCGCGTCGTCGTCTATCCTGCGAGCAGCGACGCGTCAATCGCGTGCAAAACACTTCGAAAGGGTGAGGAGACATACCAGGATCGCGGAGAACGCGTCAGAACGCGCCGAACACGAGCTCATCGAACCCTTCGATCCGTGTGCGCTGCAGAGGGCCCTCAGGCCCACGGAACGGCCAGTCGGGGATCGCCGCTTCCTCTGCGAACGTCTGTTCGCTCTGGTAGGGGGTGTGGGGACTGAGCTGGCCATTGTGAGGGCCCAGCGTTGCCGGAGAGAGAGAAGGGCGAGGGAATGGGACGGGGGTCGTGGGGATTGGTGGGACGTTCTCCCGGCCGGGGGCATGCGGCGGCGCGGCGGCAGCCTGCTGAGGATTGGCCGGGGCCGCGTTGAGGTTGACAAGCGCTTGTTGTTGGTTCGCCATCGTAGATTGTAGAGAGGTATCGGGGGTGGGAGGGTATAGAGGGAGGTGGGGGTACCGCGTGCGGATGGTGGTGGTGGAAGGAGTGGGAATGAGAGAGAGAAATTCGGGCTGGCGCGCGATTTTGATCTTGGCGCCTAACGACCTGCCCCCCCGTGGACCGTGCTCCTCCCGCAGTTGCCTACTTGGGGACATTCACGGTGTACCCCAGACACCAACGCGGGCACTCGGTGTTCGTGCTCGGCGCACATTATGGGATCTGTGGCTGGGGCACCTGTGGACGGGCAAGTGAGCGGCGCGATCATTCCAGGCGGTGTGCGGCATCATCGCGACATACCCTGGTATACACTGCGCGAATTTGCGGTTACGCGGGGCCGACCGAGAGTCAGCGAGCAGATGTCCAGAGGGCTTAACTTCTGGCAAGAGGTGGGGAGGGTACAGCGTCCGGATGGCCGACATACCGCACCTCGATCCAACCGCGTCGGTCCTGTGGCCACCCAGGTGGAGCTCGTCTAATGGGCTTGACAGTTCGAACTTCGAATGCTGCAGGCGATCAAGCTTCTGTACATGCAGCTAGGCCCACCATGCACTCGCCACCCAGTACCCTGCACGTGTGGTGCGGGATGGGTGGCGTGGTGGATGGCGACGAGGTCGCTGGAAAATGCGTTTGTTGGCCACTGGCCCGTCGCCATGCCTGCACGCTGGCGAGTAGCTTAGGAAGGTTGTGTGTACCATCTGTGTGACAAACGTCAGCGATGGTACACTTTGGATCGGTCGCGGTGGGGTAGAACATGTGCATATGTATAGTGCGAGCCGCTGTCTAAATAAACGAGGCTACGGCTTTCCGACGACGATGACCACATTGTAGGTGGCACGAGCGGCGAGTGGAAAATAGAGCGAACAAGAGGTCTGTCCGTGTTCTCGCGAGTGAACGTCCACGGAGAATCGTAACACCTGTTTATAATGCGTTCCGCTCGTGAGTCAAGCGTAACATGGTTGATAGCTAACAAGGACCGAACAAAGTATGATATATCGGGAAGAGAAGTACGCGGATAGTGAGAGTGAAGACGAGACGCAAAAGACGCACCAGACTGAGTGCGGTACGTTGGCCGTGAGTCGGAGATTGGATGTCGGACGCTCGGTATCCCCGTTGCGGTAGATCGCTTGGACGCAGCTGCGGCAATCGAGGTACTTGACAGCTCTTGGGAGTGAGGCCTTACGTGCTTCTGGACCATATTATGCAGAGCTTTCCTGACAGACAGGGTCCGAACGCCTGGTCCTTCCCCGCGAAGCCATGGTCCTGGCGACAACATGAGACACGTCAGCGCTTGTGAGCAACTGGCCTGGGGTGACTGCCATACCGTAGATTGACCACAGCATCGGTGGGCAGTTCGCAACATTAACTGAGCGTACTTCGCCAGGGCTGCCTGCGGTAGTGAAAGAACGGCCTACCCAGCGTCGCAAGCATCCCCGCCCTTGGCACAACAGTACACCACGCACCCGCGCAAATTGCTGCAGAATGGAGTGCTTATCATTGTGATGCTTATATTGCATTTCTGCCATAGATTGTGTCTGAACTGTGGAGTTCTGCTACCACGGCTGCGGTGCTTGGACATTGGGCGCTTGACATGCCCTACGAGGTAAGCGCCCTAACACCTGCCATGCGCGGCTAGCGATGGTGGCTTCCACAAAGACTTGACCACAACGAACGCTTTGACCTCACTCGGTACCATGGCACAAAGCGTGCTGAAAGGAATGGTATATGAGTGCGAGCAGCAGGACGGAGAGAGCAACATACTTCTCCTCGACGTTTCCCAGTAGCGCGCCGTTAGCAACCAGTGAGTCCCTTCGCCTTTTGGTGAGTGCGACGCGCTCGTTCCCCGCTCTTCGCTGACCGCCCCTTGTAGAAAAGCCAAAGATGCATACTTACAACACCAGACATAACCCGCACTACGTTGTCCCAACGGAGGAGATTCCGCATGCTGAAGACATCGCCGAGCCCAGCACGAACCAGGGGGGCGGCGTCCGGTGGCGCTGCTCGGAGGAACCTGAAGTGAAAGTGGAAGAGGACGACAGCGAGTACTCCCCCTCTGAATACTCTGAGGAGTCCAGTTCCAGTTCCTCTGGCGACACCGAACTCATCGACAACGACGGCGACAGCCGGATGGGGGACGATACCGATGCCCGCTTCGTGACCCCGCAGCGGGAAATCCCCTATCGCCCGGGGTCCGTCGCGGATACGCCTAGGCCGGGGCGTATCCTCCGGCACGAGCCACGCGCCGAAGGTGGATTCAACTTTTGGCACGAGCGAGACGGCGCCGTGATGCGCCTATCCTTCGGCCGGGACGGGCTGCTTGGGGGCGCCACGGCTGGCGCTGAAGGGCAGCAACTCCCGCTCGACCACCCTCAAGTCCTCGAGGCCTGCGAAGACGTCCGGCGGAGCGTTTCGCCTGCCGTGAGCGTCGCCAGCGACGCGACCGTCATAGTCGACCCGCGCGCGACGCCCCAGCCGACGCTTTCCAACGGTGCGATGCCCCTCGTCCGCCATCCCACCTGGCCAGAGGGGTTTGACCCCAACGCGCCCGGCCCATCCAGAGCGCGGGCGGGCGGCCTGTCCACGATCCGAGAGGGCAGCGAGGAGGTCCAATGGCCGCCGCGGATCCCCAATCAGAACCCGGGCATGCGGATTCGGCGCAACGACGAAGGGCGATGGGTTAGGGAGGGGTCGCTGGATCCCGAGGCCGCCTACCACATCAACGCAGACGACCTGCCCCCCCGGATCGACCGCGTGCAAGCCCCCGCACAGAGGCGCGCCGCTCGGCCTGCTGGACACCCTCGCGTCAACCGGGCGGAGGTCGTGATCACGACGAAGCCGCCGCATAGCAAGCGGTAAAGCGCCATAGACGTGCCCCAGCATTGCGCCAAGACCCGCGAACCCGCCGGGACAGATTTATCCTTATCCTACGTGTTGTATAATCAGTCTCCTCGCCCTTGCACTATGCCCATATGTCCAATATGCCCACTTACCTCTCTCACTCATAGAGCTCCTGTACCAGTTGGTTGTGACCTGTATATGCCCCATCGTACTCTTCTTTATATATGCATTCTTTCTCTTCACGCCGGTATCCCTCTGCACAGGGCGGACAGATGCCTAAAATTCACGCCCCAAAGTGCATTCCGACCAACGTAGGTGGAGGTGAGTACGATGCCGCATACCGAACTCCTGCTGGCTTTCCCTTCTGAATCTGAGTCGTACAACCGCAGTACCTCATGAGCGAAGCCAGTGGATGTCGAAGGAGAGAGTGACGAAGGAGGCGTTGTGGTCAGGGGTGGTCAACCACAGGGGTTCCGGGAATGGTACAAAGCACGAGGCCTCCGGCATCCGCTTTCGGCGGTGCCCACTGCCGGCTGGTGGGGGAAGAGCGGGGACGTCAAGCGCTCACTCTTCCCACCTTCGTCCACGACGTCGAGCACGGCTCGCGATGCCTTCACCACCAAAACCCTGGGAGCGAGGCGGGGCCGTAACTGCACCTACCTCTGCTCCGTCTTCTGTTCCTCCAACGACGTCTCAGCCGTCTGCGACCACGGCCTCACCAGGAGCCTCCTCGTCTGCTCCCCCTTCTGTCCCTACGCGTCCAGCTGCGCTCTCGGCAGCAACCTCTACTGCACTTCCTGGATCATCAACCGCGTTTGGATCGACGGCATACGGAAACACGATGGCGTCGCCCTACTCGTCGTATTCTCCTTACAACCGCTATGGCAGCTCTACGTACTCGCCTTACGGAATGGGCAGCAGCATGTACGGCGGAGGCATGGGTTATGGTGGCGGGGGATATGGCAGCTATGGTGGCTACGGAATGGGCGGAATGGGTGGGATGGGCGGGATGTACGGAGGTATGCCCGGGATGGGATATGGCATGCCCGGCCCTGGAGGGCCCTTCGACCCCAACAACCCCTCGCTCACACAAACACTCGAGTCCACCACCCAGCACACCTTCGCCCTCCTCCATTCCATCGTGCAGACCTTCAGTGGTGTTGCGCAGATGCTCGAGTCCACCTTCATGGCGACCCACTCCTCGTTCTTCGCCATGGTCGGCGTCATCGACCAATTTGGACAGCTCCGCAACGCACTCGGCAGTGTCCTCGGCCTCTTCGGGCTCGTACGATGGATGCGCGACCTTCTCACTGGACGACGCGGACAAGGTTCCGCGGGCGCGATGCGCGGGGAGTTCCGCGACTTTATCAATGGCCGCCCGGTACAGGGCCCGGCGGGCCCCCCGGCGCCCAAGGCCAGCAAGAAGCCGCTCATCATCTTCCTGCTCGCCATCTTCGGTGTCCCGTATGCGATGCACAAGCTCGTACGCATCCTCACCGAGCGTCAGCAGGCGCAGATGGCTGCGGGCCAGATCGCCGGACCTTTGCCGCCACTCGACCCCTCGCAGCTTACCTTCGCGCGGGCGCTCTACGCTTTCGAGGCATCTTCTCCTGCCGAGCTATCGCTCAAGGAGAACGAGATTGTTGCTATCATGGGCAAGCTTGACCCGGCGACCGGAGCCGAGGTCGATCCCAGGATCGAGGTGCGTACAAACCGTCGTTCACTATTCGCCACATCTCTCATTGTTCTTTCCAGGTTGAGGGCAGTGAATGGTGGAAGGGCCGCACAAGAGAAGGCAAGGAAGGCTGGTTCCCGAAGAAGTGGGTGGAGGTCTTGGAGAGGCGAAAACCGATTGAGAACAGCGAGGCTAAGAAGGCGGAGTGATTCGCCTTCTCCCTTGGTTTTCGTGAGTCGTCGCATATACCGATTGTTTTGCTTATTCGCTCGTTTGGCTATGTTTCACGTATCGTCTGTTCGACTTATGTGTCCCTCGGTACTGCATGTACGGTGTACATTATACGATATATTCTCGATTGGCGTTCGCAGGAGTCGCGCTTCAACCACCCATTCTGAGTGGCCCGCGGGCCATCCAAGGTTATTCCTTGGATGGCGCAATGCACCCAACGCCCTTGGGGGACGCTTCAAGTTGATTTGATCCTCTATGTCGTCGAGTACTAAAGGCAAATCGGGACGCTATGGTACCGGTGCTATGTTTGACGAAAGCTTGACGGTGTCTTCAACTCTGCGCCGCATTTCTAGAGGCCTTGTTCACGGCACAGTGCGTCCGTTTAACCAAGGGAGTCGAGCGGTGAAAGGTACGCAAGTCGTTCAATCTCACTTGAATGTATATTGACAGAATGGTAGGGAAAGGATGATATTGGCAGCAATGCGGGCATGCTCGCTACCATGTGCACCAAGGGCTTACGACAGTATACGACAGTCGCTCGTGCGTGCGAGGCATTCCCCACGTCACTGGCACCGAAGACTCGCACATCGCCGCGTACTAGGCTCATTGTCGCGAGAAGACTCGTCCTAAGTTGCCATCGTACGAAAGCGTCCTTCGTGGATTGTTTGAAGAGCAAGACGATTCAAAAGAAAGACCAAGTCTTGCAGTTCCGCGAGGTATATATGTGGTCCGCGAGCTGATCTATTTATTCTTTTTCATCGAATACCCCCCAAACACTCGAAGCACACAACATTCTTAGAACATTCGTCGAATGAGCTACGAGTCTCCATGTTACTGTACGTCGAAACATCGTCGATTCTTGTGGTTGAACCGTACTGAATCAAATACAGATGGCCGCTCGTACCGTCATACAGTTCTCGACCACTCATGCAAAACATCCATCTCCGCTACCTTGTCCTCCTTTGAAGGCTCGGGATGGCTGGATATCGACGTCCAGCAATGGACGGTAAGCCACGCTCTCTTGTATAACAATGTCGCTCACAACCAGACCCTGGATAGTACGTGTTGCGAAATAGTCGACTACGCGGGCGACGACTTGATGCCTCTAGGACACAAGGTAACGAACCAGCAATCTGCTAAGCGGCCACGCAGAACGATCTGACCTTGGACCTAGGATCATCCGCCCATGTAGACTCGGATGACTTACCCGAGCTCGAACGGCTCAACACATTCTACCCCCATGCGACCACTCTCCTCTTTGCACATACGCCATCTTCACCATGCCTGAGTACCTCACGCTCACTATGTACCGCGTTGCGTATGTCCTACTCTTCATTCTCCTCGGAGCGACACATATTGACTAAACCCTTTCAGCGTCATTGCACGCGACCTTCCAGAGGTTATGGACCCGGAAGAGAGGGTTTACAAGAAGTGCTCGCTCGGAGACCAGCTCAACGCACCTGAAGCCGTGGCGGTAGACGACGTCCGCTTTCTGTCGCTCTCTGGGATGTTTGGCGAACCAGCAGCAACCCCTTATCAACCTCAACGCGGCCCCCGCCCATCCTCGGCAGGCTGCCGCGGCGCTGCCTCACGCCCCAGGCCGGGAGAACATCCCACCAATCCCCACGACCCCCGCCCAATCCCCTCGCCCGACTCTCTCTCCGGCCACGCTGGGCCCTCACAATGGCCAGCTCAGTCGCCACACCCCTTACCAGAGCGAACAGACGTTCGCAGAGGAAGCGGCGATCCCCGACTGGCCGTTCCGCGGGCCTGAGGGCCCTCTGCAGCGCACACGGATCGAAGGGTCCGACGAGCTCGTGTTCGGCGCGTTCTGACGCGTTCTCCACGATCCTGGTATGTCTCCTCACCTTTTCGAAGTGTTTCGCACGCGATTGACGCGTCGCTGCTCGCAGGATAGACGACGACGCGCCCGACGGCGGACGCTACGACCTCGACGACAGCAGTGTCGTGCCTAGAGATTCCGCAGCACATCCTATCTAGCAGATTTAGGGATAGAAATGAGAAAAATAAGACATTTCAAGGAAACGCGTAGAGCTGTGAAAAGCCTGATATCGGTACTTACGTCGTCGCGCGACTTTGTCGTACGACAGAGGGCGCGCAGGACTCGGACACGGGGAAAGGAGGGAGAAGAGCACAAATTTATGTAGCACCCAAAAACAGAAGAAGGGCTGTCGACAGTTGTTCACTAATTGTTGCGGTGGGCGTGGTGGTTCGGAGGCAAGGTGTTTAGGCGCCCGCTTCACAACTTGGCCTCTTACCGTGACCACGTTTTTCAGTCATCAACGTTGCATCGCTGAACTTGTTCAAGTAGGACCCTCTCCTCGAACTCGTTTGTCATCTATGTCGCTGGCCAGGGTTGCAACATAGGGGAACAGCGCGAATACTTAGACGTCGCATGACCATATGCCACGCACATATATATCCAAAGCAGTACTTGCACTGTACGAAAGATATCTCACATTCCAGCGTGTATTCGAAGCTGACGACCAAACGTCTATAGAACAACGCCAATACGGTCCCCAATTCTCATCACAGGTCCGTCGCAGTGATGATAGGCTTCCACTCCTCGAGCGTCGCGAGCGACGAGGTCAGTGCCTTCTTTACCTCGTTGTAGCAGTCATTCCCGATCTGTATCGTCCTGGGAATGGTCTTGCCCGCCGCGCAGCCCTCTCCTTTGACGATGTCGACGATGAACTCGCAAAGTTTGACCGGGTCACCTGGCTGTTTGCCGTCCAGGGCTAATGAAACGGTGGTTAGCGCACATCGAGACGCCCATTGAAGAGGCACACGCACAACTGAATATGGCGTCCAAGGCGGAGATGCTCTCGCGGTAATCTGCAAAAATGCGAAGCCGGATAAGCTGAGCATGAGCGACCACGATCGCGAGCACTTGCCTTCAATCTTGTTGTCGTAGGGGACGCGGTTGCCCTCCGAGATGAACTTGGTGCGGAAGTAGCCCGGCTCGATGCAAATGCTACGCAGCCCGAACGGGGCTATCTCTGCGTCCAAGGACTCCGAGAGGCCTGTGCGCGCGTAAAGCGTATCAGCGGACACTCCCAAAATCGTCGTCTCGAAACGCACCCCGCATGGCGTGCTTCACGGTCGCATACATGCCGAGCGCTGCGCCACCGCTAAGGTTGGCACCATTCCGTCAGCCCGTGATGACGGACGAGATAGAAGGAATGCTTACACCCAGCCGCAGAGCGAGCCGTTCCAGACGATCATGCCCGAGCGCTGCTTGCGCAGATACGGCAGGAAGGCGCGTGCGACGTTCATCCCACCGAAAAGGCCAACACTGAACATGTGCGGTGCCGCGTGAGCGCGGAACGGATGCAATCCATGCCAGATAGAACGCACTTAAATTGATCCATGGTTGCCTCCGGACTGTCCGCAGGCATGAGTCAGTCCATTCAGTTCCAACAAGAGATGAGGGGGAGCAAGGATATACTGACGTAATTTCTTCAAGAGCACCCACTGCAAGCCACGCACCTGGCGGATGCGATTGCGACGTGAGCGTCGTATGTCATATGGGCATGCATGGGGCTCACCTGCGTTGTTGACGACAATGTCGACGCGGCCGTGGATGGCGACCGCCTTTTGCGCGACCGACTTGAGCTGATCGAGCGGCGCGGTCACGTCCAGCTCGAGAACGTCTGCGCCGTGCGCCTTTAGCTCCTCAACCTGTGCAAGGGAGCGCTTGCGCCCGGTCGCGATGACCTTGTCACCGCGTTTGAGTGCCGCAAGCGCTAGCTCCCGACCAATGCCGGAACTTGCCTAGGATCAGTCCCTTCGGATGGCCTGCGCGATGAAATACGGTGCTCACGAGGTGCCAGTAATGAGCCAGACAAGGGAAGAAGACATAGCTGCGAGATGGATGGAAGTGAGGGGAGGTTTGCGCCGCTCCAGCAAAGTTGTCAAGATGCTTTTCTAACGATGTCCGTCTTATCATAGCGCTGCGATTTACGTGGAACCCCGCGGCGTGCCTTGGGCATGCCGCACGGAAAACACACCCTTCATCACCTGGGCTCGGGCTTCTGGAGAACTTCACACGATGGCCGCCAACGAAATGACGCCCTTCTGGCAGGGTTCGTCCTAGCCGATATTGTCTTGATGCACGTTGGGCGCGTCAATCTCAGCACAAGCCGCGCACCATTGTATCCGTCGGATAACTCTGTGGGTCGTCAGGGGCCTCCGCCTCGCGCACCTCACACCTTCCACGACAGTTCTACCCTGCCCGATGGGGTGGGTCAACGCGGGACGGTAACGAGGTTGATGGCCAATCGCGGGTGCATGCTGCGCCACAAAGCTTCCTGAGGACTTTGGAGGGTCACGCCGCTTTTGGAAGAGCCCAGGTCGCGCCGCAGATCGGTGCACCCTTGACGGGTTTGGATTCAATCACAAGTATTTTCGCTTGTGCTTCCGTCGCGGCAGCGCTGAGCCAGGGTCGGCGGGCCCGCCCATCCTTAAAGAAGCGACCTTCGACGAGGCCGTAAGGCGATCTTCGTTCATCGCCAAGTCCCCCCGTTCTCCTGTCGCCCCATTGCCTCTCCTTCGTCCGCCATGGGTGCACTAGACTCGTCGCTCGGGTGAGTGGTATTATCGTCTATGTTCTTAATACACTCGCTGAGTGCACCTGCAGCGCTCTCCTGATCGGGACGTGGTTCAACGCGATGCTGTACATGCTGGAGATCATGCAGGTCATAACGTACTACAGGACGTTCCCGAAGGATCGGCTGGCCTTCAAGCTGACCGTCGCCTTCTCCTTCTTCGTGGACCTCCTTGGGACGGCGAACAACTGTGCCGTCGTGTACCTGGTAAGCCTGCCGACGTGTGCCTGCGCCCTTCTCGCTTGTTATGCTGACATCGTCTATAGTACACCATCACCAACTGGGGTAACCAAGAATTCCTGCTCGTTCAGGGGTGGACGATCCCCACATATCTTGCCCTGTCGGGCCTCTCCGCCTTCGTTTGTCAACTTTTCCTCTCATGGAGGTTCTACAACTTGTGCGTATTCTTGCGACGTCGTGTGTGCTTCTTTGGACTGACGACTATGTTTCTTAGCTCTAAGAATTGGTTTGTGACGGCCTTCCTCGTCGCCACTACCCTCGTCGCCTTCATTGGCTCCGATATCAACGCCGACACCGTCGTCAAATTCCCGAAGTTCACGCAGCGCGACCACAACATCAAAACGGTCACCATTTGGCTGGGTACGTTCCTGTCGCAGTACGCTCCGTTGAACGCAAGCTGACTATATAACGGCGCACCGCAGTTGCTAGTGCTTGCTCGGATGTCTGCATTGCGGCCGCGCTCGTCTGGTCGCTCCGCGGAATCAGGTCCTCGTTCGACGGCACCAAGAGGTACGTCCTCCCTTACGTCCTGCTTCAAAGCCTACACCGTCCCACTCATGTCGTACTTTTTCACAGTCTGATTCGGCGCCTCACCTACACGGCGATCCAGACCGGCGCGGCGACCTCAGTGCTCGCCGTCATCTGCCTCATCTTCTACCGCATCAACACGGAGAGCAACATCACCGTCGGCTTCGGGTTTTGCCTCGGGCGCGCGTACACGCTCACGATGCTCTTCAACCTGAACACCCGCGTGACCGGCCGCGCCGACTCTTCCAGCAACGGTCCGAGCGGTGCCTCCGGCGTGCATGATATCGAGCGCGACGCGACGAACATCCACCTCAACTCGCTCAACGCAGGCGGTATCAGTACGTACTCCCTCTCTTACCCAGTGGCGCCCCGAGTGGCTGATCGTACCGTTTTCCGCGTGCAGACGTTCACCGCACAGCCATCGTGCACATCGACGAAGGCACGAAGACGTACTACGCTGGGGTAAGTCATGCTCTTCTTTCTCATCTGACTCGATGGCTTACGGTCCTCCAGGAGCCTGCTGGTTCAGATACAGATGTGCACTCCGAGTCGGAGAGGAAGGTCAACCCCGAGTTGCGCTGAGCGCAGTATCTCCTCTTTACGACACCTTATTGGTAAATTCATCTTCAAAACTTCCTCCGTATTTACAGTAGATTATATTTTCAGTATCCTCTCGCTGTACAACGCGCTCTCTTCGCAGACGCGTCCTGGTATCCGAGTATCTCGTTCTTTGTTCGCGATCGTGCTGTGTGATAGGGGCCCTCGTCGGTGTCAATGTGGGCTCGTTAACTTCTGACCGTCATAACCGAAGGATGAACTTTGAACGGGCAGACGGAGTCTTCTCGAGACTCGGTTACGGATGCGCAGAAATCCGATCGGAACGGTTTGAGCTCGGACAACGAACGTCGCCCCCGACCTCAAACTTTCTCGGATGCCCGCATTCCAGCGGCGAGGTACGCCCTTCAGCTGATCCGCTCGGCTAAGTGCTATGATCGGCCCAGGCCATCGACGTCAATCAGGGTGTTTGCCGTTGTCTGTCCATCGACGACCGCTGCCGCGTCGGTCGGTCGAGTCGGTCCATCACCCCGTGGCCGACTCTGCCGCGCTCGTAATATTCTCCAGGCAACATGCTGTGGATCTCAAGATCGACACGCACCGCACGACCTGCCACACTGTCGCGCCGCGGACGTTCGCGGATATCGTCAAGTTTCATCGACCCTGCTCAGACCTCCAACTTCTCAAGCTTGCCGCCGCTTGCTAGCTCCGGGCGTTGCCTGGTCGTCTACGAGACCCACCCCCAAGATGGATGGATGGAGGAGCGAAATTGAGACGTCTGATGAGTAAGTGCGCCCCGCGCGCCCCAGCTATTGCGTAGATGGCGCTCTCGTGGCCTCCTGATCATCCTGGTACACGCACGTCGGGCCAAGCCACTTTCGACGACGCCATTCAGTTCTTCAACGACTCGCTGTCACGGATACGACATTAGAACTGCGCCTATCCGACCCACTCTCACCTCCAGCTGTACCCGTCTCTCGTTACCCCGATGGCCACTAGTACTCCTGCAGAGCTCGTCCTCATCTCTGGCCTGAACGGCTTCGTCGCCACCGACATCGCCCTTGCCTTCCTGAAGGCGGAGTACCGCGTGCGCGGGACGGTGCGCTCGCAGGCGAAGGCGGACATATGGCTCCGCCTGCCCGCGTTCGCGCCGTTCATCGCACACGGGCAGGTGGAGGTCGTGTTCGTCTCGGATATCGTGCGCCCGAATGCATTCGACGACGCGCTGGCAGGCGTGGACTACTTCCTGCACACGATCGCGCAGCTGCCCGACTGGCGTCCGGGCGTGCAGCAGGATATGGAGCGGGACATCTTGCGTCCCAACATTGATGGGACGGTGAACGCGCTCAAGTCCGCGTCGAAGTTCCCCAACGTCAAGAAGGTGATCATCCACGGGTGAGATCATATGCCATGTATATTCTGCCGCACGCGCGACCTTGAGGCTCACCATATGATTGTGTCTTAGCTCCGTCGCAGCCGCACTCGATATGTCGATTCCGAAGCACGAGAAGATCGTCGACGAGAGCTCGTGGAACCCTACCGATTACGAGTAGTGCGTCGCTGCCCACCGCGTGATCCCCAAGCCTTTGCTAATCTTCTGTTGCAGTGGCAAAAATGCGCCACACCCCCTCTTCTCGTACGGTCAGTCTATTCTTGTAGGCCGTCGCGCGCCAAGGAACCTGACGGCTCTCGCCATCAGGAACATCGAAAAAGCTCGCAGAGAAGGCAGCGTGGAAGTACGTTGCCGAGACGAAGCCCCATTATGCTTTGATCACCACGCTGCCTTGTAAGCACCAACCTTTCAAAGCCGTCGCGTTCAAGGGACGCTCCGCTGACCTTGCATTGATTCAGGCTACGTCTTCGGACCCTCCAATGGGCTTGATCCCTATGGCTTGAACAACTCTTCACAGCAGTGTAAGCCTCCATTCTGTCCTGGTAAAGACTGATGTCCCTGACCGACAACGTTACAGGGATCGCGGGCACGCTCTTCCGTTGCGACTGGAACTTCAAAACGTCAGCTGGCGGGCCTGCCTACGTCGACCTCCGCGACGTCGCGCGCGCACACGTCCTCGCTGTGCAGCGTGCGGAGGCCAACGGCAAGCGTCTGCTCCTCGTACGTCGCATCGTTCTCCAAGTATGATCTGATTATGGACTTACTTGCGATACAGGGAAAGACCGACCCGGTCGTGCGCTTCCCGTCCGATTTCGTCCCGCTATTCGAGCGCGAGTTTCCCGAGCGGGCGCACAAGCTTCCCAAAGTCCCGGCGGATTTGGAGAACGTGCCCCAGTACGACGTTGACCCATCTGCGACGGAGGCTGTGCTCGGGTTCACGTTCCGCGGTCCTCGGGAGATCGTCCTCGAGACTGCGCGTTGGCTCATTGACAGCGGGGCGGACAAGGCCTGGGAGGTGGCCACTGCTCGCTACTGAGGCTACCACGGGAAAGGCAGAGGGACAATGAGCTCACCTACAGATAATTTTTGGAAGTGACCGTACGGTTCAGCATCGCTCTACTAAACTTGTGGATTAGCAATGATTATAGACCAGATTTTCTCCCTAGTAACGACCTCGAAGTATTTGTGAGCTCTGATCGGCGAGAACTTGAAAGGCGTTGGCTCAGTTTTCTGGGTGGACCTGATATCAGAATAGGCTCGTTCGACCTCTGGTAGTTGCTGTAGTTCTGGGCCTTGTCGACGCCGTTTGTAGACTCTTTGTAGAGTCACGCCGCGTGATGTTGCTCCTAAATTCTAAGTCGCACCACTGTAGCTTGTGACGGCATCCAGACCTTCAAGCTGTTCACTGGTGGGTTTGGTAGCTTGGTGAGGTCGCCGGCGTTATTGTTGGACGTTGCAGTATGAGATGTTATAACAGACTTGGCGAATGACGCGTCGCCGTTTTCCCTCGGGCGCTTGTAAGTCAGTTGAGTGGAGAGATCGGGCGCCTGCACTCGTCAACGCTTCTCCCTTCTACAGTCATCATCTCGCTGACTCGGAGTCGATATACTGAGCAGGGTACTATAGTATTTACGTTTTGAGCTCACTTTCATACAGAAATTGCTGTCTGTCAAGTAACTGAGGGAATCATATCTCATTTCAGCCTTGGCTGGCGTTTCGTCGCACGACTCTCAAGCTTCTTCCTTGAACAACGCCACCGATCTGTACAACAAGCAGCCACTATCACTCGACGGAAACAGAGAGTAGCAACACAAAAATATGTCTGGAACTAGGCCTGGGAGAAGCTATATGTGCCACCAATGCGCTAGTCCAGTCATCGCGGCGTTATCGTAATGGAACAGTATGGTATGCATGCTCAGACCTTTCTTGTGTTTCCCCACTGACCGGAACTTGGGTAGGAACCAGCGAGAACGACCTGATAGTGTCATGCTATATTCGTGGCGCTATGAAAATGCCACATCATCAGATACTGAACGTCCCGTAGGCTGGTATGCCCTGCTTGTGCAATAAGTGCTCGGATCGCAAACAAAGGATCCGAAAGAAAAGGCCGCGTGTAAGCGAATACTGTCACTGTACACACGTAGAAGCACACAACATTGCTCACGAGTTCCAAAGACTCAGACAGCCTCTTCGCCGTGGCGCAAACTCCGACAATCCTACAATCTTACCTCCACCTTCGAGTCCTCCTTCCGACAGCCTGTTCTTCCGCCACTAAAGCCTCGGGTGCTCTCTCGCATCGTCCCAAATTGACGAGTGTCCTTATTTGCGCTAGTCACGGGCTCAAGCTGCGCCCTAGACTTGGCGGAATACACCATGACGGATGTTCTCAGGGCCGAACCCGGGCCACTTCCCCCTGTGGGAGTGGGAGGAATGTCGGGCAAAGGTGCGTTCCCAGGAACTCTCCAGAAGTACGCCATTGACCGTTGCGTGCGTGACCGTCTATACAGAAGCCCAAAGACACAAGCTCACTTCCATATGCGTCACGGCTTGCGAAGAGCCCCCAGGTGAGTTCGACCACGAGGCGTCCGACGAATGTTCGCGAGGTATCAAGGCAAAGAATGAACTTCCCTGATGCTGTATTTCACGGTGCATGTAGGTGCTGACACCCTACTCGCAGAAATATGGCTAACAATAGGCATGCAATATGTCAGCTAGGTGGTCCAGTTAAACCATGGTATGGGTTACTCTGTCCTGACGATCTTTCACAGCGCAGCCCCTATGCCCCAGTCAGGAAGAGTAGACGCATGCGCTGCGCATACCGACGAACGTAGCGTGGGCCCTTGCTGCGCACGAGGGAACCAACGGCCGCGAAAGCACAGTGGAACGAGACGTTCAGACATTGCGCGGATCCTCAGCAACTACGCACTCTGGACCGCTCACATGGCATTCTTCTAGCCGCATTCGCCGCGCGGCGGGCTCGGTGTCTCTTCAAAATCGGGTATGTCCCACGCGGGAGTAGCAAGCGACTCGGGGCGATGGGAAGGATACACTTATCGCTTAGTCCAGGTAGCCTTCGGCATTCAAACTCGAGATCCTTCACCGACTGGAGGGTACTCCACACCCATAGATTACCTCGAGGTTCTTGAACCGCCTACGCCCACCCCGAATATGGCGTGCGAGCACCCCCGGACGTACGGAGGTCCTTCGACGTATTGGACGGCTCTTCCGCAACGTGCCCGAAGACAAGCGGGATATCGTGCAACCTCTGGACTGCCTGCCGGCGTATGGCCGGCGATCACAGTAGGGCGCGCTCCTGCCCGGTGTCAAACAACCTCAGCCTCGCGACTATGCGCTCGCGTACCTGCCAATGTCCTCCCGCGAAAACTGCACTGCAGCCTTCCTGATCGCTGCGTCGATGACGGAGCTTGAGGCTATCGCGACATTCAGCCAGCCCGGAGCAGGCATGGTGCGAGCCGCCACAGCTAACGACCCTGCGAAACCGAAAGCTAAAGTCGCAGACCCCGGACCAAGGCAAGGCAACGCCCGATGCTCGGGAATAGGGGGATCTCCGCGCATGCACCCATAAAGCCCCCTCCTCCCGCCCCAAAGCCCAGCGCAGACTTCTAGCTTCGGGGCGACCCGCTGCGCATGGTGTACGCTGGATGTTTTCGGGCCCAAGGAGGACCTGCGAGCCATCGCGCACCCACGCGAAGGAGACAGCGAAAGAGCTTGTTGTCAAGCGGCGTGTCCCACGGCGCCTCGATGCTCCCACCTCCGAGACGCAGCGTGTGAGCGGAAGACGCTGTTCTGGCCGGTCGTCCATACAGCGCAATGTCGTTCACGCCTTCGTACGCGTGCTGTACCTCTCGCCACGAAGACTCAGGCTCGCGCCGAATCGCGCGAAACCTGTTCCTTCTCTGAGTCGAGGTCATCGAACGCTCGGGCGCGCCGGCGAGTCCGACCCAGTCTGTACCCCCCACACGAGCACTGCCAAGTCCTCGTCCGCGACCTGCCGTACTCGGGCGCGGGCGATCCCACACGACAGCAGATAAACTCCCGAGCGAACCAGCCCACATTGATCTGCGCGCTGATGGGCCCCGCATCCGTCCATACAATGTCGGGCGCGATGCAGTGGAAGACGCAGGATCTGAGCAGCGCTGCGGCGTCTCCGTGATCCTCCCGAGCAGCTCTTACTGCATCGTTACGCGAAGCGCGTGTTCCCCGATGCCCAATTTCCCATTCTACGGAGTGTATGTGAGCGGCGAGGGGGCAGCGCGACCGGGACCGCAGCTTATCCGAGCGCGCCACGGGAGAAAGCAGCGCAAGAATTCGAACCTGGAAGAGAGGGAGAAGGGCGTATACGTACTATAGTCCCCGGGCGCACATGCCAAGCGCGTGCTGTCGGCATATGGCGGTTGACTTCGAGGTTCGCGACGCTGAGCCTTGCTCTCATCAAAGCTCATGCATTAATCACGACCATGACGAATTGGAGGCGCACCATGTGCACGACCGACGCACTTGGTAACTTCGAATGGCAATTCACTTACATGCTCAGGCATCACGAAGGGATATACTCATGTGTGCACGACCGACTCACCTGGGAGTTCAAGAATTCCAGTCTGGAACTTACCCGCACCAGACTAACAGACATCCTCGAACCCACGACACTGCATGCACACTCGAAAGAGAGAATCGCAAAGGAACACATCTATGAATGATTAGACTACAAGTATATACAAGACGATGCTACAGTACTTTGTGGTACCCCGCCCACACCCTCGATTTTGTACGCGCCGCGCCGAGGGCCGCTGGTCACAGCGTTCACAATTGGCAGTGTTCGACAGGGAAGATGGAAATGATATGCAGGAGCAATGGGCGATGTGGCAGTGGAGGATGAAGCGGGATGGGGGACGCGCGACAGCGACAGCAGGGGTGCAAGGAGCAAGGAGAAGACAGCAGGTACAACGGACCGGGAAGCGGATGCGACGAAGGTGACGGGGAGCCCGGGGACCAGAGAAGGAAGGTAAGAAGCGTCAGTTGGGGGTGGGTGCGCGGGGGGACCAGGACTAGCGGGGGCGAGCGGGGCGGGGCTAGGACGATGCGGGCATGGAAGTATCCAAGTGTGCGGCGCGCGCGGCGGGCGGGCGGAGAAGAAGCAGGAGAGGAACGAGCGTGATGATGATTACAGCATGAACGAGTGAGGTATATCCAGTGAGTACGATGATGATGCAACGAGCGTGTGTGTGAATGCAGTCCAGCAGTGCGACGAGAAGGAAATGCAACGAGTGTGTGAGCGAGATCGGGGCGCGCGCGCCGCAGCGCGGAGAAGACTATGCGGTATCGCCGAGCATGCAATGGGGTGAATGTGTGTCCTGTCCTGGTCGAGAGAGCGCGCGGGGAGAGAGGGGGTCGCGCGGGGGTAAGAGGTTATGAGATGTAGGACCACGCCAGGTTGACCCGGCCGACGTCCTTGATGACCACCTGCGCCTGTATGCGGCACACCTAGCACCCCTCATCAGCACTGCGCCCAACACGCCCAAAACAGACAGGCGACTCACTGTATCCGCGACTTCCCAGTCCTTCCAATAAACATGCAGGCTCCCATCCTCCTTCCGCTCGATCTTCCGCGTCGGCCCAAAGTGCTCGCACCACCTGATCACGTTCTCCACGCGCCGCTCGCGCTCCGCCGCACGGTGCCCCGCGTCCTCGCTCGCCTCGAGCGCCGACGACGCGCGGCTGAAGTCGCGCTCGAGCGGCGCGCCGCTGATCACGAGCTTCTTGCGCCGCCGGCGCGGGCGGCCCTTCAGCGACGCGAAGAACGACTGCGAGCGCGGCGTCGGCACGAGGAAGCTCGGCGAGGGGGTGCTCGGCGACGGCAGCGGCAGCGTCGGCTGCGGCGGCGGCGAGTTCGGCGTCGTCGGGCGCGACGGGATCTGCAGCGTCAGCGACACGCGCGGGGGCGAGGGTGGGGGCGAGTCGTCCTGCGGGAGGAACGGGTTCGCGGCGAACACGGGCTCGTCCTCGAACATGCACGAGGGCGCGCCTGTGCCGAACGGGTCCATGTCGGGGAGCGGCGAGTGCGAGGTGGGCTCGATGGGCGTCGCGAGCGTCGACGCCGTCGAGCCGCCCGAGGAGCTCGAGGACGACACGGAGGGGGCGAGTGCGCGCGGGGGGAGGACGGACATCGAGAAGGACGGGCGCGAGGGGGTGTGCATCGTCTCGCGGGAGCTGGAGCGGCGGATGTCGAGCACGTCTGAGGAGCCGCGGGGCGTGTTCGGCGGGGGGGAGGGCTTTCCACCAGAGCCCGCGCGCGGGCGGCCGGATATTAAGCTCAGGAGACGGTCTCGCTTCGTGGCCTTGCTAGCCGGCGATGCTGATGTAACATCAACGGGGACGTGCCGGATTCGGGGGCGCGACGCCACGGAGTCGAGGGACCAGCGAGACGCCAGGGCGGCCTCCGCTTCTTCGTCTGCAGGGCTGTCGAAGGGTGAGCAGGTGATGGCCTCGCCGGGTGAGACCACTTCGGACTCGGCGCTCGCCGTCGCGTCGCTCATCAGCGAGGGGAGCAGCGTGGGGGCGGGGGCTAGCGAGGGTGATGGCATCGTCGCAAGCTCGGCTAGGTTGCGCAACTGGGGCGTCGAGTGTGACGTCGTGAGCGTTGGGAGTGTGGGTCGCTGTTTGCGCCGCGGACTGGAGCTGATCGTATGGGGCGCGGGGCCAAATTCATCAGCGGTCCGCGGGAGCGCGGCGCTGCTGCTTCGGCCTCGTCCTGTGGGTCTGGGGGATGCCCGAGGAGGAACTTCCTCATCTGCGACGTAGACCGCGGACCTCTTCTCGGTCTCAGTTTCGCGCTCTTCGAGCATCGACATCGTGGATGAGATGGAGGGGAATGTCGCATGTCGCTGGGTGCTTGGCCGCGCTGGTTGCGAACTTGAGAGTGAGGGCGTATGCGAGCGTGGAAAAGGGCGAGGCTTCGGCGAGCTAGAGAGCCTCGAGGATAGCCGCGGCGAGGGTGGCGGCGTCTGCTTCCTCTCGGAAAGGAGACTGCGCGGCGAAGACGAGATTGGCGACGCAAAGTAGGACTTCGCGGGCGTCGGGGGTGGCACCAGAGGCAAACTTGGTCGCGTACGCAACCTCAGTGGTGGGACAGGCAAAGGCTGGAGAAATCAGGTGAGCACACCCATCACATTGGACTGATTCTACAGACAGCGAAGCGAGCTGATGAGAGGCTACAGCGCGAGAAGCACCGGCGGACACTGCGCAAACTCTCGCTACTTCGCGCGATATACACGGACAACAACGGCATGCTCGCGTTGTGTTTTCCCATCTCCGCCATCGACCGCCGGCCGGTGTCCGCGCACGGGCAGACAGCACCCGCGACTTGTTCTTTCTGACTATGCCCGATTAGGACGAGCGAGAATCTCGGCATCCGCCGGAGCCACGTCGGTGGAGACAACCGATCGCAAAAACCCTGACCCCCGGACTTTCCCCCGCAACCACGCAAAGCACGTCGGCGGCGTCCAAAGTCAAAACTTTAGGCTCATCAGATGATTTCGCCACAATCGTCGCGGTCCGTGCACCAACACATCCGACGATGAGACGGGGGCGAGCGGACAGTCGCGCACGCATGAAGCCAAAGTGACATCGGCGCGAGTGCGACGCGCCCGAGGATGCGCGCGAACAGAGCGACGAGACATGTTGTGACGGAAAGTGTAAACTGTCTGCTCACCTTGTCATAGTCGCTGCGCATGGGCTGCGTCAGACTCTGCGAGCGCGTGCGCGGGGTCGAGGGCGCGGACGGGCGCGCGCCGAAGAACGTCGGGTCATACACGTATGGCAGACACGCTTCTTCGTCTTCTTCCTCAACTATGTGCGCAGTCAATCAGCGACCTTGTCGGGAGAAGCGGCAGCGATGAACTTGCCATCGAAGAGGTCCGGGATGCCAATAACGGCATCGGCGGCCTCCTGGAGAGCCCAGTTGTACTCTGTCTGGATCCAGCGGTCCGTGTCGTGGTCGAGGTACGCCGACTTTTCCGAGAGCGGGGCGACGTGGTCGTCCTCGTCGCTGCAGAAGCGGTTGTCTGCGTCGTAGCCGAGCTGCTGGAGGAGCTCGAGTTTCGCGTCGAGTTCGCGCCGCGACGCGGCAATGCTGCGTGACGGGAGGTGGGCAGGCATGCTGGCAGGGTGTGGTGAGGTGGACGGAGGAGAGACGCGTCGAGGTGTGCACGCCGGCGCGTGTCCGGCTAGCAAGCGAGGATGATGGCGCGTGCACTGTTACGTATGGCGGCGGTGTCGTTGTCGGCGTCGGCGTCGGCGTCGGGGAGCGGGAGGAGTGAATGGGCGGACGCGTCGGGGGAGGGTGGGGGCAGGGGCGGGGGAGGAGGATCAGCGGGAAGGGACATCTGGGTGGAGGTATTTGAAGCGAGAGCTGGATTCGGAAGCCGGGGGACGTTGATGCTCTTCGCTTGGCGCAGAGTTTGATGAATATTCCGCGCAGAAGGGCGAGAACCGCCTGCCCGTTTTGCGCTCCGGCTTTTTTCGTATTTCGCTCCCATCACCCGTGCATTATGTAAGCCCCACACCCGTCTCGCCGCCGGCCAATCGCACGCCCCGCTCACCGTTACTCCGCCCACGCGACGGCCCCGGCCGCGCCCTGCGCCTGATCGCCTCCGCTCCCGTGGGCGGATCCTCCCTGCTGCGCGAGTGCGCATATTCCTCCTCAAACACAGCCTTGGCTCTTCAGAACACCCTCGCGAACTCCTCCAGATACGCTAGCTGGGAACATGTGCGAGGAGTTAAAGAGGATATACGAGTACCGTCGTGCGCATACCGCCGCGCTGCATTGCCTCTCTCTCTCCTCGACCCCCCGGTCTCCCGCGCGTCGACATCCTGTCCTCCGGGTCAGTCGCATCTCTCCACGAGCGTGACGCTGCGAATCGAACCTCCCCCCGAATGAATGACGCCGCACCGCTCGTTCTCGGGGCACTTGCCGGCCATGCTGCGCAAGCTTCGACCCATGTATGAATTGTCGTCGAATTGGAATCCGCCTGCCTCGGCTACAGACGCCGTCTTGGAATGGCCGCCACACAACCCTCCTCTCCTGCATGCAGCCCCCTTCCGCCGCGCAAAAATGGCCGCGTTCCCGGTACGTGCACGCCCACCAGCGCAGCGCAGCGACGTCCTTCCGGCTCTGATCGTGTGTGACCCAGATCGTCGCCGCCGTTGCTTGCTGTGACGATGCGCCCCCGTTTGGCAGCGGGGGCACTCACCCGTCGCCGAACCCCGCACCTCCGAGTCTCTGGCCGAGCACGACCCGAAGAGCACGATACCCACAGCGTCTGCAGCATTTGCCACGCCAGAGGTGTCGGTGTCAGTTTGCATCTGGGTCATACGCACGCGCGTGCAGATACGGAGTGCAGGATTAGACACGCCAGGGTCCGGCGCGGGCGGTGCCTTGCGCATGTGCAACATATGATTGTGCTCACTTCCGTGCCTCCTCTCTGCTAGCTAGCCTCAGCTCGCGCTTCCTTCTCAGTCGAATCCAAAGCCACAACCCTCGATGGACGTCGACGACGGTCATCTCCGCCCACCGATTGAAGATTGCCTCGATAGTGCGGCCGCACGCCTTCTTCATTATGCCCGCTTCGCGCCATCCCTGAGCGATCCTCTACCGCCCCTCTACGGTCCCCTGGCTAGCAACGCGCCGGCCCACTGCTGCTTCGCGCAGGCTCTCTAGCACCGCCATCACGCCTGCCCTGTGTTTCCCTCCCGCGCCCGACGCTGGCAGCTGCTGCCAATCACCCACCCCGTCAGCCACAATCCCCATATGTCCACTCCGTCTGGACCGTGCTCCATGCCTCTGCCTCTGCCCATGTCCCGCACATTCAGAACTACCAGGACCAACAGCCGGGTTCACGTTCAACGTTCGGCGCGAATGCACCCGTTGCGTTCGCGCTCCGTTCTCTCTCCGCCCGAAACCCTGAACCTTGCTATCTTCGACCGCGATCACAGCAATACACCCCGGTACTCCGCGGCCGCAATGCAAAACCGAAAACCACACTCGCCTTACGGGCTGCCCGAGGCGGGCTGGGCGAAACCGGCGATCGCAGCCCATCCCTGTGGGCCGTTCATTGTGCAGACGGGAGAAGGCCTGCGTGCGGTCTCGGCGACGTTCCGTGCCGCACACCGTTCGGTGCATCCCCTTGTGCTTGTGCGACGGGCAGCCTCCCTGCGTTGATGCGATGCGTATGCCCTGCGGTGTCGTCAGAGCTAGAGCTTAACCTTGCACTTGGCTTGGGGTCGCTTGGCTGGCTCCCGCGGAACCCACAGCGATTTGCAGCCGCGCGGTATGTTCGCGCGGTCTGTCGACACGCCGGTGTATGGCGCGGATGTATGGATGCGCGCACGCGCATGTCCTCTCCGCACACCCATCATCCTCCCCTCCCGCACATGATATCGAACACGATCACGGCCACCGCAGAAGACGTCCGGGCGGGCAGGACGTCCCTGCGCGGCCAGCCTACCCCCGGAGGCTTCACGGCCCCCGCACTGGCAGTCCGGGGTGCCTTCGATGTCCCCTCGCGCAGTGCTCCCCTCCCCTCCCCGCTCCCCCTCCAAAGTCCCAACGAGGCGCACGCTCCTCCCAGCAGGGAACCCGTTCTCCCGCGTGCCCCCGCAATCTACCCGTCTTCGTCAACTTCACTCAACACTCCGCGCGCTCACGGCCCGGAAAGGCAGCCGGGAGGCGTCGTTCGGGCGCGCCCGCCGAACACGGAGGTCGCTCGCCCCGTTCGACACCGCGCCCACGCCCACGCCCACGCCCACGCCCACGCCTCGCTTGAACTTCGGCGGTGCACCCGAGCAGGGAGCACGCCCGGATCCGGCGGCCTCGTGGCGCGCATCCGCCGTCATGCGTGCCTCAGGGGATCATACGGTGCGCGCCGCTCGGGAATAACTTGCGTAACTTACCAGATGTGCGCACGCGGTGGTGCCTGGCGCGCATCTGGTATTCGCGTCGGCGAGCGTAGCGAACGCACGGAGCTAAGGCCAGAACGCCTATTGCGCTCGGTGCGTAAAGGGCGCGCCGTTTACAGTATTAGAACGCGCCGTTTACAGCAGCAGGAACGCCGTTTACGCCCACAGCCGCGATAGCAGAGGCTTCAGTGGGACGCGCGAGCGCCGCCTTGCCCACGGTGCCGCTCTCGCCCTTGCCTTGAAGGCACCACCGCGGGGCTTCGCCCTTCGACCGTTCGCGCGCGTAAGCCCGCTCGCGCTTACATTCGCGCTGCGCTTCGCGGGGCCTGCTTCGATGCAGCTGCCCCTGCCGTCGCGCACCGCCCGCCGCCATGCCGCCGGAAGCCACCTAGGCCCTTCGCCTCCCCTACAAGTTCGTATTCCCTCCGAGCACGATGTCGCGCGCGTGCCCCATCGGGCAGGACGTGCGCACGGCTCTATCAGACTCTCGCACGCCGAGGCGCGCTCTACGAAGGGATGATTACGCAGGAGAAGCATCTGTCGTAAATGAAGCAGCGTCCCTGCGGATGCCAATGGCCTACGCGACGTCGCTGTGGACGCGTTCTCGCTGGAAAGCCCGAGTGCGGTCGGAGATGTAGACGTGGTGCTCGAACGAACGAGCACCGGCTGCGCAGCGCACCTCCCCGACGTTCTTTAGCCCCGGTGCTTCTGTGGTGCGCCATCTGCCTGAGTGCGGTTGTCGTTCGTCTCAAGAGCCCGCGCATCTGAGATTACAGAACACCCCCAATGCGCAAGGGCCGGCGGGCCGGCGGCGGCAGAGTGCAGAGGCACGTATTCCACCCGCACGCCAAGTTGGCCCTCTCACCGGCACCCTCTTTACTCTTCGCGCGCGCAACAGGTCCCGCGAACATGGCGATCGCGACATCGACATCGACCGCTCCGAAACGACAGCCCTGGGCCAGGGCCCGATGGCGTGCCGATGTGCGAGTGCGGACCCGACGCGCTTCGCTCCGGGGTCGGCGCGCGCCCCTGCTCGGCGACCGATATGGCATTCCCCTCGAGAAAGGGCTGCGCGCCCGGCCGTTCCGCGAAGGGCCCAGGGATCGCGTCGATGATCGAAGCGTCGCGTTACGACATCGCCGGCAGACGCGGCTTCGGGGGCGCGCGCGCACACGTCCAGCCCCCGACGTGTGCGACGTCGCTCGCGCTGCGACTCTGCTGGTTCTCGCTCTGGTGCTCGCTACGGCTCGCTTTAGCTCGACAGAGGGGGTGGTTGCGTCGATGCGGGGTGGGTATTGACTCGCCGGGTCCGGCGGCGGCTCCGGCCTGTTCGCGTCCAGGGCGTCGGCGGAGGTGTGTTCTCACACCGGGTTCCGAACGTTGCTCTTGAACCGTTTAGCGATTGTGGTGCTGACGCTGCTGCGGGATACTGTTGCGCCGGACAAGTGCACCAAGGTACATGACCTGCTGAGACCTGAGACTGCGGTTGCTGAAAGGTTCATACGCGGACAGCTTGGGCCGACACAGAGGTCCCAGGCGTACAGGAGTGCAGTTCGACATGACGCGCAGGGTTGGAACGCGCGACTGAAGAGGTAAGCATAATCCCTTTACACCCAGAAGTTCGTAAGCGTGACTGACTATGAAGTGCATGAATCGCGCTGGAACCGAGAAACGTAGCGCGTTGCCCGCCCGCGGATCGCAGACTGTGGCGGGTCCGTAGGTGCATGTCAAAACCCAGCAATGTTCACTGCGCCCTTGGGGCCCGGCTACTCAAACACGACGACCTCAACCATGCATGCCCTCTTGCAGCCCTGCGGCGCACCCGCCGCCCGCGCGATTCGCCCCGGCCATCATGTCGCGCTCCCTCTCAGGGCAAGCGCACGTGATGGGAGGCGCAAGTCAAGGTGCGCCGATAGGCAGGGCGTAGACGCACTTTATGTAGTCGATCAAGTCACCGGTACGTACGGTACTACACGACGTTGACACGCACCCCCAGCTGTCTCGCGCGTGTCATGTCGGACTGGAACTGGGAGGGCCCGTCAGCGACAAGCCGGGAGCTGATCCGTCGGCCTAACCTCGTTTGACGACCATATCGCCCCCGCCGGCGGAGAAAGCGAGCAGGAGAAGGGCGCAGAGGTGAGTGTGCGGTCGTAAGATGGTGGAGCCGGCGCTGATTGTATGTCTGCGTCCGGTGGCACAGAGTTGCGGGCCTGGATGATGGTGGAGGGTCTTCGTCGACCTGAATCTCGAGTCCCCGACCGGTGTGCGGCGCCAGCGCGCGGGGTCGCCCCCGCAATCCGCAGGCCGCAGATATCGCTCTCGCGCATCTCAGCCGCCACAGGATATTGTGCGCAGACTCCATACTTCTGTTCTACGCTTTAACACCACCCAAGCAGGATAGCAAGATCGGCGTTCGTCACTTCCAAGTATCCCTTGGACTCCGAGAGCTTGCGACAGCTTCTTTCCTCGCCGCGACATCCGACGGCGACCTCGCTCCGCACCGACAGAGACTCCCGCGCTGCGAGCTGGCTGTCTGCCGTCTGCACTGCTCGCTTCCCTCTTTCGTCGACATCCAAGCACTGCGGCATTCTCGTTCAAAGACAGTCTAAGACACCTTTGGAGCACACCCACCCTGATCAGCATCTGCGCAGACAAGCATTCGATGCTCACCCTATTCGACACACCGACAACTTACAGCTAATCATCCTATGGCCCTACAGCCCTGTGACGTCCCCAAGTTCCGTCTCTGTCAAGAAGTACTGTTTCAGTAATATAATCCAACATGTGCTCGCACTCACGCTCAACTACTAGACGCCGCGCGAACACGATCAGCTCCTCCCGAGCAGCTTCTCCAGACGTCTCCCCGCGCCAGGCAAGTCCCTTCCCCCGATACATCCTCGGAACCCGCCCCCTCTGCGCCGACCGAGGACGCCGACGCGCTTCTCCGTCCATCGCTTGAATGACCGGACGCGGTCCCGCTTCCTCTCTTCTCCCCCTCGCCGCCCACCAGCATACGGGCGTGCTGCTGCTCGATACGGCCAACCCACGCGCGCCCGCACGTACCCCAGGCTGCCGGCACCTATAGCGGCGTGCAGAAGCCCTTCAGACAAGCACGCCCAGGCTTCTCTCGCCTGGCGCGGCACGGACCTCGACGTCAGGCTCGCGAGCACAGACTTCTGTGTTCGGGGAGCCGGTGCGTCATGGGAATAGTGGATTAGTGTGCGCCCCCGCCTGTACGGTGGAATCGGCAACGCCCTTGCTCGTATTCGTGTCTGCAGGGAAAATCTGGGAGGGCGAGGCTGCCGTATTGCCGCACTGTGGCCGGCGATCGCGCCGCAGCCGCAGCCGCTGCCGCCCAACCCGCTGCCTTCGTATCCGCGTTCATGAGCACATACTGAGTACGAAGGCGGGCGTAAAGTAGCAGCAAGCTCAAAGTACTTGCCGCTTCTGTCCGCCTCGTGCTTGTAGGTTTCGGACGCCCCCCGCACCTAGAAGCCTAGACGCACGTAAACGCATACGTATATTCTACTGCGGTACGGAGGTTAAGTGCGCGATCGACTTGCTCTTCTGAATCCCGCGACCGCAGGCACCCGCAGGGTACTTACATACCTCCCCGGCCTGCGGTGTGCTAAACAAGGGTCGACGGCGCAGGGGATCGCGCAGCGATCTCTCGCCCCGTCGGGCCTGCGAGCACCTGATCCCGTGCGAACGGCACCGTACGTACATACGCGCGCACCGCCCATATGCCGTTAGATGAGTGCTGGCGAGGGCACGCGTGGAAGCCGGGGTGCATACTTTGCGCGGGCGGCGGCCTGCTGGCGTAATATATCTCATATCAGCTTTCCCTGCCAGTATGTTCGGGGGCTGTCGTGTGTAATATGTCGGCCGAGGTGTACACTGGACAGCGGGAGAGGTTCCCGGAAGATGGGAGACGGAAGCGAGGGGCGATCCTGGTGGGCGGTGCATTCCGCATGTCAGCGACATGGCCTGTCCGTTCTATCTCCCTCGCGATATGAATCGATGTGTTCGTCGTGTCGCGATATGGGCGGCGTTGTGCGCCAGATGGCACGGCGCGCGGTGGAAGAGAAGATGCGCAAGTACGATGGCGAAGGGCCGCTCCGTCCACGGCCAGACGTCCTTCAAGTTGCACCGCCCGCTCCCTTCGGGTCTCGGGCAGCCTCTGCGCGTAACGTAAGTGCAGTGGAATACGGAGTTGACATACGAGGGAAGGTCAAAGGCGTGGGGGCGGTCATGAAGTCCTGGAAAGCAGCGGCACGGGACACGCGGTGAAAATTTCCGGAGGGGGCACGTAACGTACTGAACGCTCTGGAGTCGCGCCTTCGTAAGCCCATGGCCATGGGTGCATGATCGGGTTCTTGTGCGGAGAGGGTTGACGTACTTCTTCGCAGTGGCTTAAACTCTGATTTTGAACACGAATCCCGATACCCCGCCCGATGCTGCTGCGACCACCTTCTTGCAAGGCGCGAACGCCAGGGGTCAGACTCAGGGCGAACAGCGCGATTGCAAGGATTCCCGCTCATCCCCCTGAGGAACGTCATCAGTGCGACCAGGGCCACAACTGCATGCACCTGACAGTCGTCATCCTGGATAGTCTGTGCGACGTACTATACGCAACCCGCGCAGCGCGAGTCCGATGGAACGCCCGGTGAGGCCAGCGGGGTACGACGCAGCGGAGACTGTCGGACGGAATAGGGCTCTACTCGACGTCTTCTCCCATCGGGCATGCGCTCGCGATTCAGTCCTTCAGTCCGCGCCCCGATGCCCCGCTTCTGTGCAGCGCACTTCTCCTCGGAGCTCGGCGCGTCGCTGGCTGGGACCCCACAGCACCCCATACGTTGCGCCGTTTGTGCTGCTGCACCTGCGAGTGCGGGCTGGACGGTAATTAAGCGTCTCGCAGTGCGCGTCCAGGCTTCGGCGCGCGAAGCGTGCGCCGTCGCGCGCTCATGACGCCCGCGAAGC